CATAGATAACAGAGCCAGAAGTCAAGTAGCTTGTTGTGTCCTGGCCTAAGAAAGTGCTTGTTGAAGAGTCCATTGGAGGGATGCTGGTAGTATCTGACTCACAAGAAGTCGAGTATTCCCATTCATCACTGCTATCAGAAGATGATAATGGACCTGAACCAGAAGCGACAGTACTTGCAGTTGTAGTTGCTGCTGAACTTCCTTGAGAGGAACTTGAGCTAAGTGTGTCACTCAATAATATAGAAGGAAGACTCAATGGCCCAGTTACTGAGGAGTATCCACCAACAGAAGTAATCAGAATTAGTGGAATAGACAAAGTACTTGAGGTGGGCTCTGTAGTAGTTGGTTCCTCTGAAGTAGTTGGCTCCTTTGAAGATTCACATGATGTGCTGTACTCGTACTCGTCTTCGCTTGAACTGGAAGCCGAACTGGACTCTGAGCTTGAGTTTGAGCTTGCAATCGAGCTGCTTGGATTAGAGCTGGAGATGGAGATGGAGCTGGAGCTAGAACTGGAACTGGAACTAGAACTGGAACTGGAACTGGAACTGGAACTAGAACTGGAACTAGAACTAGAACTGGAACTAGAATTTGGAATAGAGCTGGAACTTGGAATAGAGCTGGAACTTGGAATAGAGCTGAGAGCTTCCAGGGGATAAGAACTAGCTGTGTCAATTGTGGAGGATGGTAAGAAAACAGTGGCTGAAGAAGAGTCACTTGACGAAGTAGTTGGGCTCCCTATACCTAAGCCAACAGAAAGCCCGTTACTTAAACCTAAACTAATACCACTTGAAAGACCAAGACCAATTGAATTGCCTAAAGATAACCCGAGAGACAAGGCTCTCTTTTCTGGTTCTATTGCTTCAATGGTAGCAGCTTGGACTTGACTAAGTGCTAGTGCAACCAGCACTAAGATTCTGTAACTTAAAGCAGCTTGCATTACTAACAAATATTATAATTGATATACGCAGTAATACAAAAAAAGACCTGGTTGCAGGGTTCTGGGTATGTGAAATAAAAGGAACGAAGGTATCAGTTGGGATAAAGCTAACTTTATGCTTAAGGTAGAATGTAAGTTTTGGTGTTAAGTTTATAAAAAAGTAGCACTCCAGTGCCAGAAAGGAAAAACGTGGAATTAGTGAGTTGGAATGAACGAATTTTTAAACCACCAGCCAGGAACCTTCTTTACTTTTGTAAATATAAGTTGTGTCAGTGGAATATTCTCTCATATATACCTGTTTTGCAGCTAACTATTAGCTCCTACCTGTTACAGTAAAAGCTTGTATCCTGCATGTGGTCGAGAGCAGGTACCTGGGAAACTTCCTTATTGGGAAATTGTATAGTGGGCTTTGTTGCACCTATTATACGAGATCTAATGGCAGTACTTACTGCATTGGGAAGTAGTCCTTGTTACTCCACCTAAGGGGTTCAAGAAGTTACTGGAATGGGCATAACTGTAGATTTTGTTATTTAATGCCCAGCTTATTTATATTTGAATGGCTTCAATAAAGTAAAGGGCCTTATTCGAGCTTTTAGTGTCGTTGTTCAAGTAGACGAGAATGGACATAAAGGTACAGGTAATTTATGTGGTAGGTCAGTTGTTTATACCAATGAATTGTATTATTATTAGGGTTAGCTGTAGCTAATTATAGCCTTAATGGTCAACAAAGGAAAAACATTTTCCTAATATCCCTACATTCTTGTAATTATGACTCAATTACTGCAAAAAACTGACTTACCAAAACATATCGAAAGCTTTAGAAAGCCTTGTATCTATTCCCACTACGAGAAGCCAATACATGTAATATTGTATGCTAACTCATTTTTTAGTCTTGTGGTTGATCATCATAGGTGATTCTACTACATACTACAATATTTTTCATATAGATCACGTGACAAAGTTCTGTGGACTATTTTCACTACCGGAGTGAAAATATACTACAACTAGATCAGTACCACGCTACTACTCCAAAACCAATATGAGACCATCGCTTATACGTTTAGTTCGTCCTCGTCGTCCAGAGAGGAAGACATCTCCCTTGCTTCCTCCACTTGCTCTCTACAAGAGGATCCTTAGGGCTCACTACCAACATCTTCCTCAAGAGCTTCGGTTTTTGGGGGACCAATACGTCAAGGCAGAATTCAAAGCGCATAAACATACCGATAACCCATTGCATATTGTAGGTTTCCTTACCCAATGGCAGGAATATTTGGGAAATATCGTTGGAGATGGGTGGTTAGAAGGAAAATTGAAGCAACAAGATTTAGAGAAAATGTCGCCTGAACAAGTTGGTCAATTATATGAACTCATGCAAGAAACCCGTAAGATTGCAGAAGAAAGAGATTCATAATATATATATATTTATTTATTCGTGTACATAATATAATCATCATAATAATGTTATATCTTTATGAGTATCTATACTTACAAACCCTTACCGTAGTTGCCAGATGCAAAAAAGTCCATAATGATCTTGACAATCTTCTCTAAAGCTTCTAACCAGTCCTTTAATTGTGCGTTAACCTTTTCTTGATCACTACCCAACTTTTCAAAGAAATCCTTTCTGTAAGGACAAGCACTCATAGCAAGCTTGAACACAGGTCTGATCAATATCCCGTGATGTTTGGACAAAGTCTTAGAGTACCCATTGGTGAAAGACTTAGCCAACTCCTTTGAAGGATCATCAACTGCTTCTCTCATGGCAGCAGCAGTGAATTCCAAACCACGACATAACCACAACAAACCTTGTGTGGCCTTCTTATCCTTGGTTCCAGCCTCAGAAAGAATTAAACTTTGCAAAGTGGCAGCGTTCACTGGATCCGCCAACAACTTCTTTCTAACCTTTTCGATATTACCAGTCATATCATCAACAACAAGCTTAAAAGCTGTTGAACCCAAAAGGTCAAACAACTTAACAAGTGACTCAGAAGCCTCCAAAAATGTAGAAGTATCGATCTTGTCGTCAGAAACGCTGACGTCCACAAAAGACACCTTCATCTCATCGAAAAATGTAGCCATGTTCAAATCTTTTGATGTCAGTGAGTCGGTTATGAAGATGCTTATTTATAGCTTGGTTAAGGACAAGGTAAACGTTTAGTACGGCTTTCCTTTCGCGTTCAACACCTTTGGTTTTTTCGCTGTCAAATTAACATTTCACCTCTCTGGTCCGGCGCGCCTATACACACAGGTTCAAATGCCGGTTGCAGGTCCAGAGTCCCTAGACACAGAGTCTACAAAGACAGAAAGATACCGTAACGAGGGTTAGCATGAACCGAGCCACTAATACTGTAGCACTGGTATTATGTCACTACTGTTTATTTCTGTTTGGCGGATAGAGAACTTGTTGAATGTCGCTTATCATCAACGGCACGTTGTCGCACAGTATCCATTAACTCAGTAAATACTCTAATTAAATTAAAACTTAACGTAAACTTCTCATCTATCGTGTGACTGTTTAAACTTTCACACGGAATAATATTACATATTGTCGTGACCGGGGTGTAAATGGGAAAGTTAATCACCACTCAAGGTTAGTGGACCATTGGACTTTCCGTTTCTTTAATGGAGATGAGGCTTCTCTATCTATTTGAACAGGACTACTACTTCGTTCCAGAGAACTGGACGATAGCATTAAAGATTCGTCTTCATCTTCATTGTGAAACCTACCTCTGCGTTTGCGTATTGTTGGAAGCTGTGTTTGTATTTCAACTCCATTCCCTGTTATCTTGTTATCTTGTTCTCTCGACTCCAAATACTTGTTATAACTATAATACCCCAAAGCATTCAGCTCCGTCAATGTGCTATTGTTCTTTGTCATATTCGTATCTGTTTCCTGTTGTATCATGGGCACAATTTTAAATGCCTTGATAAATGCAACCTTTTGTTCTTCCGGTTTACCTTCAGAGGTGGGAATCTGTACAATCTCATTAGTTGTTTCAGGAAGTGGGAATCCGTTGCAATTAACTGAGTTTAATTCGGTACCAAATTGAGTAGCATCATGAACAGATCCTGTCAGTGAATCCACAATAAACGTTAGTTGATTCTCTAATTGTTTATGCTTTAAAATGGGCTTCAATGGATGCTTGATTTGCCTATGACGAGGCTCAAATCGAGCTCCACCAATAACTTGTTCAGAATTAATAAGTGATCGAGCCTTGCTGAATTGTTTACTCATAATCATGAAACCATCAAATGGATTTCCATTTCTTTGACGATTGTTTGTTAACGGTCTGAGAACCGGGATAGATTTGTTTGAATCGAGTTTGATAGAATTATTATCATTTCTGCCTTGTTTGAGTGGGGTAAAATTTCCCTTTCTAGTACCTGAATTGAAGTTCTCTTTATTATCATCTTCTCGTCTATTAACCTTCTTTTTCGTTAATGGGACAATGTTCTCCTTTTCGAAATTGATTGGATCAGAATCTACCAAAAAATTATCAAGAGTTCTTTCCAAATCTCTATCGCTTTTGGTAGTAACTGAGGGAGTTGGTCTACCTTTATAGAATCGGGAACGTAATTGATCGTCTAGCTCCCAGTCAGCTCCCTGTAATGACTCAGCACGTTGTCCATTTATTGCTTGTACAACGTTCACCATAATTGAATTGTTCAACTTCCTTCCTTGAAGTATGCCATTGTCTTGGTCTAACTTAGATTTCTTCTTTGTAATTTGGAAAAGCTCATCTGTGATACAATTTGTTCGTTGAGGCACCAACAGTGGAGCATTCAATTGAGGAATTCTGGAATACGATCGTATATCATCTTTCAAGGAACTCATAAGCCTCTGAGGAGATCTAATGTCTACTTTAAGTTTAACATCTTCTTCCTCATCATCATCAGTCTCATTTGGATCTGAATTGTAAGTCTCGTTCTCTTGAAATAACTCATCAAAATCAACCAGTTCCACCTCTAGATCCGAATTAAGTCCTTTCATCATCGGTTTTAATGACTTCTAAAGTACTGATGGTTTACAATCAATGACTAGGAAATGATCGTCTTTAAAAAGGGAAGAAGGCAAAATGATAACAAGTAAATATTTTTGTGTACTCAATGTCCTGACTGGAAAAAAAATATCTTTGGCTGGTTGCTAGTCGACCGGCAGATGGTGTCTATTATTCTTCTCCACTATATCGATATGTTATCCTTGAAGAGCTAGAGTCAGTAAGAAAGGCCAATGTTTTGTGGTTAGGGGTGAAGGGGAAAAGTTAGCTCTGTGTTTACAAAAATATCAAATATGGAAATTGTCGCACTTTTTGTTTTCACATTTCCTATTGTGGAAAAATAAATCATTTAGTTACATAATATTGGTAGTAGGCATAAAGTGTATACTTCCTAATCAAGAGATTTTCAACTTGGGGTGTTTTTTCTTATTGACAGAAGTATATTCAATTAATTAACTATAACCTATAAATTGGCCCCTCATATATTTATCTGTCTACATTAATACGACAGCAACAACAGCAATAATAATAATAATAATGTTCTCATGCCGTTGGGACCATGCCGTCGTAGTTCCATCTCCAGCGTAATTTGCTTTGTATAAGCTTCAATATCAGATTGGAGGATGTATGTTTCTTTAATTGAGAAATTAGTTCAGGTGAAAACCCCTTTTCAACCTCATTGGTGGAATTTGTAGCTGATTCCAGGGTAAGTTGACCATCATCTGAACTCTGCATGGTTTCAGTAAGATCATATTTATTTTGAATATCCTTGAAAAGCTTTACTAGACGATCGCTACAAGGGTTTCTGGTTAACGACCCCAATACCGACACATCTTTGTACTCCTTCTGGGTATCTATATTTTTTGCAATAACTTGAATATTCAGCTCACCACCAACATTTGATCTTTCTTCAGTAAAAGGAACAATGGTGTATGCGCTTTGTGTTTGGCCCTCGTCAATTGCCATCTTCTTCTGCTGTTGGGCACGTTGCTCTTCAAGATATTGTTGTAGGAAATCATTCAAAAATGTTTCATACATTCCAATACAATCTCCACACACGAACTCCAGATATGGGCTAAGATCAGCAGACGATGAAGATCTATTGACCCCTCCCTTTTTGGCTCTCTTCTTGTTGTGATTCATAATGATTGAACTCACTTCATACAAAGGCTTGTCACATAAATCACAATGCTTAAGTAAATCAGCACCAGGGATCTTACCAAATATCTCCTCAAGATCTTCACTTTTGTAGACATAGGAATCTGCTGAAATGGATCTCTTCTTAAGAAGGGTGTGAGAATATGTTGTGTTAACAGTTGAATTAAGTAACCCATACGAATCCTCAGAACTTGTGGTGGTATGATTCGATAGTATTGGAGAGGTAGATGATATGCTTTTATCATCAGATCCTATTTGGATCTGAGTGTGGTATTTCAACTTAAAGGCAGCAATAGACCGTTTCCTTGCCACGTTTTGCCACAGGTTTGGTGGGGATTCAGAACCAATATTTAAAGGTCTATCAAAAGTGGTATTGTTATTATCAGGAATTATATTGACAGTTTCTGTAGCATTTTCATCACTTTGTACCGTTGCAGAGGAATTTCTCATATAATCTTCTATAAGAACTATGGGATCAGAGCTTTCATTTCCTTCATCCTCATCCTCCTCGTCATCCTCATCTTCATCATACTCTTGATCAAAGCTTTGGATAGTAACGTTCCCATCCAACTCATCAGCGGCGTCGAGATCAACGGTATCCTCAAACGAAGAAACCTCAATATTCCAATTCGTGCCAGTATCAAGTGCCTTCTCACTTGATGAAGTTGACATTGATCCATTGAGGGATTGGGCCAGTGGATTAGACGATATGACATTGAATAATCTTTTGCCAGCTAACCGTTTCTCCAGTTTCTTTTTCATGCAAATCGTATCATGTACCGAGCTTGATTTTAGCAGCATACACTTTGACATACTCAGACGTGGTTTTAATGGAGGTGGAAGGGGTAATGAAGTCAAAGTCGTATCATCTATTAGATCCAACTTTGACTGTGTACATCGTAACGATCGTTTATGGGTACTCATAATGACATGGGCATATTAATATTAAACTGCAATAATACACTGATACTGTGCCGCTATAACGCAACGGAGGTTGACAAAAGAAAAATGTCGTTGGTATTAAACGAGAGTCCAAAAAGGTGTGTCCTTAAAGCAAATTTGACGGAAGACAGAAGAGGAAATAACTACAAAACAGCTGGTGTCAATTATATCAGTTACGTCTAAGGGAAGGAATGAATAAGCAAGCCTATTGATGCCCCAGAATCAAAACCTCACAAAATCCATGACACCGTTTAAAGCTTTCCCCAGAGGCTTAGGCTTAGAGTTTTTGGGTGGGCGTGGACATTACAGACACAACAAAGGGACGACGGAGAATCCGGATTTTATCTTGTACGATGACTGTCTTTACCGGACCAAAACAATAAATAATATATGATCATGGTCAAGTGCAGTACCGTTTGGTTAGTAATCTCGAACTAATTTTGTAACGTGTATTTTCTGATTAGCCCAGGCAATGTCTGTTCCTACAGCTTCATTCAACTATTTACCTATTGATTTATTTACTAACTTGTTTATTCATTCATATCATTACGTCATTGTCAAGGGGAATGCTAAATCTTTTGTATATGGCTTTTCTTATTGCTTTGTATGGCTTCAGTTATTTATTCGTTTCTTCCCTGTCTATAACTTTTTCTTCCTAACACTCACGGCATTGCAAGTACATCAGTGCTCACCGCAGTAACAAGTTTGCTGTCGACAACCAATGCCTTCCGCTTTGAAACAAGTATTTAGGGGTAAGTTGTTTCAGATTCTCATTAGATCGTCATGTATTACTCAAACTGTATGTCCGCTAAAGATTGCTGCAATGGCACCATTGCAAAGGCATTGTACCATACTGGTGAAAAATACTTTACCAATACATCAAAAACATCAACAATACCGACCGCCAACTTGTAGAATATACTCGTATTAGTTATTGTGTACAGTGAAGTGTCAAGGCTAAAAAGTCATGTGCTTTGGTTTGTACTTGTGTGTTCGGTCTTGGGTTGCTGTTAGTTCCTTGCTACACACTACTAATGCTAGCCTAAATTGGATTAGGTTGAATCTGGCATAAAATTAGTTCCAAAAGTAGAATTCTAAGTGTTATTTAAGAATAACCCCACAGTTAGCATTATTGTTATTATTCTGTATTTGGTTGAATAATTGTAACCCTAACCATGGCCTTAATTATTAATTAATATAAGCTACACACACTTAGTTAGTATGCCTGTGTTACTTCAGTTGAACAGATTGCTGCTGCTGCTGCTGTTGCAGTTGTTGTTCAACAAAAGTTTGATAAGGCAAATCTCCATCATCCAACTCATTCATCCAAATAACAATATCTCGAAAGATCCTCTTACTCAAACACTTATCCATTTCTAATTCTTGTTTCTTCATCTGCCTATTCAAATCATCACATACTTCAATCAACATAGATATACCTCTGAACTCCTGTCGTCTTTTGAACTCAATCACTGGTTTCCAATTGGTAACAGAGGAAACATACCTCAATTCTAATACAGACATTCTTTCAAAATAATCACTATGAAGTATCAAAGGTATCAGTTGATTGGTAATTAATGGACAATTGTTTAAACTTAATCGTTCTAATGTTGTATTGCAATTCACTGCTAAATCCCATATGGATTTATCAGAAATATGACACCCAGCAAACCCCACAGTTTTCAATTGCTTATTGTTTCTAATGAGTACAGAACAACTCAGATCCGTAATTAAACTACCTCGGTTCTTACGGCCAAAATTGATTTCCTTCAACTGAGTACATCTTTGCCCAATGAAATATATCCCATAATCACTCACCAATTCACAAGCACGTATATCTAAGGTTTGGAGGTTACAACACGTTTCACTCAAATTGATTAAGAACTTATCATCAAGCACTCGAGATCCAGTGACTACCAACTTCCTCAACTTTTCTAACTGTAGTGTACTTTCTTTGGTGGTAAACTGGGGGTACAACTTGGGACACATATAAAGCTCCAAATGCTCTATGTTGGAGTAATCTATACGAGATTTAAGTATCTCCCAGGTCTTTTGCTTTGCAGTGAATAATTTGTGCAAAACCAATACCTTTGGTTTGAGTATTCTTGCATTCAGTGATTTCTCAAGTACATCAACAAACTTATTGAAATGTCCTTCGTTACTGAAAATGATCTTTTCATTCAAAATCTCTTTCGTAATTTGATAGAAAAGCCTGTTCACCATGAGACAATTGTACAATGTTCCTGACATTGATGATGTCAATTGTTGAGATGACAGAGATTTCGGAAGTGTACAGCTGTTTCTAGAGACTGGAGGAACTTCTTGTGGAACATGAGTGGTTTGAACATCCACAATCTTTAAGATACGATAGACGATTTCAGGTACTTCAAAGATAGAAGGCGGCTGATATTCAGGTTCCGGCTCTGACACCAGCTCTGATACTTGGCCTATTATACTGTTAATATTGGAGCCCTTAATCAAAGGAGGTGACTTTAAGTCACATCTATCAGGTGAGCTAAAGTCGGAACCAGTAGTAGTATCACCATCTTCAACATCAGAAAAGGGAGAAAAGTCATCATCAGAATAATCTGGTAACGAATCCAAATCCGATGAGCTGCTCTCAGAGAAGAACGAAACTTCATTGGCGAAGTTCACATCTATCTTCATTTTATCAAGAGTTATAGTTGGTTTGGAATCAGAGTCAGAGCTGACATCACTATCGTCTGATGAGGCCATTGAAGAGTTGCGTCTTTGTTTCTTTCTTCTGTGGCCAGAAGGAGACACATATGGATTGAAATCATATATTTGGTTATCGTATTTGTATGCAAAAGGTAATGGGGCAGTCTTGTTGGCAGTAAAAGGTGTTATCATTGTAGTAGTAGTAGTAGTAGTTGTTGTTGTATCGATAACTTAAAAGGAAAAATGCAAAGAAGAATTGAAGGATAATCTAAGGAATGACAATGGATAAACCATGAATGCTTTGGTGAGGGTTGAAAGGAATGACTGAAAGACTGTAACGGTACTTTCTATATACAATGACTCTAAACAGCACTATTTGAGTACTGAGGTTATGCAAATGATAAAGAATAGGATGGGGATAGGAGTGGAGTAGATTAATGCTAAAGCCCAATTCAGGGTAATCAACTGACAACAGGTAGAGAGTGTGAAAGCAAGAGAAGGAAAGGAGCAAGTGCAAAAGTTGAGATGCAAAAGTCTTTATATATATTCTATTTATGCTGGTACGGTACCAGATGCATTCCCTATACCTAAATTCGTCCCAGCCTTAACCAGGTTTACACTTTTTTTTACAACGCGTCGTCCAAAATGCACCCTTCGGCAACCTTATGAAGGCATCATTTGGAATGTGGTACCAGTAACTCTTTCCCCTAGTAGTAAAATGCCACCACGTAGGCACTCATTAACAAATTCCATCTACCCTATTTTGGAGGTTCCAACCAGCCTTCGCACTTTTGCGACATTTGGTTCCCCTTTGTTTTGCACCCAATGGAAGCGTTCGAACTATACAACCTCAGAAAAGCTTAGATCTTCAGGAGGCATAGACATGTAGGTACAGAGGAAGGAAATGCCTATAGATGCTGGAGAAAAAGGCCATTTCAGGAGTAAGACGACAGTTAGTACTAGTAACACACCCAATGGATTAATGTCGCGGTTTATAGCGAATAATTTTTAAACCTACAACCATAAGGTTTGCTCCCAAAAAATGACAAGCCTTATATTCGGCTATAATCTCCTTGAAAAATTTATGCCGACTTGTCTTACATCAGATACGAACAAGGTAAGGGGAAATACCTTCAATAATGGTTTAATTTTGTCCTTATATGGATCCTGTATATTACTAAAATGTAGCAAAAGGTGGCAGGTGCATCAAATTGGCTGGTTGATAAGTTCTGAGAAGAGATTGTCACGTGATCTACGTAGCGTCGAAGGTACCACCCTGTTCAGATAAATGGCTGGTACTTCTAAAACTTAAAGAGCCCATGTTTCAGGGGAAATAGAGTGAACAAGTCAAATGAGACCTTTCTCGCTTAATGCATTCTATTGTTAGGTGTTTTATGGATGTAGCGTTGAATAATTTCAACGATAGAGAAGAGGTATGTGGATGTGACATGAACGAATGTTATCTCGACAGATAAAGTAGTAGCAACACTTTTAGGCGATGCTATGAGGGAAGATACTAAATATCATTTGTGCTGGTTTACTTTTTAATTACCAGTAAAGTAGGTTCTATTAAGCGAATGTCGACTCTCGTTTATAATGTCTAGTATTTATCCAAGTGCTGGTGAAGAATAGCACGAACGTTTGGTTTTAGAATGAATGTGAATAGTTTCTCTATAAATATGGCAATGACTCCAATAGGAATCAAAGGGAGAATTAACCGAGTTTTGTGAAGTAACTTAAAACAATAAGCTGGCTATAGTGACACTTCAACCTCCCCTCGCTTATTCTTCAACCGATGGGTCGCTAAAACTTAACAAATAATCTTCAGCTCCAGCCATTGATCTCTAAGGTTTCAGGTGTGATAGGTGCCAGCGTATGCTGGCTACTGAACATATGTGCTGGAAAGTGGTAGCGACACAAATTTAAGTCAAGGAACAAGACACAATACCACATATATATAATAACTATCAGATGGTAGTCATCACAAAGTGCTATTTCATGTACATGTAAAACAACGACGTTATCTCTCAAGGCTGATACATCTTCTTACAAAATCAATTGCTCTAGAATTTTTTGTAGATAAATGTCGTGGTACGTGGTACTTACAATAGGGCGCATCTAGCGAACTTACACCACCAACATCATTACATATGCCCTTGGATTTGCCCATGGATTTCATCAATGTCCATATGTATCATCGACGAATCTTTAAGATGATTATAAGCTGCAGCATACAATATAATACACATGTGTTGGATTACATAATGATAAGTATAATCCATCGTTTTCCCATTAGTTCCAATACTTAGGGCCCATCCCTACTTGTAACGAACCTTTCTTAAGTGTGCTTGACTCTTATCAATAGGTGGTCGTCATGTGTGTTCATCCTATTGGACGATTAGTTCACTATTCCGGGCATCATTCCACGATAGAAATGTAGTCAGGTGGAGAATGAAATATTCCGACTCGGAAAAACTCCAAAATCAATCTATCTGATTGTTGCGGGGCATAACCTGCGACCACCTAAGATATGTATCACGTGACTATTTTTGGGGGATCACCGTCAGAGTTTCTTTTTTAAGGGTGCAGTACCCATAGTCACCTTTAGTATGGTATGAAATGCTGAATACACAAGTCATTGGGTCCCCCCCAGTGTACACTAAACATAAGAAAGAAGTTAAAGAACAAACAATAACAGTAAATTTTTGATATCTGAAACAGCCTTCTAACTCACAAGAAACAACCACTTTCCTCATGCTTAGAAGAAGTGGTACACCTCAAGGTAAACATTCATCTCAGGCCCACATCGTATTGAAGAACGTTGAGCACGATGTATTGGTCTTGAAAGGGTCAGAAGCAGATGCTGGGTCAGTTCTTCTCAATGGAGCCGTGACACTTGCTGTCACCGATCCAATTTCAGTGAAGAAGATCTCGGTGAGATTATACAGTACTTTACGGTTGAAGCAGAACCAGATGGCCATTGGAACTCAGAAAGGTACCGTGTTTGAAAAGAAGCTATATGAATATAACTGGGAGAGCTCTGAGTTTGAATCATATTTAAACAATCTCTATGAGAATTCATCATCATCTCATCTTCATTCTCCAGTAGGCTCACCTCCTCATTTAGGTCATTCTTCCAGTACCCAATCGGTTTTACAAAAGACTCATTCTTCAACCTCATTAAAGGGGTTGACAAGTGCTTTCAAGTCAAAATCGTCTTCGAACTTGATGAATGCTTTCCATCTAAGTAATTTGCATAATAATGGTTCATCTACTAGTTTGGCTACTTCTGTTTCAAACGCTGGTAACCCCAAGTCACCACCATCATCTTCATCTCATGTCTTGGTACATGGAAATTACGAGTTCCCCTTTAGTGCCATTTTACCCGGCAGCATGCCTGAATCTGTGGAAGGTTTACCAGGAGCAAATGTCGTTTATAAAATAGAAGCCATCATTGATAGAGGGAAGTTTCTGAAACTGATAATAGCTAAAAAACACGTACGGGTGGTTAGAACATTAACTACCGATGCAGTGGAATTAACAGAAACGGTCGCTGTTGACAATACTTGGCCCAAGAAAGTTGAATATTCTTTGAACGTCCCAGCCAAAGCCATTGCTATTGGTGGAGGAACTCCGGTTAGTTTTATGCTAGTCCCAATGCTTAAGGGGTTACGTTTAGGAGATATAAAGATTCAAATGGTAGAATTATATTCATATATGGGGATCTTCCCTCCTCCTGTCAATGGAGAAAGAATTGTTAGTGAAAAGTTCATTCCAAAACCCAATGAAGATGATCCAAACTTTATGATGGATAGATGGGAAGTGGATACTTTTTTAAAAGTCCCTGCAAGTCTTTCTAAATGTACTCAAGATTGTGATATCAGTGTTCACATGAAGGTAAGACATAAAATTAAGTTTGTTATCGGATTAATTAATCCCGATGATCATGTTTCGGAATTAAGAGCCTCATTACCGGTTCAATTGTTCATATCTCCCTTCCTTACAGTTACTGCAAGACATGAAGATGATAATGCATCTATTAACAATGAACAACATGGTGCAGGAGGAGATCAAGAAGAAGTAATATTCACCAGAGATTCACATAATTTTAGTGGGTTATCATTAGACCGTTTAGCAGTTGGTGGAACTGGAGGGAATGAAGAAGAAGGAGGAGCTCCTCATCCTTCCAGTTCTCATACTTCATTGAATGGGTTTGTTGCGCCACCTTTATATGAGAAACATATTTATGACAGATTATGGAATGATATCTCACCGATAGAAACTCCCTTGGCTTCTGGTTATGTTTCACCTCAAAGATCAATACTTTCAGAACAATTGGGGGGTATTGATGGTGCGCTTTTAAAAGAGAACTTGAGACAATTGAGTATTCGTCAACAGCAAGAAACAAGTGAACCCATGTCTATTAATGGGCATTCAACCCACAGTATCAACGCTGCTAGTAATAGTGCTCCTAGAGATAAAGGAATTTTCAGTTTGGAAGGTGATGAAGGTGGTGATTACTTAACTGCCAGACCAATAAGTTCAGTCTCTGCATCCTTAAACCATAATTTAAGTCATTTGTTTGGTCCTGGTTCTGCTACTCCACCTTTCCATTTAAGTAGGGTCAATTCAGATACAAATATGAATCAAGTTCCCTCATACAGTGAGGCCATCAATACCAATGCCAATGATGAAGCATTATCACCAGCTTATGAACCTCCACTTCCAGGAAGTAATATCAACTTGGCAGAGATTAATAGGAGGTTCGAACAATTATCAGCAAATGGAAGTGTAACAAGTGTGAAGAAGACTTTAAGAAGTGGAAGAACATCACCAAGTATAAGCAGAATGTCCAGATCAGCATCCCAAAATTCATCACCATCTGTTTCTCGTCAACAATCACAAGTTAATTTAGGCACAAGCAGCAAAAGCCATTCTCGCAGTGGAACCAATCTTGCTGCTGTACCCGAACCTCAGAAGATGTCATCAGTTGTAGGGAAGACAACTGGTTCCGCTTCATTCACTATGTCTGGAACAACTCAAGAAGAAGAAGATGGTGGTGGTTCTAGCTCTGCAAGCAGTGCTTCTAATAGTTATAGTAACAGTGCTACTAGTTTGGTTCCAAGTGGATATAATAATCATCATTCAGTATCTCCGGCTCATCATGATGTACCAGCACATTTACTAGGAAGAATTTCTTCCAATGGACCTCTGGTGAATTCTGTACCTGAAGCCCATGTTCATTCTACTACTCATGTCTCAATGCCAGAAGTGGGGGGTAGTAGTACTACTAAGCTTTCACTGAGTGCCAGTGAGAGGAAGCCACTTTCCAGAAGTGGGTCCACCAAGTCCTTACACTCATTGCATAACTTATCGTTCCTTAGTAAGCGTAAGAAGTAGGACTATATAGATTTTAGAATACACTAGAGCTGACTCTGTGCCTCCATCAAGTATGGGGGATGTGTATGGGGCTACTTATGTACAGGATTTACGATATGTTTAAAATCGAAAGCCAAATGTACAACACCTTTCCTTAAAGATACCTCTGTACATACCCCCATAATGTTCCGAGATCGGACTAACCTATACCTAGCCTATAGAAGAACTATCCCACGCAATGTGGAGGACCCATACACCACTCGGCCGAGTCTGAGACTTGAATTCATTGACGAGGAAGAAGGACTCATGGGATCCAGAAGACACCCAAGACACCCAGTATCAGGATCAACTAGAGCGGGCCACAGAGAGTCTATAGAGTTGAAAGTCCACGTGCCCACGATCTTTGAAATTGCCAATGAATTGAACGACTTAGTACTGGAAATACGTCGACAAACAGATACTCTAAACACCATGTACAAGAAGCTTATTATAGTAGGTAAGCAGGAGAGGAAAGAAGTTGAAGGGAAGATTGAAAATACCAATTACGAGATTTTAAAGCGATTTGAAAGCTGCTATATACTTGTGAAGAAGTTTTCCTATTTAGGTAACAATTGGCAGAAATTATCACTTGATTATGGACCATCTGATCTTCAGATATTGCATAATTATCAAAAGACATATGCATCTACCATCCAAGAGCTATCTCTACTGTTTCGGAACATTCAGAACAACTATATAAAGTTCTTAAAAGATGACGACGACGATGATGATGATGGCGGTGGTAATAACTTCCGTCTGACATCTAATGTTAACCTCTTGCTTGAAGAAGAAGAAAGTCATAAAGTATCATCATCAAATCATTTAGACAAATACTCCAAACAACTCCTTCAACAAGTCCAAGCACAACCCTCTCAAGTTGTACAACAACGAGAACGGGAAATTTCCAAAATAGCCATGGGGATCCTTGAGATTCTGACTATCTTCAAAGAAATGGAATCTATGATTGTTGATCAAGGGTCCTTATTGGATCGAATTGATTATAATCTCCAGAATACTCTTGTGGATCTAAAGAAGGCAGATAAGGAGTTAATAAAGGCTCAACTGTATCAGAAACGGACTACTAAATGTAAGTTGATCTTTTTGCTTACGTTGATAGTGTTAGGTTTGATGATAGTGGTTATTGTAAGACCTCATCATACCGTTGAATACGTGGATAAACCGGCCCTGGAACAACCTCAACCTGAGCCTGAACCGGAATCGGAAGAGCCTCAATCACAGCCCGAAAAACCTTAATGAAAGTATTAATGTTATTATAAAAAAAAGAAGGTTCACTATACAACGTGAGGATTTAACAAAATATGATTACAATAGTCAAAAGCAATTAGAATTGAAAAGAATGTTGAGTTTGGGGCTTTGAAGTTTTAACGAGACATCCCGGGCTTATTGTATCTTTGAGATGGAGGAACAAATCCATTATTCCTACGTTTATGAGCTGAAGCACCTGCTAGTTGGAAGTCGGGATTGGCACTAAGAACTGTATCGGAGATAGTGGGACCCTGAGGTTGGTTTCTAACGTAGTTATTTGAGTAATAGTTGGAGTATTGTTGGGAGGTTGCTGCGTAGGATGGGGAGTTAACAATATTATGAGCCACTGGCTGGGAATTACTATAATATTGAGGTTGTTGAATTGAAGGTACTTGTTGTTGGAATTGCTGTTGTGGAAGTTGTTGTTGTGGAAGTTGTTGTTGGTGTTGAGGTTGGAAACCATAAGAAGGTTGATAATTGGCAGTATTTGGATAATTTGGATTTGGAGGTCTTTGCAGTACAGAAGTGAAATCCAGATCTAAATCTGAATCATGAAGTTGATTCTGTCTTTGGATATTGCTGAAATCAAGATCATCATCATCAACATCAACATCGTATCCTTTATCATTGAAATTGTAACCATCAACATCGACATCAAGAAGCATTTTGTCATTATGATTATCAGGAATAGCATTTCCAGTAGCAGGATAAGGAAGTTGATGATGGTTGGTGATATCTGTTTGGGTTTGAGGCTTTTCATTGTATAATGAAGAGTATACCGTATTTGAAGTTGTGTTGACCATTGGAGGTTGTTTATCGTTATAAGTTCTGTTGATGGAAGAATTTGAGTTATCATTAGATTGAGCAGAAGCAGAAGCCGTAGTCATGGTATAACCACCTTTAGAAGCCGCCATGAAAGTTGAAGATGGAGGAGGCTGGAATCCAAGATTTGATCTTGACTTGCCAATATCCAAATCATTATTGAAATCAAAATCATCAAGACTATTGGTGTCGTCATTACCGTCATGGTCATGTTGAGAATTCAATGAGGCAAGTACCAAAAATACAAGGGCCAACAAAAGAGAGCCGGAAGCAGCCACACTTAACCAACCAAGCCAATCCACTTTAGGGTAAAACGCAAGTATTATACCCACAGTGGCCACCACTGAAGTTAAGAACAGTAACACCACAAGTATCAAGGGTAGGATCACCGTCAAGTTGGGGAGGAACGCACCAATAGCAGCACAGATCAACAGTAACAACGCGAGGAAAGCCGAGATTGGAGCCATGATAAACAATTTGACCATAGTGTTTCTAACACTAGCATCTGATTTAAAAGGTTCAGACGAAGGGATTGTATAGGGGAAAGTTGACTTTAGACATGAATTGCCTTTACAGTAACCAAACAATCCATACGTGGACTCGGAAGTTGTTGCCAAATGAAGCGACCTGACAAGCGGTGTCAGGATAGTTATCAATATGAGGAACACCAATGATACCAAGATCAAGATAACAGTGATGGATCTGAATATAATGGATGTCATGATGAACAGCACACAGAAGTAATATAATAGGAGTATGGTCTAGCGGCCCAGTAGTATTATAGCAGCGTAGTCTAGCTGTATGTCTAACTATTATTGTCTGTTTAGCTGTGGTTGTCTAGTCTGTCCGGTCAAACTAATTTATGTCTGCTTCGAAAGTCGCATATATATGAAGACGTTCTTGACATTAAATGTCAAATCAACAAAATAATAAAGGGCTGGGGACTGATACAGGAAAGCCCTATGGCTATCACTGTGAAAAAAAGGCACTGTATGCAGTACCACAATTAAAGGTTAGAGAACGTAGACGTGATTCGGGTTGGAGATGGTGTTCGTTACGGTTACGGTTACGGGCACTGGTACTGGTACTGGTATTGGTGTACTAGTGATGGTAATGAGACGTATATTGTGTTAGTACTGTTACACTAGTACAATGTTAGTAGACTGTGGTGACTGTTTGACAGAACATTGTCCTCTCCTGTTGAATAATTTGACGTGCACCGTGCACAGCCTCATTTGAGATAGGGGTATTTGGATAGGTTGGCGCACGACCAATGTAACACGTATTGTTATGGGGCTTTTCCAGATGCGAACAGTATTATTCTAGTATTAAGGTATACAATATAGATTAGTACATAGTTATTAAGCTGTGTGTGGCGTGTGTTAGAGTGTACTGACGGCCCAATATGCTGTAGCAGATAGCTTCTAATTGCTATGTGTATGTTAACGCCGTGCGGCAGTGTTATCGGGCAGGAATGTGCGAGGCTCTTGGGGCGCGAATGTCGCGCGAAAAATGGCACAATGTCGCGGTTCCAATGTCGCGATACTTGACCTCCAGCTTCAGGAGCTGTACCATGGATCAGGTATCTCCAATATATACCGTTCCATTGCTTCTCTAAATCTATTACGATATTGCTTTGGAGTCACAATTGTAGGATCTTTGCCCTTCTTCTTATTCCCCATCAAATTATTGCCCTTGACCCAATTTTCCACCTTTTTATCCCATGTAAATGTTCTCAACCAATCAATGATTCCAATGTACAATTTATTGGAAGTATCATCAATCCCCACCACCAACGAGTAGTCCATAACATCCATAGCACTAAGGAAACTGGTATCATTGAACAAGGCACCTCTCATTAATCTTTTCAGCAGTTCCTTAACACAAACTGGCGACTCATAAATGTACTCTATCATGTTCTCATCAAGCAAGACTTCATTCTCTCTACCAGTCTGCTTAACATGACGGTTTCTCATGGACCCCTTCAAGTCGAAAATCCGTGTCAACTTGTGATCATAGAACAAGTTCTCCATAATCAAAAAGTCCATCTTAAACAAGACTTTGTTGGTGTCATTGTTTCTTATTTCCACTTGGTAAAACCCAAAGATTTTGGCAATGGCTGTGGTCAACGTATTGTAAGTCAGCTGGGAAATATACTTGAAATAATAAGGAGCAATCATCACAAACAGATCCAACTCAGACTTACTCAATTCCTTAATTATATACCGATCGTCTAGCGTCTTTAAGAAATTAGATCCACTTTTACCTCCATTGGACTTCCATTTAACACAACGACTTAAGCTCTGAATAAACAGTTCATGGTTCCCGCAGGCCCATCTCAAGGCTTCAAAATGCTCGGAATAGAACACTTTACAACTGAAATGCGTCCGGCCATCAACAAACTGATACTTCAAATGGTTCAGTTGCTGGGTATTTAGTACCATCTCCAATTCTTCTCCTACTCCATTCAATTGGTTCCGTCTTTTGAACTTCTTTTCTATTTTGGCAAAATTAACAGCCTTTTTGTCTGGCACATTGGATCCACCCAAAGCATTATTGTCACTTGTGTCATTATTATTGCTATTATTATGATTATTATTATTATTATTATTGGTATTTGCAGAGACGTTGCTTGTTCCGTGTTCTGGTTCATGGCCCTCAACAGTCTGCTGCATCTGATTCATTTTATGTCGATAGTCACTACTGGACAAACAAAGAGCAATGAGTGAACTGGGCTCATCTTCTCGAACTATAACTTCGCTATCAGCAAAGGTATGTTCTGTCGAGTCCAACACAAACTCCAATTGTTGATCTCCCCACATGGTGGACGCTCGCTCAACCCAAAACTTCGTCAACAGCTTCAAAATACTCTGTTTCTCTTGAGGCTGTGAAGCAGGAGGATTGGGAACAGAAACGGTATTTTCTTGTGGTGGTTGTGGGCCATGAATCTCGCTCTTGACGTTTATATTGTTGGGTGATATGGCCTTTGAACTATTACCTTCCGGAATTGGTGATATAGGCTGGCGATTGTGAATTAGGTTGGGGTTTCTGGATTGTACATGGTTAAATGGTGATGGCATTTTTTTAGTCATGGTCTTATTATGGGAACTGACTCTTGGTCTTGATATCTCATTGTTACCTTCCATCTTATCAACATTCACGGCATCTTCAATCTTATTATAGATCTCCACTATGGGCTTTGACTCTCCCACGGGAATTGGCTTGAAGTTCAGTTTCTCCAACTTCTTCAATTCCTGAGAGATCTGGTCAAAGTTCATCTGGTCAAAATAACTGGCAAGTTCATACACTCTGTTTTGAGTAACCAGAGAAGACCCATCTCCTCCACCTTCTCGACGATTGGGGGTCAGCACAAGCAAAGGAGAACTATCACCACTACCTTCTTTCAACAATTGTTCCATATGATTGATCCGTTCGCCCATTGCCTTCAGAAGAGACTTGGTTCTGGGCGTAGGTGCAGATATTGGATTAATGGAATTACTGCTCTGTTGACCTCTTGGTGTGGTTGGAGTAAGGGAAGAATGGCTATCATCAAATGATGATGGACCACCTTCATCATCACCATCATCTACAATTTCCTTAGGTTTCTGTTCAACTGGATGGTGATCATCTTCCACCTTCTTAACTATCTGTTCGTCATCAATGCTATTATATTTGTCCATCAAGAAGTTCTTTATATGGAACTGGGTGAATCTAGCCAAATCATTTTCTGTAGGAATAAACTCCTTTTCAAACTCATTGAAGGTATTGTTCCATTCAAATCCCAATTCTTGAAGCTTCCGAAGTACAACATTGAGTGACATATAGTTTGTATGGCCACTGTTGATATAAATGTTCATTAATTGGTCATATACTTGTTGAGCTTGGGAATTTGCTAATCCAATTAGAGTAGTAGCTCGTAATAAGGCCTTGTCCAAATTATCAATGGCTTCATTCAGTTTAATGGCTTCTAATCGATTCAATATACTTCGGAAAAATGCCTCCGCCTTCTTTCGGATTAAAGCATACGATTCATGACGTAATCTAATGTCTATTTCACATTTTAAGGCAACTTGTTTCTTGGGAACAACGATTTCATAAGTATCCAAATGTGAATACTGCATTTTAATTATCATATCATTCATAGCAAAGCATTTAATATATTTTTTGAAGAAATCATGTCCACATCCATTGGTGTTATTATGGTGATAATAATAATCTGAATTAACCACGTTATGACCCCAGAAATTGAGCTCAAAAAACTTCCCTATCGACAAATAATACGTTTCGTTACTCATGAATGTCAATGGTGTTGTACAATTACATTCAGAACAGAAACTCCACATTACTCTTCGATTATTGGGGATCCCATTGATCCCACCGGGGATTCCGGAAGATGAAGAAGCTGCGGAGGATGAAGCTTGAGATTGCATCTCTATAAGGAAATCAAGCTTGCCATTGCCATGACAATATGATTTACAATGATTAAGCAACAATTCTCCACATTCATCACAGATATTTTTAGCATCATGAAACACTTGGTCCAAGAATAATCCAAAACATTTATCGTTGTCACTGTAATAATCAACCACCACCAAGTTGGGTCCGTCACAGGGAGTGGAGTATTTAAGGGAAATGGTTGAATGTAAAACATAAATGTTCTTGTGGAACACAGGATAAAGTTGATATGATGTTGAGTTCATACAGTTGGTCCAATTCCGAGCTCGGACATTATAATCATCTTTCAAATCATATAAATGACGTTGAGATGCAAACTTTAGGATCTCCAACATTTCACTATCTCTATTGGGGACATTACTTCCACCAACAAATGTTAGGTTCAACTGCTGAAGCCAATGAGATTCAATCTGTGAAGCGTCCGTCAACTTTTGAATTTCTCGATTGGTTTTGAAGTATTCATAATAGCAAACAAAGGCATGATAAATATGAATTAAGACTGGGGGTAATGTGAATTTAACCACTGGAGAAACACTCACTTTCCTCCGATTAAATAATTCAATGTAATTCTTTAATTGGTGAGATTCAGGTGAAATATCACAGACATTAAGACCCACTTGAGTCTCCAATTCTATCTCCTCAATTATTTCTTTAATTCTGTGAGTGACTTCAACAACAGTGCCATCTTGTTGTTCATCATTATAAATCATCATTTGTTGATCATCAAGCCATTTCCTTTCAAGCTTACTGTTCAATTCTCCCATCATAACCGTTTCAACCGCATATTTGATACTGGCAAGTAAATCTTCATCCCCCCCTCTAAGAGCAATGGTGAACCCAGTGGACATATCGTTTCCAGTAAAGAAAGATAAAGTCTTCACCAAACCTTGATAGTTGTATTTTTTGATCTCAAATTGCTTACAAGTTCCCAATGAACCCTTCTTGAAAAAAAGATCATTGACAGTTTGGAAAATATCGGCCTTGGTGTAACGAGACATCCGTTCAATAACTTGAGGTTTGGTATTGGAAATCACCGTTATATTAGCCTCTTCCAATAACTTTAAGGCGTATCCACAAACCAGATCTCCAACCATAATGATATCTGGTTCCAATGAAACCAACCGAGAAACCAAATTGGTGATGTAAACTTGTTGTTGGGCCTTGATAATACGCAAACTAATAAACAGCTCCTTTTGTTTCAAGTACTCTATGGGGAACATGACTAAGGCAATCTTGGGGTTACTAATCTTAGAAGCCATACCACGGGAATCAATATCTTTGGTCATGAATAACCCATCTATAACTGAAGTTTGTTCGATGGACCCACCCAAGATCTTCTTAACCTTAACGTACTGTTTGAAATCAAGAGTATCTGTTAATTTCAAGTTCTCAATAGCTCCCAAGACTTTATTTAAAGTAGTTTTCCACTGTTCAATATCGTCTTTAATATCACAGTCATCAAAGCATTGTAAAAGTATAGAATCCAAATATTCCTTGTATAATATGCTCTTCGACTTGAGGGTTTCCCTCATGCTCGTGTTCATCATAGTGATACCTTCGAATGAAATATTAAGCAGTACATCTTGACCATCGGTGTCACTGAAGGAATTATCACTGGAGTTCAGCTTCAACCGAGCTATGTTATTATTATTGCTGTTATAACGAGAGACCGCGGGATGTCGGGGGGATTCAATGACAGAATAATCGTTACCGGTTGCAATTTGTAACGAAGATGACGTACGATCATAAAAATCATGGTATGGCTGGTGATCGGTAATCGGGGATGATTCTGGTGCAGAAAATGCATCTTCAGATAAGACTTTGGATAAGTTAACTTCACCACCAACGTTGACATTAGAGATCGATCTGGGAGATGCCGGAATGGAAGATGTTGGTGATGAAGTTGTCAAGACCAATGACATTCGATTACGGCTCAAGTTGTGATCCGGCAGAGTATCCACTGGAGCCTTATAGATATTTGGAGACAATATCAGAGTGTTCCGAATAGATTTGCTCTTTCTTCGTGATCTCATTCTTAGTAATGACTTATGGGCCCTTTCATGGGACCGTAACGCTTCGCCAGTCTTTGGTTGTCTATCTTCGAGGAAAGCCACATTGTGGGGTCCCTTTGTATGACCCTTATCTTCATCATTGGCACCAAAGTTTGGGGTGACTATTTTTGCAAATCGTCTTCCAAAGAGCTTGTCATTAACAATCATTGTGGGGAACTCTCCCAAAGTCGGTACAACGGTAGTAGAATTGGACATCACCGCACAGATAGGATCATTATTGTTAGGAGCAATGTGGTTCAATGAAGTGTACATTGACATTGCCTGTTCGTCTTCATTTTCACTTTCAGTTCCCCTACCATCGTCATCTTCATAATCATCATCTTTGCACGAGGAAGAATCACTCACATCTTCATTATCTAAATTGAAGGCTTGTTTCTTGCTGATAAGATCTCGTTCAGAACCAGAACAGACTTTGTACTTCGAGGTGTTAGGTGCTCGGAAGTTATGATGAGGATGATGAGGATGATGATGATGGTACATCCCTTCAACATTGTTGGGACCCCCAATACTTAAATCCGGCGATGAAGCATTCCTGTTTAGGGCATAACTTCTGAACCAACTCTTGGAGGGTAAGGAATCTCGAAGAGGTGCAGACTCTAAAGATGTCATGTATGTGGAAGACCTGCTATAAGGTATACCACTGAAACTTAACAGATGCGGTTGGCTTACAGGGATTTCAACCGCTTGCCCTGTTCTGGTAGCAGGAATAGTCATTATTGGAAGAACTTTAGGTCTCTCTAAAGTAACATTATTCTGTCTTATAGAGGACGTCGTAAGACTACTCCCACCATCTAAATTATTAGGAGTTGTATATTTCCTGTCCCTTAAACTTGGAGAAGTGAGGATACTTTTGGAGTCACTACCATCCTTATGATTTAAGAAGGATTTATTGGCTTGAGCCCAACCTTCATTTCGAGAATTAACAGATTGTGCTCTCACATGAATACCATTAGGACTCAACAACACGTTATTATCTTCTATAGGTGTCGATGATAATACGGAATGTTCTTCTTCTTTGGAAGCATCATTAGAATCTCCTTCTTCTTCAGAGCTTGAGGATGAATCGTCACTCAAATATATAATAACATCATCGTAACAAGGCTTACACACTCGAAGCTTATCATTGAACTTTTTCACTTCATCGGAGTTACTATTTGCTCTCCTCTGTGCTTTATGTTGATTGTAGGAGATGAAAAGCGTACATTCAGAGCAAAAGATCTGTCCACAGAACCGGCAATGATGTTTTCTTCTAAAAGCTGAAAACGGTTTAAAACAGTTCAGACAATCAGATACAAATGCATCATTCATCCAGTACTTTCTAGGAATCCCACCTGTTTTTAATGGGTTTTGAGAGGCTTTCTTGGGCATTGATTTCTTCTTCTTTTCCATAACCTTATTGGTTATTACCGAGGAAGCCGATGATACTAGATTAGTATTGGCAATGATGGACTTTGCATTATCAAGAATAGCACTAGAAAAATTAGTAGGAACACCACCTGCACTAAACCCTTTCTTCTGACGACTTAAATCCTTCTCGCGTAGGGCATAAAAGCTTGATAAAGACGGGGATAACAGATCTGCGGAGTCTGCTAAACCTCCTCCTCCATTCACGATTCCTCTTGAAGGTTCGCTGGATGCTGTAGTACTATAAACAGATGAATAGGAATTGGTAATTGTGGGTTGTTGCTTGTTATTGTTATCGAATGAGCAATTAATCACAGGATTTAGGTAATCTTGGTCTGTATCATTGGCAATGGACTCTGTATCCGAAGCGGAATCATCTGAAAGCTCAATATCATTGGGTAGGTTAGTAAACAATGAAGAGATTCGATTCTGTAATGCTTTCTTTATGTTTGGCTTGGAGATTTTGAGGCTATTGGCCTGTTTTGGGAAGGGACTTCTGATTGGAGGAGGTTTCAAGGACCGATCATTGCTGGATAAAACATGAATGCTTGTGGTACTTGATACACTTGTAGCTGGGAGACGAGAAAACGAAGGCGTACCTATTCGAAGACCTTTGTTGTCTGATGTGACTCTTGGTTGGAGTGAAGTCGGGGGAATGGAAGCAGTACCCACTTGTTCCGATGCAGTAACAGTAGCAGTATTAGCTTTCGCAGCTGGATGTAGCAGTTGAGATGGACCTGCAACTGTGGATGCAACTGGAGGTGAGGGAGGAGAAGAAGGCTGTTGCTGTAGAGGAGGAGGAGGAGAAGGGGAAGATGGTGGTGGTGGACCTGGTTGAAGAGGAGGATTGGTGAAGATCGGCGTGGAAACAGAAACCGTGGCAACTGAAGGAGCAATCGGTATAATTGAGCGTGGATTATTATTATTATTATTATTGGTATTGGTATTGGTATTGGTAGTACTATTATGAATATTAGCATCAGCTTGATCTTGCTGTTCATTGGATGGAGTAGGTATTCGAATAGGATGACGCAGAGACGGTGATTCAGACATCTCAAGAATCGTCGTAGACGAATGAGAAGGGTACGATCCAGAAGCTGTATCCAAAGCCGGAGTATACCCTTCTTGTTGAGGTACCACCACTTTGGGGTCACCACCACCAACACCTATTGTCTGGTTTGGGTGAGTCTGTATGCTTTGAGTGAGCGACTCCACATCATCTATGGTTGCTTGCTCTTCAGGAAGGAACGTGGACGTGGTACGAGATTTAGGTGATGAATAAGTGTGGACTAAATTGGAGGCATTGTTAGTAACCTTTCTTAGGGTGGTAGTTAAGAGCTGGGTTAGTGTTCGATTGCCATCGTTTTCGGGGTCAGGAAGCACTGGAAACGAGATGAAATCATTGGCACCAAAGTCCTCTTCATCGCTATTATTATGAGGGTGATTCATAGCATCCAAGTGTGTGGATATATATGTGTTGAACAATAGATAGAGTTTACTTAGTATGACTCGTGATTATGTGTATACTTGGTATCTCCTGCATTCCCGAACCACGTGACCATCTGCGCGGACGCAAAAAAATGTTCGAGACAAGCCGTGGATTCAATGAACAGCAACAACTATCAGAGCCCGCCATCAACACTAGCCAATAGATAACCCCATACGGTTTGTGACGAGTATATAAAGAATGTCTTCTGGCTTGCAAAGACGTCGTGGGGCTGCTCCTGCCAAACAATCGAATAATACTGAGTCGTATGACGGAGAAACAGAAGATAATCTGGGCCACAAGATTGGATACGATTCCAGAGATATCGAAGACCCCAAAGATGTCAACTTGCCATTGTTAACGCTTATGGAAGAAGTATTATTGATGGGGTTAAAGGACAAAGAAGGGTATTTGTCCTTTTGGAACGATAACATTTCTTATGCGTTAAGAGGATGTATATTGTTGGAGTTGGCCTTTAGAAATAAGATTTCCTTAGTAAATGATCCTGCTAGACGTCGGTTTGAGTTAAGTGATAGGTTAATTGAAGTGATTAATACTGAACCCACTGGAGAAGTCTTGTTGGATGAAACATTAAGAATCATGAAGGGAGATGAATCCAATTTATCCGTCACCAATTGGATTGATTTATTAAGTGGAGAGACTTGGAACTTATTGAAGATCAATTATCAATTGAAACAAGTTAGAGAAAGATTAGCTAAGGGACTTGTTGATAAAGGAATATTAAGAAATGAACGGAAAAATTTCTTTTTGTTTGACATGGCAACTCACCCTGTTGGTGATAAATTATCCAAAGAGGGTATTAAGAATAGAATCTTGAGTCTTTTGATTGATAGAAATGTTGATTTGGATCAATTATCCTCAGACAAGTTTCCCAAGAACACCAGTTTCAAATATTTAAGAACCATTTCTTTGGTTTGTGGATGTTATGCTGCTAATGTATTGGAGAATGTGGTATTATCATTAAATTATGACAAAAGAGATCAAGCATTTGCAAGAGCAGATGAATTAATGAATTCTTATAGTGAATTCCCATTCAACTTGACCCAACAATCTTCGTTGAACGTTGGATTTAATTTGGGTCAAGAAGTTAGAGATGAAATGGATCAATCCAAGGCTTCAGAATTACAATTGGAATTGGTGGCTGCTGTCTTGAGTGTGTTTTCAAGAATGGACTCACTTTTGTAACCCCCGTCCCCCGTATTATATCTTTATCTTTTTATAGCAGATACAAAAGCATGAATCAATGACAATTGATGATCCTTACTATCACCAGATGCTTCCCAAAAGAACCCTCCACCCAACCCCAACAGTCGTATGATCTCCACTTTCATTAAAACAATCTCTACAGTATCGTAGGTGATCAATTGTTGCAACTCAGCTTGATAACAGAAACAACCCCCCACATCCATGGCCTTATACTCTTTTCCTAGTGGTAACTGGTGATAATTACATATAGGTTCCCCTATAGTTCCTGGGTTATGCTGGCCATTGTTGAATGGAACTCCTATCTTGGGGATGTGACATCCTCGGAATACCCTGCCGTATAGAGGCATTCCAACCACCAATTTTTCTGGTTCAATACCCTTGTTGATATAGTTGGTTAAGGCATTCCAGGTACTGTATTCGTTAGGGTTGTTCCTGTCACGTGAGTAGACATTACTATGGTATCCAGTAGTTGGACTCCATTCACCAACAAAGTCGTAGCACATGACATTCCAGAGATCAACAGACAGATATATTTCCGGTATCAAGCGATCCAAGAACTCATTCGACACGGGCACAGCGGTAGTTATTAATAATTTGTCAGATTTGACACGTAGCTTCCCCAAAAGATCACTGAACCCCCTCATACGACCAAGGGTATCAGGGAACTCGTAATCAACATCAACACCATCAAACCCTAAGGAGTCTGCCTTCTCTACAATTGAATCAACAAACTTATCGAGCTTACACAGCCCCTGGTCTATCAAACTGTTGAAGTTGCCCCCTTGAGCGTAGCCCCCAACAGACATGATCAACTTGAGATCAGGATTGAGCTTCTTAAGCGCCCGACACTGCTTAATGACACCGCTAACTTGATTCAGAGGGTCTAAGGGATCACGTATCGGTTTCTCCAAATCAGCATATTGATCCGAATGAACCACACAGCCATTGACTGGATCAATGTTGAAGAAGGCGTAGTATAAGTGGGTTAACTTGGTGTATGGAAGATCTATAGGTTCACAGCCGGAATAGACCGTCCAATTGGCGTAATAAACTCCAGATATCATAAATAATAAACAGAGTAAACAGCAGTAGCAGCAGTAAGACGCGGCAAACAGTAGTAGCAAGTAGTAAAGTACGTAAGTATAGTTGGTGTATCGCTATTGATCAGTATATATTTTACTGTGGTCAGCGTAAATTCCAGTCCACATATAAATATTATGTGCGGAGCCTATTTAAAATTACTAACCTATCACTCTCCTTTACCGCTACAAATACTTGCTATTCCCCATGACTATAGAAATCCCATCTTCAATTCCGACTGCGGTACCAATTGGGTCTGCTATTTTCAAAGATGATTGTATGTTCAGCTTTGATACGGCTGAGAACAATGTTAACGGATTAGATGTTTGCCTCCATTGCTACCAGGGGTTCTCCAGAAGACCAGAAAGAAGCTTTACCCATGAACATGCAGTAAAGACAGGCCATAGATACTTTTTAAATATCACCAAAACAATCAAGTCGGCACAAGCTTTTGGTGGTGATGAAAGACAAACCAAAATTGCAAAGTTAGAGGTCAAAGACGTTAAAGATGCGGATATATACGACATTCGATATGGTTTATATGATGATGAAAGTAAGGACACAGTGAGTTTGGATCAATTGAGTCCAGAATTCCAATCGTTAATTGATACGATCATCAACAGTAACTCTTCTGGGAAAGAAGATGAAATAAGTTCTTGGGAGCAACAGATCTTCCCCTGTGAACATACCATTGATCTTCACCAAGAGGATGTAAGCACCAACATTGACTTGGGTAAGTGTGGACAATGTGAATTGAAGGAGAACTTATGGATTTGCTTACATTGTGGTCATCTTGGTTGTGGTAGGCAACAATTTGGATCTGATCTCAAGGGTAATGGTCATGCTCTTGACCATTACAGTGGATCTGGCCATCCTGTGGCGGTGAAATTGGGGTCTTTAAATGCTGATGATGAAGATAAAGCTGATGTTTATTGTTACAAATGTAACGATGAAGTTAAGGTTCACCAATTGGCTCAGAAGCTAATGAAATACGGTATCAACATTAGGAATGCCATTAAAAGTGAAAAGAATTTAATTGAGTTAAATCTAGATCAAAATATTAACTGGCAATTCCAATTAGATGATGTAAATGGTGAAAAGCTCCAACCAATCTTTGGCCCTGGTTTAACTGGAATGAAAAATCTAGGTAATTCTTGTTATTTAAACACGGTTGTTCAAGCACTTTTCAGTTTGGATGGATTTAAAGAGTATTTCAAACAACGATCGTTTCCAGAAAGTCACCACAGTGACCCAAGTAAAAGTTTATTAACTCAATTGTTGAAGTTATATGATGGTTTGGAAAGTGGAAGATACTCTAAACCATCATCGAGTGGAGATTCTTATCAACTGGGTATTAAACCAAATACTTTTAGTAAAATTATAGGAGAAAACCATCCTGAATTTAAAACCCAAAAGCAACAAGATGCTTATGAATTCTTACTTTATTTGCTTGATAAAATCGATCAAGAATTTGGAATTGGTGTAAGTAAAGACTCAAAGTTTTTACTTTATAACAAGACCGTTTGTACCAATTGCAATAATGTCAATATTTCTCCTGAACTAGTTGATAATTTATCCATCCCAATTGAAGATAAAGTGATTGGAATAGATGAACAAGACAAGTCCACCAAAATTTATGAACCAGTTGATCTTTTACAGAGCTTAGAAGCTTTCTGTAGAGATGAACCAATTGAAGGGTTCCAATGTGATAATTGCAACACTACTTCTATAGCCACGAGATCAACCAGTTTTCGAACCCTTCCCAAAGTTTTAATCATCAACACCCAAAGAATAAAGTTGGTGAATTGGGTACCTGTGAAAGTCAATGTTCCTATTACCTTTTCAGAACCTATTGACATTGAAAATGTGATTATTTCATCTGAAGATCTTAAAGTAAATGTTTCTTCTGAACCAAGAAAAACCACTTTTGAACCTAATACTGAAGCACTTGAAATGTTGAAAGCAACAGGATTCCCTGAAAATAGGTGTATCAAAGCATTGCATGCCACAGGAAACAACGATGCTGAAAGTGCCATGAATTGGTTGATTGAACATATGGAAGATCCAACCATTGATGAACCAATGCAATTAGAAGGTCCAAATTCAAATGAATCTTCCGCAGCCAATGAACAGGATATCGACACTTTAATGGCTATGGGCTTTGACAAAAATATAGCCATTGCAGCTCTTAGAAGCAACAACAATGACTTAACCAGAGCCGTTGATTGGATCTATGAGAACCCTGGAGGAGCTCCTACAAATGAACAACAGGCTACAACTACCATAAACCTTAACCAAGAGAAACAGTCCCTTACCGAAAAGCTTCTAGAATCACCAATACCTGATCATACCAAATACCAAGTTAAAGCCATTATTTGTCATAAGGGTTCTTCCCCACATACGGGCCATTATGTGGTTTTCATCAAGAAGCTTATTGGTGACGAATGGAAATGGGTTCTTTTCAATGATGAAAAGGTAGTGTTATATCCAGGCATTGATTCCTCTGAAGTGTCAAACAATGGGTATATTTATATTCTTGAAAAGGTCTAATATTGATAAGATTAAAGTGGAGTTAAGCCTCGGACTCCATTGCCCGAAGTTTGTGTTAGTTCTCAAAAAAGTGGTGTTAGGGGGCTTTGGTGTTTGGGTGTTATCTATGACTGATTACCATTGGAAAATTTTTAATTAGGTGCACATGTTCCAACCAACACTTATTCAACCAACCACACATAGTATCGGCATTATGTACATCGTTAATGATAATCTTGGAGATAAGTCTCGTATGGAAGACTGGAGAAGTATGTAAGACTCATTGTGATAGTGGATAATATCCTGTTTCCTGATCTGGTACTAACACTCGATACAGTCAGAGGTTACGATCCATTAACAGCTCCTGATTTGTTACAACATGAATACCCTTTAACTGAAAAGTCCCAAGCAAACATCTTGAAGGGAAGAGATGACTCTGTGGAGATCTTGAACGGTAAGGATGACAGATTGTTGATTGTCATTGGACCATGCTCAATTCATGACCCCAAAGCAGCTTTGGAATATTGTGAAAAGTTGGCAACTCTTGCTGACCAAGTCAAAGGTGAGTTGCACATTGTTATGAGAGCATATTTGGAAAAGCCCAGAACAACTGTTGGTTGGAAGGGATTAATTAATGATCCAGATATTGATGGATCATTCCAAATCAATAAAGGTTTAAGAATAGCCAGAGAATTGTTTGTCAAGTTAACTGAAACGTTACCGATTGCTGGTGAAATGTTGGATACTATTTCTCCTCAATTCTTGTCTGATTTATTCTCTGTTGGTGCTATTGGTGCCAGAACTACCGAATCTCAATTGCATAGAGAATTGGCTTCAGGCTTATCTTTCCCAGTTGGGTTCAAAAACGGTACCGATGGTACTTTAGGAGTTGCTATTGATGCTGTTAGAGCTGCTTCTCATCCTCATCACTTCTTATCTGTAACCAAACCTGGTGTGGTGGCTATTGTTGGTACAAATGGTAACGAAGATTGTTTTGTTATCTTGAGAGGTGGAAAGAAGGGTACAAACTTTGATTCTGCTTCTGTTAAAGAAGCTAAGGACGCTTTGACCAAAGCTGGTCTTATGGGTGATTCAAAACCTGGACCAAGAATCATGATTGATTGTTCTCATGGTAACTCTAATAAGAATCATAAAAACCAACCTTTAGTGGCTGCTGATGTTGCTCAACAAATTGCTAGTGGCGACCATTCTATTTGTGGGTTGATGATTGAATCTAACTTGGTCGAAGGTAGACAAGATGTTCCACCAATTGAAAAGGGTGGTAAGGATGCCTTGATCTATGGTTGTTCTATTACTGATGCTTGTATTGGTTGGGATGACACTGAAAACGTGTTGAAGACTTTATCTGATGCTGTTAAAGCCAGAAGAACCAAGGCTAACTAAAACCACCTAGGTTAAATAAAAGTACCATTTCTGTAATAAATTCTTGTGTTTAGTATTATGATAATCAATTAACTTCTTCCTCAAATAATGTTTTGATGTCTTCTATTCTTCTTTGACGTTTCACTTCTTCTTCCTCCATTGAAACGGCCTCACCCAACTGTTTCTTTCGAGCTTGGATCTTTAGCATCTTTTGTTCAATACTATTCTCCACAATGAACCTTATGACCTTGACGTTTTTATCTTGTCCTATTCTGTGGATTCGATCTATGGCTTGATCCTCAATGGATGGTGCCCACCAGATATCCATCATGAAGGCAGTTGAGGCAGTGGTTAAATTTAACCCCACACCTCCAGCCTTTAAGGAAAGCAACAACACACTGACCTTATCTGAATCAATAGGACTATTGAATTTATCAAGCACAAGCTGTCTTTCGTTCATCTTCATTCTTCCGTCGAATTTGTACACTTGATAATCGTCGGAACCTTGAATCTTGAGTTCGGATTCGATAATGTCAAGATACGATGAGAATTGAGAGAACACAACCACTTTCTCTCCTGGTTTCTGTTGTCGAATAATCTTTAAATGTCGAATTAATGCTTGGATCTTGGTCGATGTTGTTCTGGGATCATATAAATATAGTTTGAATTTATAATCATTTGTATCATCGTCATCATCGTCAACAGCTTGTGAGTAGAAATTGACTTCCTTTCTTCTGGTTTCTCGATTAAGTATTCTAAAGATCTTATACTTTGATAATGGTTGTCGACAGTTGGGACACAATGGCTGTGTGTGAGACTTTTGTTGGAACTCAATATGGTCAAGAATACAACTTAAACAATATTGATGGCCACAATGAGTTATGCAATGTTCACCAATTGAAATGGGACTTTCAGTACAAATTGAGCATTCTGAGTTTTCTAAATCAATCAAATTGTAAAGGGAATACATGCACTGTTTGAAATCCAGTTGAGTTTTGAACTCATCGTTCTCGTCTCTGGAAAGAATAAGCTGACGGATTTCCTTCAAGATCTCATCGCTTTCTTTACCATTGGTATCAACATCCAACTCCAATTCACTAGTAGATCCAACCAAATTAATGTGACAACATATTTGTCGAAGACGAAGAATTTGTGTTAAGATTTGGGAATATTTCTTTAATAATTCACCAGATCGAAGACCCTCTTGGAATGTATTGGAGGCTCTAACTTTAAACCAATCATAGACTTTCTGTTCCTTTTCACTAAGTGTGAGGTTTTCAACTATCACTTCCTTTTCTGGTAATTCCACCAAGAGTTTCCCATTCTTTTGCTTCATGTTTTTAGTTCTTCGTAATAAAATTGGTTCAAGAATTGCTTGAATCACCTCTAGAGTTTGGTCTGCTTTCTTTTGTTCAAATGGTAAGGTAATAAATGTTTTCCAATATGAAAAATTACTCCAAGGTTCCACCTGTAAAAATTTAATCAATGAATATAAATCATCCAATCGATTAATAATTGGAGTCCCAGTTAATGCCCATCTTCTTGATGCCTTAAGTCCATTAACTGATTTTGCAGTTTTAGTACTTCTATTTCTTATGTTATGTGCTTCATCCAAAACAATTCTGAAGAATTTAACAGAATAAATACCAAAGTTGGGCAAGTTCCCATCTTTATCCCGTAACTTATTGTATCGAATATATTCATTGACAATGGTTCCATAAGTTGTTAATAATACCACTGGAATTTGTTCAGAGCAGTCATCATCTTTGCAAAGAGAATGCCGTAAATCCATGGTAGTCAGATCACCATAGTATATTTGGCATTTAAATTTTGTATTGGCATTAATTTTATCAAATTCATTTTTCCATTGTTGTAATAGCGACATCGGCAACACTATCAAAGTTGTCTTGGAAGCATATCTACTGCCACTATTTTGGTCTTCTTGTGTTGAGATATTAGTATCAAAAGGTACAGAGGAAATCAATGCATATGTTGATATTGTCTTCCCCAATCCCATTTCATCTGCAATGATACCACCTTTAAGAGCAGTTTTAAGAATTGGAACTTCAATGGATAATTCCCCATTATACATATTAGCATAAAAGTAGTTGCTCCCAGACCCTCGTCTAGCACCAATGGTTTTCGCTTTAAGATTATCATACGAAATATCTTTGGGCCATTTATATTTCCTCCATAAAGGATTAAATACACCTTCTTCTCGACTTTTAATAAGGGTTCTAGATTGTGTGGAAAGGTTATTACTACCATTTTGGTTAGCCAACTCTTCTAGAACAGAGATTTCCTTTTCTCTTGTTAATAACCAAGACAATCCATGTTTTTGATACGGTCTTAAAGTGACTTTAAAGTTCTCTGTCGGAGGTGTAGTAGTTTCTGGAAGGGTAGTAAAGAGTTCGGATTGGTTATTGTTCTGATAGAACTTTGTGAGTTGGTTGACATTTAATTGGTCCACTGGCTTAATATCCTGAGCTTCAAGATCATATTGTTCATCATCACAATCAATAACATCATTACTACTACTATTATCATCATTATTGACTTCTTCTTTATCATTGTGCATCTTCAATGGTTTGATTTCTAGTTTACCAAACAATTCACTTAGCGAATATTGTCTTAACTTAAGTAACCATTCACCTTCTGACTCTTTCATGTAATCGAAGGAAGTCGAAGTTGACTTCTGTCGTTTGGAACCCTTGGAAATGAATCCATTGGTTTGAGAAAGAGAATAAAGAGTTTTCTTAGAGGCAAAAGCCATATTGGTCAAGAAACAATCTACTTGAACGTAAAATGAATCACCAATAGATAATCGACCTTTGGTGGTCATCAACACCGTCATGTCAAAAACACACATTTCCAAGTCCAATAAAGGGGAAAAGAACTTGTTGAATTCTTCAGGGACTCTACCTATTTCTCTCGAATCAGTTCCTGTAGTGAAGATCCTAGCAATAGAAGATTCTGCTTGTTTCTTTGATTGAAGACGACGAAGTTCAAGTTTCTGTTCGAAAACAAGAGGTCGTAACATTGGTCTTGTGGCATAAGCTTCAACGTTGAACGTTCCTATGAATTGGCTCCATCTTGAATCCAATTCCAATTGGATTTGTCGTTTGCTTTCGTCAAGAATCTTTTGGTTAAGATCATCAACTGAACCTTCAGTTTCAATTGAACTTCCATTTTCAGCTGATGGCAAAGACGAAGAAAGTTCACCCTTTAAATACTCTGTCAATACCTGCTTCAACGTCAACTTACCCAGAACATACTCATCATAAAGAAGCTTAGTATCACGAGAATTGATGTGTCCTAGTTCGCTCTCTAAGTACTCACCAAACTCCTTCTCAGACATGACAAAGTCATCACCACCAGAAACAGCAACTTGTGCCTGGAAGTCCTCGTCTTTAACAAAGAGGGAAGACGCATCTTGGGACTTGGCTAGAGCCTGATCTATAGGCGTGAAGAATCTCTTCCGTGCAACCATTGCTAAAAGAATGGTCTAATTGTGACTGGTCAAATTGTGACTGGTAGTATTATACGCGTCGCATTTATATTACCGATCTATATAACTAAGTTGTCAACATTTAACAAGCTTCTATACGACATAGGGTCCCACCCTATACTCTTACACCAATATTCAACATTTCCCAAATGTAGGGTGATGATATCTGATTCCATATCCTTTGTTAGGAGTTGCATGTAGTCCATAGTCAAAAGGATGTCCTCTTTCCGGAAACACGATAGTTCACTTAGTTCGTCCAAGGTAATGTTAGGCTTAGGGCTATGACTGTGACTGTGACTATAATTGACAAGGATTGATGCCAATTTCTTTGACCAATATCGAAGATATGTCACCTTCCCAAAAGGTGATAGTGGATATTCGGGTCCACTAATGTGTTGTTTGTATTCTCTTTTGCTGAGTTCATACAGAAATTCAATCAATAAGGACCCCAAGTGTCTTCTTTGGAAAATGGGGAATATACATATACATGCAAGATTAACTTGTGTTTCCCATGATAAGACTTCTTTGGAGAAGAATCCCAAAGGAACAAGATCAACAAGATCAACATTATTGGTTGATCGGGCTGATTTCCGCCTGCTTCTTCTTGTCTTTGTCTTTGTCTCTGTATCTTGCTCGTCTCGTCCATAAATCACATAGAAATCAAAGTTATCAACGTTGTAGAACACAGACTTATCCTCCAAGAATAGCTTACCAAATAGAGATAAGTTTTGACAGAACAACGGGTTCTTGAAACCTCGGATCTGTCGTATGACAATGTGGTTATCGTCGTCTCTGTAGCACATTTTGCCTATAGTTGGTCGGGGAACTCGATAGCAACATTTGTCTCTATGAGATGCCATATGCGAACCATTGGTGGTGTATTTGAAACAGTAATTGCACACGTACAATTTGGATATCCAATGGGAAGAAGACGACTGTTGCTGCAGGTTCTGCTGCAGTTGCTGTGGCTGCTGTTTCCGTCGTTTAAACGTGGGATCATTGGCCACTTTATTAGCATATTCATACCCTGGAATCGAGTGTTCGGTGCCATAGAAATACGCTGCGTTGCCGTACCACGTATCAAATTCCCGGTTACCAAACACAACCCTGTCTATGTTACGCTCTTCGAGCATTCCATAGAACTCATCGGCCTTCTTCCGTCGACCCTCATTGGTCATTGCTCAGTGTACGGTAAGTATCATACAATTAACAGGGTACAGTTGTGCCGTACAATTGTACATACAATAGGCACCATACAATTTTGTAAGTGAGTGTGCGAATCATTGTAGTAGAACAGATACTATGATGCTGTAATACTGCTCCTACCACTGTACTGTTTCACTGTACTGTTCCACTGTACTATTGTCTGTACTATAGTTTGCACCGTTGTACGCTCCATAGTCCCACGTTATGCCACCAAAGGGTTGGAGAAAGAATGCTGATGGTCAATACCCGCAACCACGCAAGTCTCAAGAACTAGTGTCTATAGATGAAGTGCTATTCCCCAAGTCCATAGTCCAGAAACTATCCAAACAAATTCTTCAGGAGAACGAACCAACGGGAACCAACGTTCTTATCGCCAAAGACGCGTTAACGGCCATTCAACGGTCGGCCACCGTGTTTGTATCGCACATGTTATTCCATGCCAAACGGGAGTCTAAGCTAAGTGATCGAAAGACCATTAATGATAAGGATATCTTTGCTGCATTGGAACGGTCAGATTTCGCTGGGTTTATTCCGGAAGTCAAAGAGAAGTTGGCCGCGTATGAAGCTCAATTGGCTTTGAGAAAGAGAGCCAAAGCAGATGCCAAACAGAGAACAGTAGCCGTCGATTCAGAGTCAATGGAGCCAGAGTCCATGGAGCCAGAGACCAAGAAATTGAAGAATAACGACTCGGAAGTGGCCAAAGCAGGTGACGAAGAAGAGAAAGATGATGACGAGGAAGAAGGTGACGAGGAAGAAGAAGAAGAAGAAGAAGAAGAAGAAGAAGTAAAAAAGGAACAGGACGACATCGATGAAGATGACGATGAAGAGGAAGACATCGATGAAGACGTAAACGACAATCCCATAGCTGTTTTAGGGAAAGAAAGTGTTGAACTTGAAGGTAACGAAGCACCAGACTCAATAGAGAATGCCATCGTAGTATCAGATTCAGAATCAGATGATGAATAATTTCAAACTATATACTCTAATTAATTGACACACCTATCAAAGAACGGATACCCACATAAATCACCAACTATCAAGTAAAGAATAAACACCACCATACTGACTAATATTCCCATAACCTTATACTTGGAGAGCCACATCTTTTGTCTAATCTGTTGAGCTTTCTTCTGGAATACCAGAGAAGAAGTTGTCAAGCGATCAGTTTGATCCACTAATGAATTGATTCTGTTTCCTCTGCTCATAAGTTTATTTATGTTGTCTAACATCAATTGTCTTACTTCTTCCACTTCTTCATTGGCCAATAGTAAGTTATTAGGTTGAATAACATCAGAGCCAGAACCAGGCCCAATATTACCTGTCTTATTGTTGTTACCAATACCATTACCATTACTGCTTGTTCGGTCTCCTCCTGGTTCAATGGACCCATAATTGTATACCAGAGGTTTCAAATCATAATTCCTTTCTTCTTGTTCTATAATCTTATTCATAATTGGCTTGAATTCTCCAGTGCTTGGTTGCCCCCCTTTGATGGTGTCGACTTTGGCTCTAAACTCAATATACTTATCAATGATCTTCTTCATCACAGAAAGAATCATCGTCTTACTAAGACTATTATGTGCTATGGTAACTACAGTCATAAGATCATTACTACCATCTCCATTGGTAATAACCTTCTTCATGAAATATAATGCTAAGTTGGTATTGGTCACCTTGACATTGGAACTCACAGGGATAGATCCTATTAACGTTTTGGATGCATTGATAAGCCCCAACTCTTGTGAAATTGCTTCGGAACAATTCAAATTGGTGATGCTATGAATCAACTTATAATTCTCGTATGTAAAGAGTGTAGTTGAATTAACCGTCAATGTAGCATAAAGCACTGTGAAGGTTAGTATAAGTTATTGTGATTAGTCCAATTTTATTATTATGGCTTTTTAATTGGTCTTATCTCCGCACACATACAGTTCTTACTATAATCAGGTGGACTCATGTTTAAACAGCTGATGTGACAATGAAGGTGGTGCAAGCAACAGTAATGATTAACTTTTGAAGATGTTTGGGGGTTAGCAGTCAGCCACATCAAACCCGCGGTGTAGGTTCGATTCCGGGGTGGGATGTTTCTCAGACAAAGTTACACAAAATCGGTTACTATATACAAACACCATCTCATCTCATTTCACTACAATTATACAGCTGTGGTCTACTTCTTATCATTAGCCATGGGGAAATATAGAAAGAGATTCAATGAGAAGGCCCGTGCTGGAATGCTTGCCAAACAGGCAGCGCTAAAGCGTGTGCGGAATAAACAGTTCAATGTGACGGATGCCACCACCAATGAAGATGATGATGATGCTAACACCAACTTCTTTGGGGAGACGGAAAACCCCAATTCAGAAATACTTAAACCTATGACTCAAGAGGAAAAGAGCAAACGGAAAAGAAAGATGGAACAGCAGCTCTATAGTGAGAACTCTAAGGAAACCAAATTGTCCAAAGCCAAGAAGAAGAGGTTGGATAAATACATTGAACATCAAATAAAGAGAGAAGAGAAGAAGGTACTCTTTGAAAAGTTGTCCAAGACTAAAGTTGATACGTCTATTTTATCTTCTTCCAAGTTATTAGGTGTTGGGAGACAAACGAGGAAGGAAGAGATGATTGAGGCACTTGAGCTTGAGAGGCAAGGTAGAGGAGACGAGAGAACTAAAGAGATATTGTATGAAGAACGAGAAGTCAAAGAATGGCCACCCGAAGGAATAGACACCAGGATGTCATATGAAAGCGATGGTGATGAAGATGAAGATGACGATGACAAGTATGGAGAGTTTAGTCAGAGTCAAACAACATTTATAGACCATAGGCCTAGTAAGTTTGGAGGTACAGGGTCTGGATTTACGTTTAGTAATATTACAAAGAAGGAGAAGAAGGAGTCTAAGAAGAAGTATTCATGGAGACTTCGTGTTGAGAAGGAAGACAAGAAGAAATTGCATATGGAAGAGGAAAAGGATTTTGAGTCCAGTGAAGAAGAGGAGGATGAGGAAGAAGACCATGACGACGAAGAACAAGAAGAAGATGAGGCTGAAGATGATGATGCTGAAGATGATTCTGAAGAAGATTCTGAAGAAGGTGAGGATGAAGATTCTTATGAAGACGATAAAGATTCTATTGAAGACGATGAAGATTCTATTGAAGACGATGAAGATTCTATTGAAGATGAAGACACTGACGACTCCGAATCAGACGATGATCAACCTCGATTACTTAAGAATAAACCCAAACATTCGTCATTAGCAGAGTCTTTCAAACAATGGGCTGAGAGTCAAATCAAAGTCATGGAAGGAAGAGAAAACACTCTGATGCCTGAACTATCGGAAAAGGTTAAGAAACAATACCTGAAACAAACCGTTAGAGACGAAGACATTGACCATTCTTCAGATGAAGAGAATTATATTTCAATTGACAAGACCTTAAAACGGAATGCTTATTATGTTGACGTCTCGAGGTCTGAACAAGTTCAACAACAACGTATAGGCTTACCAGTTTTCGGCGAGGAACACAGACTAATGGAAGGAATATATCATCATGATTGTGTTGTTATTTGTGGTGAAACTGGTTCCGGTAAAACCACCCAAGTCCCTCAATTCTTATATGAAGCAGGATTTGGTGGTCCTAATCCCGAGTACCCGGGCATGATTGGAATCACCCAACCCAGAAGAGTGGCTGCTGTCTCAATGGCTTCCAGAGTTGGTAATGAATTGGGAAACCATAAACATCGAGTCGGGTATCAAATTCGATTCGACACCACTGTGGAAAACGAAGGGAAACCTAACGGTACAGCGATTAAGTTCATGACTGATGGTGTCTTGCTTAGAGAAATGATGACCGACTTATTGTTGAAGAAGTACTCTGTTTTAATAATTGATGAAGCCCATGAACGGAACATAAACACCGACATTCTTATTGGGATGCTTTCCAGAGTCGTTAAGTTAAGAAGACAATATTATCAGAAGGATCCCAACACTTATAAGCCATTAAAGCTTATCATTATGTCTGCCACTTTGAGAGTCTCTGATTTCACTGAGAATAAAGTGCTCTTTAAATCACCACCTCCAGTGTTAAAAGTGGAAGCAAGACAGTATCCCGTTAGCATTCATTTCAGTCGTCATACAAAATACGACTACATTGAAGAGGCTTTTAAAAAGACTTGCAAGATCCACAAACGATTGCCTTCTGGTGGAATCTTAATCTTCATGACAGGACAAAACGAGATCACCACTTTGGTTAAAAAGTTAAGAGCAGAGTTCCCCTTTGCTACCAAGAAGAAGAACAAGTCATTTGCCTATGGCAACGGGATGGATATCAAAGTAAAGAGTAACATCAACATTGAACCTGAGGCAGAAGAAGTTGACTTTAGTATTGGTGAACAGACCTCAGTTAATGATAATGATAATGACGTAGATGATTATGATTCTGACTCGGGATCTGAATCCGACGGTTTTGAAGAATGTTTGGATCCTGACCAATCGGAAGACGATCCCTTATATGTTCTTCCGCTTTACTCTCTCTTGCCCACCAAGGAACAAATGAAGGTCTTCGATGAGGCTCCAAAGGGAAGCAGAATCTGTATTGTTGCTACCAACGTTGCTGAAACCTCCTTGACTATCCCAGGCATACGATATGTGGTGGACTGTGGAAGACTGAAGGAGAGAAAGTATAATGAAGAGACTGGAGTCCAATCATTTGAGATCGACTGGGTCTCCAAGGCATCAGCTGATCAAAGAGCTGGTAGAGCTGGTAGAACAGGACCTGGTCATTGCTATCGGTTGTTTTCATCTGCTATTTATGAGCAATACTTCCCTCAGTTTAGTAAACCCGAGATTCTCAGAATGCCTTTTGAAAGTGTGGTGTTATCAATGAAAAGTATGGGCATTGACAATGTGGTTAACTTCCCCTTTCCTACTCCCCCAGCCAGAGAGTCTTTGGCTAATGCGGAAAGATTATTGGTTAATTTGGGTGCCGTAGATGATAAGGGACTTGTTACCGAATTGGGTAAGTCGATGGCCATGTTCCCTCTTAGTCCAAGGTTTGCAAAGGTGTTGATTATTGGTAACCAATTTGGATGCTTACCTTATATCATTTGCCTTATGTCTGCTCTCTCTGTTGGAGAGTTGTTCCTTAATGAAGTGGAGATAGGAATAGTGCACAAGACACAAGTAGATGATGATGAAGAATATGACCACCAAAATGATGAAAGAAATAAACAACTTAGATCCAAATTTTATCAATCTAAAGCTATGTTTTCTAGGCTTGATAAATCCAGTGATGCCTTTCAATTGTTATCGGCTATATGTGCATATGACCATGTTCCGGAGAACAAAAGGAAGTCATTTGTTGATGATAACTTTATAAGATTAAAGACGTTGGAGGAAATCATCAAGCTTCGTAGGCAACTAAGTTACATCGTCAAGATCTACACCAAGAAGGACTCAATAGCACAAGATGATGAGGGGGATGACGGCATTAAACCATTGGCTGTTCCCTCCAAGAAACAAATCGTGGCCATTAAACAAATGTTGGCAGCTGGATTTATCGATCAAGTGGCCATTAGAGGAGACCTTGTTGATTCAGAAGTAAGACTCGGGAATAAAATGAGCATCGGTGCTATTCCCTACAAGACAGTTAGCACTAGTGTTGAATTTGGTGATGGTGTTGATCCCTTCGTTTATATTCATCCAAGTTCCATCCTTGTACAGCAAGGACAAGTACCTCCTTCGTATTTGGTCTACCAAACAATCAATAGAGGATCATCTAAGAAGAATGTTGATGACGAAGGTGGATCTGCTCAGCCCATCAAACTTAAGATAAAACCTTTGGTGGATATCTCTGGGAAAGCCCTTACTAATGTGGGTAAGAACTCTTCATTGGTCACATATTCCAAACCTTTGGGTCATCCTTATGCTCCAAAGAATATCACTCCTACTAAACGAGAGTGTTATGTTATTCCTAGATTTGGTGCTTCTATTGGTAAAGGTGGAGTGGGATGGGATTTACCAGTAGTGAAGATGATCCAAGTTAAGAAGGGGGGTCAATGGGTGAACAGTTAGACATCATAAGTACATTAAAGTAAACACAGGTAATACTAAGACGTTATACTTCTTTTTTATGTTTACGTAATATTGCAATTCTGATTACATAAAATTTTTCGCTTATTACATAAGCAATCACTATGTCAAATTGTTTACATTTACATCTCATCAATGAAATACAATCACTAATTCTTCTTCTTCTTCTAACCCAACTTTATGAGTTGTTGTAATGAGCTCAAACCTAAGAACCAGAGACGATGGCGGCTCCGTGTCGGAGATGGAGTCATCCTCTTCACTTATACCGTCGGAAGTAGTTGATGAAGCTTCCCAACGTACATTTGCCGTGTCGATCTTTGTGTTGATTCAAGCATGGAAACTCTTTGATCTTGTGACTATAAAAGTAGGTGAAGATACGGGGAGGGATAGTTTTTCATTTGTTGTTAAATATATCTTTGTGGATGGGCTATTTATTTGGACCCTTTCACTATTAAATATTCTGGGGCTTTCCTATGGACCAGTCCGAGCCCTTTTATATTCCGTTGTGCTATTTGCGATCTCATTAGTGGGCATTAGCAACGGGTTCACGCCATTGGCCAATGGGTTTATAGAATCAGTGGCGAAAGTAGTACGAGATCATAAGGAATTGACCATAGCTGGTGAGAGAGTAGTGGCAGAGAATGCCATTGACCTAGATTCCCATTTCAAGGGTAAGTATACGATTAACTTCTTACCTGATGCTTCTGCTAGAATGAATCCCTTTGGTTTTAATCTGTTGTGTCTTGATGGCTCTAAAACTGTGGTGAATATGCCTATTGAGTTCAATACAACCTCGGCTTTAGGAAGCTTCCAAATCCAGCGTATCACTGAAAATAACAATAAGGTGACGCTTCTAAATTATACCAAATCGGATATCACAAGGTTCCAAAAGAAAGATTATACTCATTTGAAAAAATATCCAAAATATAGAGCTGATGATGAAAGAATCTTTTATTTGGAATATCCAATCACAACCCCAGGAACGTACACTATTAAGTCAGTCACTGATGAAAATGGAATAAGTATACGAACTTATAAATCTGTGTTTAAGATTGCCCAATGTCCTCTGGTTGAATTTGTTCCTACTCATACCAACACTAATTACTGGTGTTTGGAGGATACTGCTGTGCCACAACAGCTTTCCCTTCCATTGGTTAAAGTCAAAGCTGTGTTTCCTGCTGTAGTTAAATACATTGCTACTTTAAATGGTAAACCTTACCACAAGTTTGAAACCAAAGTTGAAAATGAAAATAATGGGGAAGGTAGTGCTTCTTATACCAGAAACTTTTTGGAACAGGAGCTTTATAAACATCCTGAAATACTAGCTAAAGCTAAGCCTGGTGCCATTGAGTTTCATTTAAGTGAGATTAAAGATGGCTTAGGGGTTAGCAGAAGGTTCAATACTGCCTTGAAAGAAACCAATGTATGGCATAAATTGGTACTTAAAGGTTCAATAGGTTTGAAGCTTGTTGATAAGAGTCCTCAGGAAGATTTGATTGAAAATGGAGACAAGACTCTATTTATAGAGTCACTGAACATTGAAGATTCCGAATTCCCCATTTCAATCACTTTCCAATATGATGGTAATGGTTCAGATATACTTCTGCATAACATTACCAAGATATTCCAAACAAGAGAACAATTGAGTAAAGGAATTAACGTCAAGTCACAGGGGAAATATAATATAATAAGTGCTCTGTCGAAATTTTGTCCATGCAAATTCTCCAAAAATCAATACGTTTCTCTTGCATTAGCACAGAAAGCACATGTTAAAATTTCAGCTTCACCAGTTACGGATGCTTGTATTGGTACTCTAGGATATATTTTTGATTTTGATTTCATAGGGAAACCTCCATTTCAAGTCGACTACCAAGTTTACAGAAATCACTCCGGTACCTTATCACCTGTTTATGATTCAACTGGTTCTACAATAAGACATATCAAGACAAGCTTTAGATCGTTTAAGTTTGAATATAAACCTGAAACAGAGGGGAACTTTGTGGTCAAATTTTCCAAACTTAAAGATATGAATTATTATGCTAAACCAATACAGTTGGAAGATAAAGTAAACACTTATGAAACCTACTTTAAGAAAAAATCTCAAGTTTCATTTTCGAAATCAGGTCATGGACTGATGATTATTCGACCATGTTATAATGAAAGTGTTGATATCCCCGTATACTTCACTGGGAATGGTCCCTTCTCCTTTGCTTATTCATTGATTGATATTACTAGTGGTGAAAAATTAATTCAATCTGTTCCCGTTAAGGATGTAACTGGTGAATATGTGATTCAAACCCCGAAATTGACTAAGAGTGCTCGCTATAAGGTTGATATTCTTAATCCTGTTGATGGTGCTTCTTGTGGAGTTGTCAAACACTCCAGTGATTCAGTAATAATAGAATCCAGAGGAGAAATTCCCAAGGTATCGATTGCAGAAGATCTGAAGATAATAAAAATTGTTGAAGGTGATAGTTATAGAATCCCCTTGGATTTTCAAACCGATGTTGGTAGACAAACATCCGATTTATTGAGGTTTAAACATGTTGTTGATTCTTCTAAGATAACCTTTGGAGAATTGAAATCATCTGAAAACTTTATTGTACTGAAGGAAGGTACTTATAGTTTGGAATCATTTAGTAATGGTGGATGTAATGGTGAAATTGTGTTCCCTCAACGAAGCATTACAATTGAATACTATGAAAGACCTTCAATATCTGTTATTGCTGAGGACGTGGCATCCACACCTATTCCAGGACATTTTGAATTACATAAAGTGTGTCAAACTGGATCTCGACGGGCTACACTCAAATTCAGTGGTAGTCCACCATTTGTCATTGATTATACAGTCAAATTACCTAATGGAAAGATTGAAAGTGGATCTATGACATCTAATTCTAAATCTATGATTATTAATTTGCCCACTGAACAATTTGGGACGTATGAGCATTCGTTTACGGGGATTTTTGATTCACATTATACCAAACAGAAACAACGACTGAATCAAGATATTACCACTAATATTCGATATGAAGTACGAGCTAATCCTCTAGCGGTATTCACAAAAGACCAAAATTTCCTTCAAGTCTGTGAATCCAATTTTAAAAACAGTAAGTTGGCATTACCTATTAGCTTCACCAGTGGAGATTCACCGTTCACTGTAAGTTTTAAACTTGACAATGACAGGCAGTTCACAATTGAGAATATAGTTAAAGATATTGTGGATATAAGTGAACATGTGACTCATTTAGATGTTGGAGAGCATTTAATTGAGATGATCAACATAACTGACTCCAACGGGTGTACCAGTTCGGAACTTAGTACTAATGACAAATATGTTATTCACATCACGGAGACTCCAGATGTTGAGAGGGTTGGTATTAAGACAGATTATTGTGTTGGAGATCACGTGTACTATAATCTCAGTGGAGTCGGTCCCTTCACAGTATTCTATCGCTTTAGAGGTCAACTACAAAGAGCACAAGTGTTACATTCCTTCAGAAGACTTGCAGCCAAGGCCGGGACGTTAGAGATTGAAGCCATCACCGACTCATCCCGAGGCTCTTGTTTGGTTAATTTCACCCAGACTCCAGTGAAGTTTGAAGCCTTGAAGCTTACAGTGCATGAGCTTCCCTCGGTCGAGATCAATCAGGGTGATAACATAGTGGAGAACATCCATGAAGGGGACCAGGCGGAGATCAAGTTCACGTTCAAGGGTACCCCACCGTTTAGAGTGAAGTACATTAGAACTGTTGAAGACAAGCAGAAGAAGAGACTGGCACCCGTGGTGGTTGAAACCAAAGTCCTACAAGATATTTGGGACTATGAACATCATGAATTGGTTAATATGGAAGGTACTTATGAGGCCGTGGAGATCTATGATTCTCATTGTCATGTGATTAAACAGTAAATATATTAGTTACGACTAGTTATCATTATCATTATTATTATTACTTATTAGCGTCGTCGGGCCGTTTCTTTGTAAGTTCATTGACGATCTTACTGGCAAAGTATAGCGACAAGGTCTGTCTGTTTTCGTCGATCAATGTCTTTGTCTTTTCCTTCTGTTCCACGTCGAAATACGTGGTGTACTTTGTGTCGATCTTTCGGACGAGCTTAAGGTCCTTATTGGAGATCTGGTTGCCCATGTCGTGCGTGGTGATCTTGAAGTTGACCTTGTTGTAGGTGGTGGTGATGGTTGGATGGTGTTTCAACTCGTGGGCTGCTTGGGCTGCTTCGTTGAGGAAAAGCCATGTCTTGGCAAACGTCGGGAACTTGTAGTCTGATTCCAAGTGGGATTCATTGGTTGATTCGTTGAACACTGCCTTCCATTTGGGGCCGTTGCGGGCATTGATGTATTTGAGTTCCGACTCTATCAATTGTCTGGAGAGTCTCATGGTGGTGGAGCAGAATACACTGAGGTATATGTATCGGTTTTATACTACCGAGTATATATAGCACTGTAGAAGGAGTATAGAGCACGCTGTACTAGTCTAGTGTTTGACGGTAGTATACCGGTAGTATACTACGGTTGTGTGCGTATTTTTTTCAAAAATATAACACAACTATTTCTTTATCGATGATCTCCGGATTATACATTGTCTACTGGCCCAAAAGAGACTATGAGTTTCTGGAATGTGAATTGCTTCTCTTCCGATGTTATCGACACCATTTGCCGGCGGAGCACGTGGTTCTCGAACGGTTTGTTGAGGCCTATAAACAGTTGAAACCTGAAGGGTGTATACCGGTGCTCCTGATCAAAGGACTTAACTATATATTTTATCGAACCACCAATGATTTGATCTTCTTGGGTGTGACTCGTCAGAACATCGATGTCATGGAAACCATCTGGTTCCTCAAGAGCTTCCAGCACACATTGAGTCAATATGTGTATGAGGGACGACATCATACCACGGAGGAGTCCAACAGTTGTATTTCCAAGACAATCGAATTGGACCGTGATGTCATTATGGATAACTTCAATTTGATCTATGAATTGTTTGATGAGTGCGTGGACTTTGGCATACCGCAAATGACCAACTACAATGTGCTAAGAGAGTTCATCAAAGTGGGTGCAAACCTTCCGCAAACACCAGAGAGTCATTACTCTTCTGAGGACGACGATGATGACAATGGCGATGCTAAGAACGGCACGAAACAAAGATCACTGACGAAACTGAGTCATAATCAATCAAAACTTAATCAGACAAAGATGACTTCCTCCTCTAACATGGCGAAGAAACTTGCACTCTTTGAGATTTCAGCGTCCGTCAATCCCTCGATCTTGAGAGACGCATCTCTGAAGTATGGTTGGAGGCCCAAGGGAATCTTCTATGCTAAGAACGAAATATACGTGGATATCGTTGAAGATTGCGAGTTCCACTACGACTTACAAACCCAACGGATTAGAAAGAACGATATCTACGGAACAATTGCAGTGAAATGCTATTTATCCGGTATGCCACTTTGCAAAATTGGGTTTAATGAGTCGAATATGTCCCGAGTACATCAAGATGAAGTAGCTGCAATGTCACTCGAAGAAGAACCAGAAGGTAACCAACTCAAATCTTCAAATTTTCCTGAAGAAGAAGAAGAAGAAACAGCCATTAAAAGATCTCGGATTCCATTGGGTAATATTAATTTCCACCAATGTGTTCAATTGGAAGAGGTTATAAGTGATAATCTTATACGATTTTTACCTCCAGACGACAGATTTATCTTGCTCACATATCATGTTGAACAACAGAAACAGATCCATAAATTACCAATTGTATTGATTGAGCCCAAGTATATTGTTCATCGCAATCAAAAGACATTGGTAATTCAATGTACTTTGACTTCTAATTATTGGAAGAGATTAAAGAGTCTGAAAATGTTGGTGAAAATTCCTATTAATCCCCATTTGTTTGATCTTAAATTTGAACAAGATGATGATTTGAAATTTAAAGCCGAAATGGGTGACGTCAAGTACAATCTTGATTCTTCTGAACTCTTCTGGACTATCCATGGACTTTCAGGTAAACATAGTGTTAGAATGATGGCAGAGTTTTCATTACAAGGAGATTGTAAGCAAAGCATTACCCAAGAGAAGTTAATATCGATTTGCAATAATCGATTTGATGCTGCTGACGATGATCATCATAACCTTCACCCAGAAGACGAAATTGACGAATCTCAGCGAGAATTGGACGAGTTCTATGGGGTCAACGGGGCCCAAGTTTCTCTGTTGAAGGAAATCAAACGTAATCTTAAAAGAAGACGGCATGAATTCAATAATATTTCTATTGGATTTGAAATACCATTGATGACCTACTCGGGCTTAAAACTCACGTATCTACGAGTGGATGAAGATCAAATGAAATATACATGTTTCCCGTGGGTCAAATATACTACGATCTCCGGGTTTAAGACAACCGGGGGCAACGCCAATATTGAATCTAATTGTAATTATCGATTCAAACTTGGAATTAGATGCTTTCAATTGACAGATTAAAGGTGAATGGAGTCGGGAATGTGCTCTATATCTTTATTATCCGCCATTGGTGGTACTGACACGACCCAGATGGGCAAAGTCATCCCAATTAGGCAAAGATTTCCACACCACATCCCATCAATGCTTATCTTATCTTTAAGTAGCAAATGGGTGTTAAATAATGTTGATGTCGCTATTCGGGGTATGTTTTGGGTATAAACTTTTACACACATAACAGTTTCAAACCCATTAGCTTTCATTCGATGAACGAAATATGAGCAAAAGAAATGTGTCTGTAATCACTGACGATAAGAACACCATTAAGCCAAAGATCATCAAATCAAGAACGGGCTGTTTGACATGCAAGAAGAAACGATTGAAGTGTGATGAAGGTAAACCGTTCTGTCAGAAATGTAAGTCAAAGGGCTTCATTTGTGGTGGATATGTTACCAACTTTGTATGGAAGCCATTTGGAGAAACATGTGGAAGTGGTGGGAATGTTAATAAGAAGAAGAAATCAAAGAAAGATAGAGAAATATTGGATGTATCTGGATCAACGTCGTCATCAACAGTTATTTCCAATGACACTGATTCAACTGATGGAGCTAGGGTTCCAATGAATGATAGTATTAGAAAACATGTGGAAATGGCATCGCTCTCCATTACTGGTAAATCCATAACTGATATGGAAATTGAGCATGAATTGATTTCCAAAGGTCTAAATCCAATTCTTCATAAGATGGTGGTCAAAGAAGATCCACTGAACTCAGAAGATGATGAAGTCTTGATAGAATCCAAACCTTTGAAAAGAACTCAAAGCTTTAATCATACTAGTGATTTCCAAGAACCTTTGGCGATGAATATGCGTCGAAGTTACAGTTCAAATAATGCTGTCGCCAGTGTTATTCAAGAACTCCGAAGAACTCAAACTCGTAGGTCATCAAGAAGTGGTGGAGGTTTGGATTCTTTAGCAAATATTGCTATAGAAGAAATCTCCAAAGGGTCACCTCCTCCAATTTCTGAAATTTCAGGTACTATTAAAATGTCACCACAATCCTTTTCACCAATGGGTGATTTCATGAAGATGCCTTCACCTTCAGATTCCAAAGAGAATATTCCTCCAGCTCAAACATTCAACTTTTCTCCTCAAATATCTGCATTATTAAATTTTGCTCTTAATGATGTCAGTAATGCTACCAACAGTTACAATGGCTTAAAACTGTCGTCCGATATGCCATCTCCACTCAGTTTATCTGTTCAACAACCACAGCTTCAAATGATAACACTAGATGAACCAATAATACGAAGAAGCTCTTCAGCTTCCTCGGAGAATGCACCACCACCTTCTCCATTAAATGATGTGATTATGGCACTTTCTTCACCAAAATCATTATCACCATCATCCATATCATCTTCATTCAATTTATTCCCCTCACCAAGCACTCCAGCCAGCTTATCACTACTTGAATCAAGTGAAAACGATCAAATCTTATTTCTTTATTCCCAATACACTTGTTCAATCATGTCTATTAAAGATGGACCTAATGAAAACCCTTGGAGGAACATGATTATACCATTAGCTCCGCGATATCCATGTTTATTCAACTCCATTGCCTCAATGACTCTTTTCCATTTAGCCGGAAATTCCGATGTTGCTAGTGATAGTGCTAATCTCCGGGCCAGAGGTTATTCCTTTATGAAAAAATGTATATTGGAATTGGCCTCTAATTTGAGTAAGAACTCAATATGTGATGAAGCTCCAGAACTACCAGCAGATATAGTCTTAGCTATTTGTTTGAACTTGGCAGTTAGTGAATCTTGGAATACTCAAACTTCCTCGGGCATTGCGCATCTTAAAGGTGCCAAAAGCATGATTATCAAAGTATATTCCATGTTAAGGGAACAAAAAAATGTCCTTATAGTTAAGAAGAATGAAATTTCAAAGAACCCTGATGCCAATAATTTTGAAGAATTGGATGTGTTAATCAATGGTCATAAAAGATCATTAAAGAAGAAGTTGGTACTCTTAAATGATTCTGAGTTAGAATCAATGTTTGAAGAAGACGATTCTCCCAATAATAATAATAGTAATAATAATAATAACAGTGTTAGCATCCAAATTCCTCCAAGTGTTCAATTCTTATGCAACATATGGGTATATTTTGAAGTGTTGTGTCATATGACTTCAGATTCATCTTGTGATGTTAAAGGTGTGGATTTGGTTGCAACTATTTCTGCTAATCAAGAGATGCTCCAGTCTCGTAAGAAGAAAGCCATAGAAAAGCAACAGAATAGAATTCTGTATGGCGCCATTGATACTTCACCATCCAGTGAACTGAGCTTTGAGAGTGATAAGAATCTCTTTGAAAACTTTGACGCCTTTAATTTCGATCGTTCTGAATATGTTGATCCGTTACTAGGATGTTCACAATCACTTTTCGTGATAATGGGCAAGGTAGCTAACTTGATAAAGAAGATTCGAAAGCTGAAACCCAGTCTAACTCGGAATAGCTTATCAGTTATCACTGTGGCTACTCAATTGAGACAACAATTGATTGAATGGAAACCTACAATTACTGCCAGTATGATTTCTCAACTGGGAGCCCCTGGTGGGATATTTATCGAGTCTAAAACAAATTCAACTTGGGATTTATCTTCATGTATTGCAACTGCAGAAGCCTATAGATATGCAACATTGTTATATTTACACCAGGCAGTCCCCGAAATTCCGTCAGTGGCATCTCATAAACTAGCGGAAAAGATATTCCTTTTATTGGCTTCAATTCCTACTACTTCTCAGACATACATTATTCACATTTTCCCGTTATTGGTGGCAAGTTGTGAAGCTGAATGCGGCGAAGAAAGAGAATGGTGTCGAGATCGGTGGGTACTTTTAGCAGAGAAGATGTGGATTGGGAATATAGATAGAGCATTTGAAGTGGTGAAGGAAGTATGGAAAAGGAAAGACGATTACGAAAGAAAGAAACGTGAAGAAGATGGTTCATGGTCATTCCTTAACACCGATGATGACGATAAGACCCGAGTCTTTCTGGCCCAAATGTCTGGACTTATGACTATAATCAATAATGATGGAGGTTCCAATTGCCAGTTGGATGACATCATGGGAGGTATAAACTCAAAGATGCATTGGACTTCTGTGATGAAGGAATGGGGTTGGGAAGTTTTATTGGGGTAATAGATAAAAATTCATGTAAGTGTAAGAACTGTAGGTTATACCTTTTCACGTTTTGTCGGACTTATTCCTACCCAATTGGGAAGGTCTACGTCCGCCACTTCCCCACAGTTTTCATCACCAAAAAAGAAAAAAAAAATTATATCAGTACTCCAATCAAATCCACCACTACTCTTCTTTCTTATCAACGCCACCATGTTTAAACAATTGACTCGAGGCGGTCTTATACAGAGATACAGAAACATGAGCACGCATTCGTCCCTTATCTCGGATCCCTTCAAGCACGATCCGACCAAAGTTATCCGAGAGTCCAATCATGAGTTTGACAAGCCCCTCTTCATTTCTTTTGACTTGTTTGGTACCATTTATCACCCCAAAGTGCCTGTTCCAGAGCAATATCATGGTGTAGCACGTGATCTAGGGGTTACCCACAAATCAGTTTCTGAACTTGAAAGCCGGTTCCCCTTGGTTTTCCAAACCATGTCTGCCAAGTACCCGAACTATGGGAAGGGACAATTAGCCAATCTGGAAGCATGGTGGCTGGAATTGATAGCTGAAGTGTTTGAAATGGACCGCAGTGACCCACAGTGTCAGAAGTTGTGTGAGCAATTGGTTAAGCACTTCACTACGTCTGAGGCCTATGGTGTATATGACGATGTAGTGCCTACGTTACGTAAGCTCCAACAGGAAGGGATCAACATTGTTGCTAGTAGTAACAGCGACCCACTGTCACTCAAGATTCTTCAAAACTTGGGGTTGAACGAGTTTTTCAACGATGGCAACGTTTATTTGAGCTACAATATGGAAGCCAGGAAACCAGACAGACAATTCTACTTTCAAATGGCCAAGAATGCCATGGCTGTTCGTTACAATACCAAATTTAACGGTCAAATGCTTGAAAGGTGCTGGCACGTGGGAGACTCCGAACAAGAAGATTACATTGGAAGTATTAAAGCTGGTTGGAATGGGATACTACTCGATAGAAGCCGGACTACTGAATATTTCGATCTCGGACTCAAGAGGGCCCAAAAGGAGAAACAATATGACTACTGTTATACTTCGCAGCAACAAGAAGAGATGAGAGCGACCAGTGCATCCGCCACTCCCACTGATCCTGGGTATCGGATCTTTGCTAATAACAGGGTGGTGATGTCATCGTTGAGTAATTTGATTCCATTGTTTGGGTTGACGTAATTTTTCACCTGGCACAGACATTGCACAGCCGAACACAGCCATGATATACAAACTATATGACGGAGATGACAGATATATAGAGCTAACTATAACCAAGTCAGACGTAGTTAGACGTACACAATGCACGTCACCGATTTATTCAGATTACGTAATATATTACGTAATCCAACACCGCCCAGAGATCCATCCTAAAATAGATTCAGTGTTTTGATCCATCAAACGGTGAAGACATACCAACTGTTTCTAAGCACACTCAGTGATAAAGTGCTAATAGAATACCGAGAGTGCTGAAAAGACCGCAGACAGGCTGACTAACTGAGACAGACTGGCTGAGACGGACTGACTGACTCACTGACTGACTCACTGACAGAGGCACTGCTACTGACATAGTCACACTACTACTACTGCCACTACTTATACTGCCACTGCTAATACACTGCTATGTTGTTGTTGCCTTTTCTCTTGCTGACGGTGATGGCTGTGTCGCTTGATGTGGCGGACATGAACTCTATCTGTTCCGCAGCCAAAGCTGTGGCCAATGGTGAATGGAACTACTACGAGGGTCTACGTAAAGGGGGAACCGTTGGGATGTTCCAACCTCCATATTATTGGTGGAATGCCGGTGAAGCCTTTGGTGGGTTGTTACTGTACTACTCGTTCTGTGAACTGGATAATTCCACTTTAGAACGGATTATTTACGATGGGATGTACCATCAAGCTGGTGAAGACTTCAACTATATCCCCGCTAACCAATCGTTAGTGGAGGGGAACGATGATCAAGGGGTTTGGGGTATGACCATCATGGAAGCCGTCGAAAGAAACTTTACTGACCCTCCAGACCATAGTTGGTTGCTGATGACTCAAGCTGTGTATAACACTATGAATCTGAGATGGGATACGCTGCACTGTGGAGGGGGGTTAAGATGGCAGATCTTCACTTGGAACTCTGGATACGACTATAAGAATACCATTTCTAACGGGTGTCTCTTCCATATAGCTGCTAGACTCGGTCGATACTTAGGCAATGATACTTATGTGGAGACTGCTGATAAGGTTTATAGATGGATGGAAGACGTCGGGTTCTTACACTTTCAAGGTGACGTTTTAACTCTTTATGATGGGGCTATGATCACCAACAATTGTTCCGACCCAACCATTCATAAGTGGTCTTATTCTTATGGGATCTTTATGGCAGGGTGTGCTTATTTGTATAACGCTACAGGAGACGACATTTGGCTTACCAGAACTCAAGATATTTGGTCTGCTTCATCATATTTTTTCAATAACTCCGTGCTTACAGAAACAACTTGTGCTCCATACCATTGTAATAATGATCAACGGTCATTCAGATGTTTGTTTGCCAGATGTGCCCGTTTAACCATGCTGTTGGTTCCGGAAATGTATGATGATATTTACAAATTGATGAAAACCAGTGCTGAAGCTGCAGCTCAATCATGTTCTGGTGGGACCGATGGGGTCACGTGCGGCTTGGATTGGTCTGTACATGGTTGGGATGGAGTCTACGGTTTGGGAGAACAAATGTCGGCGTTAGAAACTATTTTAAGTATGGTGGTAGGGATTAAAAGTGTTGACTCTGCTCCGTATACTTCTACAGATGGTGGCTCCTCGGCAAGTAATCCAGAAGCTGGGTTAAATACCGTTGACCATACAAATCAAAATCAAATCACCGTCACTGGTAAAGATAAGGCCGGTGCAGGTATAATCACGGCCGTTTGTCTCGGAGTTATACTTGCGGGAGCAGTATGGATGATTCTTTAAGTCTTCTTTATATTTTTATATATTAACTGATAAGATTACTACTATACTTGTACCTCTACTTTATACTCTTTGTTATATGCAGTCCAGATGAATCCTCCTGTATACAGATTGTTTCCTGATTGTGTCCGGGTAACACCACGATTAAACTATTATCAATAGGCTTTATTCAGTATCAAACACCTTAATGTAAACATTCATTTAAAGCTATAGCTTATTGTATTATGGTGTTATTCCGAGGGATAAATAGTACTCTTGCGGACCCTAACACCGGGTTCTTGGGGGCACGCAGAAGACGGATCTTCATCCCCCCTCTGACACAGCATCCATTGTTCATCTATGGAGACGGAGAAGATCAACGGTCGTTTCTCTCCAACATCGAGACTCTGTCGGTGTTACAAGATGACAGTGAGGAGCTGGATGCCGCCAGCGTGTCGTCGTCTATGAGTTACCCGCTGGGGAGATCTTCAGTGCACACCCAAGAAGACTGGGAGTCGTTCAACAGTTGGTTAGTTGAAGAGCATCAACGAAGAAGAGATGGGGATGGGATAGACGCTGGAGCAACGGCAACTACCGGAGCAGACTCTGATGATGATTTAAAGCCCTTGATACAAAGACGTGGTAGTGTTCCGCGGAGTAACTACAGTTATTCCGAAGATGTTGATGATTTCGTCAACTTGAAAACCAGTTTCAAAATTGAGTTTGGCCGATTACTAAAGCATTCGGTGCCGTTGATCATGACCTTTATATTGGAGCATGTTTTCCTGGTGGTTTGTCTCTTGGTAGTGGGTCATTTGGGTAAGAATGAATTGGCTGCAGTCAGCTTAGCGTCCATGACAACCACCATTTCGTTTGCGGTGTTTGAAGGGATGGCTACTGCCTTGGATACGCTCTGTCCCCAGGCGTATGGTGCCGGGAACTACGAGTTGGTGAGTTTGCATGTTCAAAGGGTGACCTTGGTGTCGCTAATACTCTACATTCCCTTTGCAATTCTATGGTGGTTTTCACAGCCACTATTGAGTCTTATCATTGAGGAATTGGAAGTGGTGGAGTTGACTACTTTGTTCCTTAGAATCATGATTCTAGGTGGTCCGGCTTACATAATGTTCGAGACGGGGAAACGGTTCCTACAAGCTCAAGGCATCTTTGAAGCAGGTACCATAGTTCTTTTCATTAGTGCCCCTATTAATGTCTTGCTTTCATATGTATTGGTATGGAATCACACGATCGGCCTAGGTTATATTGGAGCACCCATAGCAACTGTGATTAACTTCTGGTTAATGGATCTTTTGTTCCTTTTATATGTGGCTTTCATCGATGGGAAACAATGTTGGTTCGGAATAGCCTCTACTACCGAATTGTTTCTGAATTGGAAGATCTTGGGGGAATTGGCTGTCCCAGGGATTGTCATGTTAGAAAGTGAATATTTGGCTTATGAAATTATGACGTTGATTGCCAGTTATTACGGAACAATTGAATTGGCTGCTCAATCTGCAGTATCTTCAATCGCTCTGATTGCTTATACTATCCCCTTTGCTGTGGGGATTGCATCATCTACAAGAATAGCCAATTTCATTGGAGGAAACAACGTGGAAGGAGCTAAAACTGCAACTAAAATCGGATTAATTTGTTCAATTTTAATCGGATTAATTAATCTCTGCATATTATATTATGCAAGTGAATATATTGCCGGATTATTTACTCAAGATCATGATGTCTTCACCCTTATAGTTAAATTGTTTAGACCATTGGTTGCATGTGTTGAGTTCCTTGACTCGATAGCTTCAGTTTCAAGTGGAATAATGAGAGCTCAAGGCTCTCAGAAAATAGGTGGATGGATTAATTTTATTTCCTATTATGGTTTTACCATGCCATTAGTCGCAATACTAAATCATTTATATCCAAGGCTACAATTATATGGCTTATGGATCAGTTTGGGCATTGGGATGTTGGTCATTGGCTTAAGTCAAGTAACGATAATCTTAACCAGTAATTGGGAAGATATCATATTGAGGGCACACTTATTTATGGATGATGATGACGATGATGGTGATTATGGTTCATGTTGATTAGTTAAGCAATTGTAGTGGCGCTACCATTAGATAGGAGATTATATCCTACTTTGAAAGAAAGCACAGTTCCATTTTTGGACATGGTTTCCAGTGTCAGGGAATGTTTGATCTTTTGAGTTATAATTTGCATGGGATTTTTGTGAATGTCTGTCTTTGTAAACGTCTGTCTTTGTAGACGTCTTTGTAGATGTCTGTTTTGTCCGCAGACATGATTTTGTCTGAATCAGGTAAACAGTTGACGTCTGGTTGACATTCCACCTTAGCGGATCAAGGTGGTTCTTTCTTTTTATCGGCGATTGATGTTTCTGATTGGTTATTAGCCACTATTGTCTGAGTAGTGTGCACACTATCACTCAGAACGGTACTGCTAATGATAGCACTCATGTAATGGTAAAGACATACTAGCATTATAGTAGTACCATACTGTAAAAGCACCATACTGTGCTACTACCGTACTATGTTACTACCAAACTGTGATAGTACTGGTAGTACTACCAATGATAGCTCTGTACTAAGCTTCACTGCTTCTCGCGGCCTGTTATCTGTCGCGCTTTTGTGCTCTTCAGGTGCTTATCGGACGGCTTTAACCATACAGGACATCCATTGATTCAGATAACGGCTTGTCACTGGGTATATAAACTGGTGAAGAATCTTCCAATGACTATCGTAACTACTTTCTCCCATCACCATAAATGAAGCTGGAAAAATCAGGGGCTCTTGAGCCTCATGTAAGTGTTGAAATCGGGGAAATCAAAAGCTATGTTTCTAATAGATCTTTAGAAGAAATGACCGATGCTAAGGCAACCAAAATCTTATCATCAGCTCAAGCTGATTTGGATATGGCAGCAGAAACTGGGTATAAACCGGAATTAAGACGGAATTTCTCTGTATTATCACTTTTGGGCGTTGGGTTCGGATTGACTAACAGTTGGTTCGGAATTTCCGCTTCGTTGATTACTTCTATTGCTTCTGGTGGTCCAATGATTGTTGTCTATGGGATTATCATTGTGGCATTGGTTTCTTCTTGTATTGCTATCACGTTATCTGAGTTGATCTCAGCTTATCCAAATGCTGGTGGTCAATACTACTGGACCATGAAATTGGCTCCAAAGAAATATGCTCCTTTTTTATCTTATTTATGTGGTGCTTTGGCATGGGCTGGTTCTGTGTTCACAAGTGCTTCAGTTACTATTGCAATTGCTTCTTCATTTATGGGGATGGTGGTGTTGGGGTCTGGCGATCCAAATAAAACAGTTAAAACTTGGCAAGTGTTTGTGGTTTATCAAGTAGCAAACTTGTTATTGGTATTCTTTAATTTATATGAAAAACCGCTTCCTGCCATTTCAAAAGGTGCCTTGGGGATCTCTTTGATTTCATTTTTCACTATTATGGTTGTAGTCTTAGCAAAGGCAGATGGGAAATTCCAATCTGCTCATTTTGTGTTTGTCCAATTCACAAATGGTACCGGTTGGAATTCAAGTGGTATTGCCTTTATTGTCGGGTTAATCAACCCCAATTGGTCGTTCTCTTGTTTGGATGCTGCAACCCATATGGCTGAAGAAATGTTAGATCCAAGACGACAAATCCCAATTGCTATCATTGGTACTGTGATTATAGGATTTGTTACCTCCTTTTCTTATTCCATTGCTATGTTCTTCTCCATTAGAAACTTGGAAGATCTTTATACTTCTAGAACCGGAGTCCCTATCATGGATATCTTCTACCAGGTTTTAGGTAGTAGAAGTGGTGCCATTGGATTGGAAATCTTAATCTTCTTAACTGCCATTGGTTGTAACATTGCTTCTCATACTTGGCAAGCAAGATTATGTTGGTCCTTTGCTAGAGATAATGGGTTACCTGGCTCTAAATATTGGAGAGCTGTTTCTTCCACAGGGGTCCCTGTAAATGCTCATCTCATGTCTTGTGCTTGGTGTGCAGTTATTGGTTGTATTTATATGGGATCTACAACTGCATACAATGCCATGGTGGTGGGTTGTATTATCTTTTTGCTCTTATCATATTTGATCCCCACTGTTTGCTTGTTGATTAAGGGGAGAAATAACATTCCTCATGGTCCATTCTGGTGTGGAACCGTGGGGTTAATCTCCAATTGTGTGCTTATCTTCTGGGCCATTTTCGCCACGGTCTTCTACTCCCTTCCTGCTGTCATGCCAGTTACCCAAAACAACATGAACTATGTTTCGGCTGTGTTTGTGGGGTACACGCTTTATTGTGTGATCTACTGGATGCTAAGGGGTAAACATCGATTCACTTATGTTGAAGAAAGAGAAGCTGGTATTCCTGATTTGACCCATGAATTGTCCCATAAATTAGAAGAATTGGAAGTGGTGTTGAGTGCAAAGGTTACCAACTTGGATACAGTACTTTCCGCTAGAAATGCTCGTCGTTATGATGGCATTGATCAGAAGATGTAAGGGTCTTTTGTTTGTATTTATTTAATTCTTGAGTGTAATTGTCTTTATAATGGCTGCAAAATGTCGCGATCGAACATTTAGACTGAGCTTATTTGTAATATACAGAGTACGTACATAGTATGTACATTGTAAGTACATGATATGTTTATGCTGTGTACGCTTTTTTGCTATACAATACGATGGCTAGGTTTCAACTTGATTAGAAGTTCATTATCCGACATAAGATATCATTGACTTCAAATATCGCGACATTTTGCCTCACATTACTATGGGAACATGAGTTATAATTCACAAAAAGTCGTCAAATTTTTCATGAAAGTCATACTTATATTTATACTCCTGATCCTAACAAAGAATTTACCAGTACTCTCTGCTACCACGGTACCCTTTTTTAACAGCGCTTGTCGTCTGTGCTACTCAGAGCTCAACTGATGTTGAATTAAGTATATCATGCTGTCAAATAGATTATGCTATCAATGCATTAATCAAGGTTTGGATTTTTAGTATTAGTTTTTGTCCAATTATCCAATTTCTGTCTAGTTAAGCTTTGTTGTCTGTATTACATTTTCTTATAAATTTTTTGTCTCCTGACTGTCTGATCATTGTCTGATCAACGTCTGTTAACTGGGTGTAATATGTCAGTCACTGTCTTGTAGCTTTCTGCTGGCTGTCTGTTCGGCGTCTGTTTAGTGTCTGGGTGATGCTGTTCAGTGTCTGCTAGCTGTCTGTGTAATGACTTTCAGTGTCAGTTCAGTGTCAGATGAGTGTCTGCTTGTTGTCTGATGATTAGGTTTGCAGCTAACCCGAGTCAAATCGGCGTCTGATAAGTATCCATTCGGCGTTTATTAGCATCTATTCGGCGTTTCAATCTCCAGGCATCTGCAACCTTTTTTGATTCTTTTCTCCAGGTGATCCGCTCAGTAGTTTTCCATATCTGAATTCTGTATATTTGCTCAATGCAAGATTTCTAATAACGGTGACTCGACACTAGAGAAAATGGCCCTTTTAATTTACTTTTTTGAAAGTCATGTTTTAATATTCTGCAATAATTTACTACTTGGGTGCAAAATAGCAACAAGGCTTGACGAGACAACAGATCAATTTAATAATAAAATTATTAGCACACACGGATATTATCAATACCAGTTATACCCCTGCACAACACACATTATAAAGTGGCCGATAACTACGCTCTACGAAAGTAAAATCGTTAATAACGCAGAATAGCGACGGCATAAATATGTGTGGTCCTCCCAGTAACATCTACTAGTTCAAAGTAAAATGTACTCGGATAGAATATATCTTGGATTCTGATCTTAAGCCCAACGTCTTTTATATAAGATTTGGTTGTCAAGCTTTCACTGGATATTTGGAGTACAATCAGTTTCCTAACACCAAAGGATAGGAATACGTTCAAAGTTAAAAGAATCCTGATGATCTATGTTGCTACGTGGTCCAGAGAATTCCTAGCCAGCTTTGCTCCGTTGCTGCTAATTATATGTTACTAATGTGTACTAAAGCAGCAGGAGTTACGGAAGACGAAGTGGATTTCGAAGTTCCTGTTGATGGCGAAGCAACAGGAGTAGTCAACATCAGCCCATTTTTACTTATATCTTTTTAACCTTACATAAGTTTGGTATATTTCAGATATAGTAAAAATATGTGACAAGTATTTATACTAGTTCATGGCCTTATCTATGGTCCTAACGTACTTACATAGTATGATATGATAAGTATACTACTCAGGATCCAGTTAATACAGTGTTACCATTGGTTAACGCACACGAGTGAAGAGCCTCTCGCTCTGGTCGCATATAAATTAAGTTTTATATCCTCGAACATATCGAAATCAATATATATATATCTTCTCTTCTTGATTCTCAGTTTGTTTGCCATCGCAAGAATTGGTTTAACTAATACCTACATATGTCCACTATTCCTGATATTGACTCTAGAGTCAATAATGAGCCAACTGCCAACTAGATATTCCAGCCCGGAATACTCCTCCTGGGGGCAAGTTAACAAATACAGTGACTTATTTCCAGTAGCAATTCTTAACGATTTCATTTTTATATTGTCATATACAACAATGGACTTCTTGCATGTAGGTAGTTTTCTATACTTTACACCTGATGAAAACATGAACATAGTGGTGAAAATAGCATTGGCATGTACGGGTTTTATTTTGATTACTCGTGCTGCTGTGATTTCCAACATGATTCCTCAAATAATAGATCAGGGGTGCTTGGTTATCCCTAGCTTGGTTTTTACAAGGTTGGTTTTTAAAAAGGGTTTAGCGAAATCTTTCTTTGTATCTGTAGTGGTTGCAAGAGCAATTTTTGTTTCATCATTCTGTGCTTCTTTACAATCAGAATTAAACCTTTCCAATGAAATAGGGTATTCCATACTGTTTAATAAGTCCCAAAGTTGGTGCCAAAATTGCTTATCCCAAATTTGGTTGCAAAATTGGGTCGCAAAAAAAAAGTTTGCGTGCTTGGTTATATTTATCTGTTTTCTTAATGAAGTAGAAAATATAGCCAATACATGTAGTCTTACAGAATTAATAAGAGAGGTCGTTCTAACGTTAGTAGAATTTGTCCATACCAGTAGCAATAATGTTAGCGGGGCATAGGTATCTAGTCAAAACCCCCCATGTTCTGACTAGCAACCAAATGGCGCTACCAAGTTGTATAAAAAGTCATGCATCCATACCTCAGTTCGATTCCCACCTAGGAAGTAGACTGATACATCTTACTGTCAAAATTATGGCGGAGGATAAGCAGAATGTATTAAATTCAACCACATGTGCAGGACGTCGTTGTCTCTCATTGCAAAGTCAAAAGCAGCTTCAATAGATCTTCCTTAACATCACCATAGTAGTGCATTTACCAAAATGATAGTCCAGCGAAAAACTACAAAAAACATCGATCAACAAACAGAGCTTCACCTTCATTATCAATACGGTGATAGTAATGTCTGAGTCCAAAGGTATGTCAAGCAGGCAGCCAATGAAAGTGACACTATTGATTTCTTATCGGCGGCTAATTGAGACTATGCAATGCAATAATAATAATACTAACATTTAAAATAGTTAAACTTCTAATAGAAGACATTGTTTGTGTGTTAACAAAGTCTGAAGGATCAGACGACATTTTGTTGACCAGTGCCATTCCAAGCGACTTTTATGTTGACGATCCGTCATTAGTAGTGTCTCTATACGCGTCATATCGTGAAGAGCACCCAGATGTCAAGTTGATCAGCATCAACGAGAAGTTCCAACAAGGTAGGTACACATCAATCTACCAACTTTATCATGATCTCAAAATCGCCGGTAGCAGTTTGATTTCCAAGTACCAAGTTGGTTCTGCTGCATATAACAATGTTGATTTCACCTTTAAGTTTGCCACAGAACTTCTTTTACGGGAATCATCAAGATTATCTATTCAGCTTGAAGAAGCTGTTAAGACAGAAGGAGATGAGACCGAACTTGAAGCTCAATTGTTTGAAGATTATAATAAAACTTCTCGTGATTATACGGTTTCAAATGGAGAAATCGTCACTTTTTTACTGCAAACAGAGATTCCACCACCACCATCTATGTCTTCAATTTATGCCCAACAACCCCAATCACCACAAAAGAAGATCCAACCTCTTTTCACGTCATTAACCGGGAAATCCGTGTTGGATTCAAGAGAAACAGTGGTTAGAGATCCTTATCAAATCTCTAGTGTAGTTCCCAATATGTTGAGCACAGTTAGACAATCTTCAAATTTAGATTCTATATCACCAGCTATTTCCCGCATATCTCCCCCTACGACTCAACCAACTACCATATTGAAGAACTACTTTCATCCTAATTGGTATACTATTAACGTCCCCACGTGGTTAACTTATAAGAGTAAGGTAATGAAACCCCCAATAGTGTCTACCTTACTTAAAAGTGAACTTAATCAACAATTGAGATTTGCATCTAAGTCAGATGAATCTCTTCGATCAATTGCACCTTCTGTGGATCTGAAAAAGGGTACCGTTGACTCATCTTTGAAGGGAAGTGTTTGGTTGCAACATTTAGGGTATGCTGAATTAAAGAAGATAAAGGATGACTATTTGAAGAGATCAAATGCTGTAAAATTGGAATCTGATAATGCTAATGCTAATAATAACAATGATAAAAACTCCACCTCTAATGCTAATGAAGAAGAAAAGGCAACAATAATTGAAGAGTCTATAGACGAAGAAAATGATATTGTTGATTATAAAGATGACGATAAGATTAACGTTGCTAACATACTTCGTTGGGATCCTGCTCAGATTGACCTTTTCAATTCAATAGAAGCCGATAGAATTGTTCTAACATCATCTGCTGGTAAGATTCAAAGATTAATTTCTCAATCGATTATACGATTAAACAAATTAAGACAAGAAAGATATTCTGAAAGTAATGCTCAAACCATTGTTCCGCCTTCCAATCTGGAAATAAAGTTATATCAGAAGGTAACCAAGTTAATTGCGTTAGTTACTGAAAGTGTTCCGCTTTCTAAACTAAATGGTGGATTATCCAAACGAATTGCTGTTTTGAAAACAGAGTATAATGGTGTTTTACCTGGTCCTCCTCCTACAGTGTCAGCTGTGCCATCTAAACCTACAAGATATGGTACTACTAGAGGTCCATACAAGAAGAAGAACAAGGGCAATTAGAATTCTAATACTAACTCTATGATATTTATATTGATGCAATTACCAAATAGATGTTTAATGCGGTGATGGTTAACCAAGTTAAAACACTTGCAATTGCCAAAGGGGTACTATTTTCAAAGGTGATGACATCAGTATTGGTGGAGTCAAGTAAAGCAGTTTGTTCAGTGTGCTCAACATTATCATTATTCACAGTAATGGTTGACTGTGTTGGAACCTTAACAGTCATATATTGCTTTGTACAAGTGAACCAAATCAACGGAGCACTCGTAACAGGCAAGAAGAAACTAAGGACCACTTGACTTGAGTTCATGATTTTAGAGACTCCTTCACGACCCATTATTAAGATGATAACTAACACTGGAATTATGGCAATAACTCTGGTGATGATTCTTCTTAACCATGGTGTTAATGTCCAGTTTATAAACCCTTCACTAACAATTTGACCGGCCATAGTACAGACTATACCCGCAGATTGACCTGAGAATAGCATTGAAAGTGCAAATATGATACCAGCCGTAGGACTAATGTAATAAGCAAGCATTTCATAAATGGATAATAAATCAGCATCTTCAGCATCAGGTTTACCGTATAAAGTTGTAGCGGCCACTATCAAGATGGCAGAATTAACAAACACAGCAATAATGAACAAGGAGATGATCAATTCTGAATAAGAATAGCTTAAGCAATACTCAATGGCCGATAATGAAGGCTTATATTTAGATAGCAAGGCAGTTGAGTCGGAGATTGACTTCCGTCTCACGTTAACAACGTAGTCATCATCATCATTATCATCTTCGTTATTAGCATTAGCTGCTGTTTCCAGTATATTCCCATGTTTTATATCGTATTCTTTAAGTCTGGGTTGGACCAAGGCAGACCCCAAATAAAGCGAATGAGGCATGACAGTGCTACCCACTATTGCACAGCTTAAGAACAAAGCTTGCTTCTCAGTAAACAAGGAAAGATTACTACGAGTGGGCAAGAACCCCTTGACTATATCACTGAACGCTCCAGGCTCGAAATGGCACTTGAATAACTCCAATACAAAGCAAATGCATGTAGCACCCACTAGCACCGACACCAATATTTCAAACGTTCTAGTCTGTTTCATAGAACCATCCTTATGATAAGCAAACAACACTATCAACACATCCAATACGGTGATAAGCACACCATAGACCAAAGGGATTCCAAAGAGAATCTGCAAGGATATTGCAGTCCCCACCACCTCTGCCAAATCCGTGGCTATAATGGCTAACTCCGCACATACATATAGTGGTAGATTAATATAGCCAGGTAATGCTAGCCGACAAAACTCTGCCAAATCAAGTCCGGTAACCGTTCCTAATTTGATACAGAGACATTGTAATATAACAGCAAATATGTTGGATAGGAATACTACGCTTAATAACGCATATTTATAAGTAGCACCTGATGAAACAGCCGTGGAGTAATTCCCGGGATCCATATACGCCACGGAGACCATGATCCCCGGCCCGATAAATGACCAGTACTTTTTGAGTACCTGTTTGGTGGACTTGAGATGCAGCATGTCGAAGAAATGGTAGTAGTAACCGAGATAGAAGTGGTGGAATTGGAGGTTACTTCAGTTATATGGTTAAAATAATTCACTAGCATGGTACTGCATGCAAACGCATTTTTATCCCGGGGAATGATCAGGTTAAGAAAACTCGTGTAGATTAAGCTCACATTATCCCTATGGAGAATATAGTGCTTAACAAAGTGACTGTTATTAAAAAGTCATTTGTATCAGTAGTAGATGTATATCATAGCATGATTTTCTATATAGGTTTATCCGGGAATAAACTGAGTACTCAAGTTTGGAGAATGTCGCATGATGACGTAAGCAAGAGTAATAAAACCAAACTACAAATATAGTATCATGTTATTATATAAACATAACAATCATATACAAGAGTCTATATGATTAGTCGAGTTTCATCCACACGTACGTGGGTTGCACGTGTTTCACGGACCATAAGATGGAACTCAACCAAACCATTGGGGTCCTCTACCATCAGAGAGTATATGAAGTTATATCAGAACCATTTCTCTAAAGATGTCATAACCAATAAACAGATTGACTCCTATTTAGCGTTGGAGAAGAATCCCGCTGGGCCCATAAAGGTCGGGATCTTATACGACGACACACAGGCGCTAGAGAACTCCAAGATAATTGAGTGTTTGTTGGCTGATCCGTTATCAGATAACAATTCCAGAATACTTGAGCAAATCTGTCAACGATCCAAACATGGAGTAATTAATACCTTCACATTTGATAATGGTGAAGTTGAACATAATACTAGTAACGAAAATGATGTTTACCGAGTTCCTTCACCGATTTTGAGTGCTAATTATCGATCACCATATATGAAGAATAACATTGTTGATATTGAATTGCTTGAGATAATCAATACGCTCCAAATTCCTCAATGTGACTTCTATATTAATGTTACTAGTGATTTACCTCGAACGCTAACCGACTACTCCAAGAAATCTCAGCTTCAAAGCTTAATTACCATTGTGGATAACGAAGAGTTCACTCCCACTTCCAATCCAGAGACCCCCTTCAGTTTAACCAATGAGGATCCTATAATCAAAGTCAACACCAAATTGAGTCTTGATGGGATAAACTTATTTTCTGAGATGCAAGCGAAAGCAGCACTAGAGTTTCTTAATGCCATGCAATCAAGTAATATCTATGAATTATTCAAGGTCATTGGCCATTTCCTGAGACCGGAACATTTACTTTTATTCTTACGTAAATCCATTGAGAATAACATTGCTTATTATAATGTGCTGCAACTGGAAATCGATCATATTTATTCCGAGATTAAATCTGTTGATATCACCAGCTTTAGTGGATCGATGCATTCAGAATTACAGGCTGAATTTATTCCAAACACAACCAAATTCTTTAGAACAAGCTTATCATGGTGGAAGTTATATTTAAAAAACGACAACGTTGAGTACTGCTTGAAAGATTACTTTGCCCAATCATTTATGCCCAAAAGTATTGAAAACTATAACTTTTTGAGAGGTCAAATCGTTTCCAAATTGGAAACTCAAAAATATGGTGATTATAATGACTTACATCCCAGTATCCATAATCCTTTAATGGTGATGAAAAATCAATTGGTTAACCAGAGAATCGAATCTGAAATCCAACCTGTGGTGTTTAAAACCCTTCTACGGGGACTCACTTATTACCAGCTCCCTATCTCCGTCATTGCCTTTTTGGGGTACCAGTACTTTGGTATCTCCGGAAATGCTTCCTTAGCATTAGGACTCTTGGGCTGGACACTTGGATTCAACCAAGTAGCGTCAACGTGGGAAAAGTTTAGCTCCAAATGGCTCCAGAACCTCTATGAAGATATAAGAATGTGTTTAGGCAAAGAGTGTATTGAGAATGGCTTGTACAAAGAACTAGCAACCAAATACAACCAAGAGATTGAGTTGTACAATCTTAAACAAGAGATATTAAAGGGGATACATGTACATAAATAATTATATTACTATTTCCATTATTGTTACTATGAAGCAGTATAAGAATAATATTATAATGATGGAGGAGGTGATTCATCAGTCTTTTTTGAATTTAATCGTTGCTCCAACTTTTCAAATTCCTTTAATGCAATTTCTTCCTCTGGATCTAAAATCTGTTCCACTTCGTTCACTTCTTCAATGTAATGCTTCAACATCGCCTCAATCCCATGTTTTAACGTGTCTTCACTCAGTGAACATGTTTTACAAGCACCTTGAAGCTTTAAAAACACTCGACCAGTTTCTTCATCGAATGCTCTGAACTCAATGTCTCCTCCATCATCTTGAATGGCTGGTCTAATTCTGGTATCAATTAATTCTTTGATCATACTAACGATTTCCAGATCTTCACTATCATCCAATTCTTGTTCATTTTGAGTCTTGGTTATATACTCTTTGGTAACCACAGGCTCCTTCTTGGTACTCAAAAATTGATCCAAGACTTCAATGATCTCAGGACGCAAGTTCGCCCAATTGAGATGCTCTTGCTTGTTCACAGTAAGAAAATCGTCTCCCAACATGATCGACCTGACTCCCGGTATTTTGAACATCTTCAAGGCCAATGGTGAATGAACGGCTTGAAGGGATGATGTGAACTCCACAGTCTTCCCTGCGAGTGGCAAGATCTCGCATTCAGGCGAGATAAACTTTAAGGCGTTAGGGTTGGGCGTTGGTAACGTTTTGAACGACAAAAACCGTCTACTTATAATGAGTCTCATTATTGTTAGGGAGTAGAGATAGTAAAATGTGCATGCTTATAAATTGGCTTCTGACTAATGACCAAAATTTGTTTGGTACTTGGACTAAAACGGCGCTACCTTTGATATGATCACGTGATATCAGTTTGCAACCGATTGGATATTTGCCATGTAAACAGTAGTACTTACAGCTGAATAACGTCAGTCACTATGCACTATAAAGTGTAGTATGCACTTGTTATATATAAACTGATATCATGCACTAAACTAACGCAAGCATGGCCAGCAAAAGAGCCACAAAAATTGAGGGTACGTAAGTCATTCCAGAAGAAGACTTAGTAGATGATGAAGAGGATGAAGCTGAGGATGACGCTGAAGCTGAAGCTGATGAAGAAGCTGCTTGTAATGATGAAGCAGATGAAGAAGCAGATGAGTTAGTCTCAACGCCATATTCAACAGGCGTAACCAGCTTGTTATAGAAAACAGTATCATCATTGGTATAACCAGTATTAGTAAAGTTAACAAATGCAGTAGTATAATCAGGATCGTTTATGGTGGTTCCATCCCAGCAGTAGTTGGCAAAACACTTTTTACATTGGTCAGATTGTTCTACTCCTTGTCTTTCTTGTTCTCTTCTAATAAGTGCACATCCAACACAAGCAGCCCATTCGGTATCGATGGTACCGTTGTTTTGAGAAACAATGTCAAATCCGTTGGCAACCATGCCATTTCTTTCGGCATCTTCATAGTATAACTTAAAGGTGGAGGTGTTAGAATAGAATTCAAAAGGTCTGTTGGCCATATAAATCACCAATGGAGGTACAACTCCGTCTTTAGCCAATTCAGTCATATTTGAAGCATCACAACCAAAGAAGGTTGGCTTTGCACTGAGGTTCAAGTGAATAAAAGTGGATTCATCAGGAACATATGGACATAAGGAAGATTTGCCTTGACTGGTAAATTGTCTCTCATAACTGTTAATCAAACTAAGACCTGCTGGCCATGAAACATTGGTAGTGGTATCATAATCAAAAGCCATCACAACATCTAAGGCTCTTTCCTTTGTCATCAAACTGCTCAATGGTATTACTTCACCTCCAAGACCACCGTCCATTAAGTATAATGTATCGTTTTTGGTGATGTTCCCCGATGTGGCATATTGGGAGTTATAGAATGGATTGGGGGAGTACTGGGCAATATCCATACCTTGTTCGGAGAGATTCTCCAACACGGTGTTCAATGCTGACTTGTAAAAACTGGATAATGTTGAAACACATGTATCACAAGTAAGTGTATTGATAAAGTTATTGAATAAAGATGATGAAGTACCCATAACAAAAGCGGAGTTATCAAACCCAGTAATACAAGTGGAGTTAGTGGGGTACCCATTGTCAACACTTGTTCCAATATATTTCAAATTGGTGAAAGTGTTCAATGAAGTATCAAAGGAACCCATCTCAAAGGGGTTGAACTCAACAACAGTTGAGTTCATGTTATACACAGTGGTACCAGGTTTTCTACCAACAGCAACAACAATTGGGAATGGCATGTCTTGATTGGAGAAAACGTCCCAATCTTGTAAATCAGAAAAGGCAAAGCCTGCAAGGTAGTTATCCGCCTTTTCAGGGAACATTTGACGGGCCAAAGCCCTAGACCATACATCAGTAAGAGTTGTACGGAACCCAGCGGCTTCCTTTGCAGCAATTTCTGCGCCAATACCGTCTGTTCCATTCCAATAGTTCAAGTAGGCAAAAGCTTCATCATACTTACCACTTAATAAAGGTAAAGCCAAATCAGCAATACTACTTAATGCAGTATAATTGATCAATTGATTATAATAAGTCAAGTTCCATAAATGAGCATTATTCTCATCAATAATGTCTTCTACCGTGGTCATGTTTTGAGAGATTAAAGAAGTGAGTAACCAACTCCCACCAGATAGAGCAGAAATATAAGTTGCACCTTGCAACAACCCTCCTAAACCATAATCTGTTGCATGGGTTGTTCTGTTATCCAAAGCAGCCAATTGACCAGCTCCGGTCAACATGGCTCTATAAGAACCACCAGCAAATGCTAAACCCAAATTAATGGATTTGTTCTTCTTATCTCCGAATAAGGAATCGATGTCTAAATCTTTCATTCCAACTCTTTCCAAATAATGCTTAAGAGCTTCATCGGTTTTAACTTGTCTCAGTTCAACCCATTGTTTCTCGTCTTCGGAGATGTCGTTACCTTCTCTAAGGAAACTGGAGTTCGAAGCTGGACACTGTACTGCTTGAGGAGCATATCCCGTACTGGAAAAGGCATTGACAATTGTGCCCGCACTCAATAAGAACGTGAAAAGAGAGTACTTCATTTTCACTGTTAGAACATCACTTCAATTCCGGAGAAGATGTTTCTGAAAGTTCAACGATTATTTATATGAATATTCCTCACCCAACAGCAGCTCATTGTGTTTAATGGGGGGAAGAGTATAATGAGAGCCTCATATTCAGTTACTTACACACCAATACAATGACCCTAATCTGGATGCACTGTAAGTGCGACTACAATAGGAGGAACAATAGATGTGGAAAAGCTGAAGAGTTTGTGTCCCCAGCAACAGGAAACGAGATTTTAGCCTTTATTTAAGTATCTAAATGGCATTCGAATTAAGTACCAACAGCAACCGAAGTCATGTCGCATGCACTAAGGGAAACAACTGCTATAAAAACCTGTTTCGCATAGGTGGTCTATGGATAAACTAATAGTCTCCCTAGATATTGTGTAAATTTTACCATGCAGTTGAAGTTTTTATTTCCGAAATTGCCTTAACGGAATTAACGGGGTCTTTGTGATGCCATTCCATGTTCAAGCCTCTTAGTTGAAAACTCTGTTGAACGGCTTGGGAGATGTTTAATCTCAAATTTCCAAATCCAGGCAATGATTTTTTACCCAACTCACTTGCATGTCATCCTGAATTTGAAATCCAAGTTAGGCATACTAGACCATGTCAAAACCCTTTTCCCAATTTCGCCTTACATTTATCCCAACATTTTCAGCGGATCTTATTTCCGTGACGGCTACAAATACAGTGATGCTAAAAGACACTTTCGGATTGAGTGTATGCGGTTATCATGCTATGCACCTAAGTATCAGGACCTTGCTAACTGCTTTCAATCCTTATTATTCATGTTCTATACATCTCCGCAACCAACAGGTCTGTCATGTTTTCGGTAATGTCCGCTTGGTCCCGGTACAGGAATGCAGAGCCATGCGTCTCCGCATTGCATGTTGACGTCGCATGGACCAACATGAATAGAATCAAAACGAAGAGTAACACGACCAAAACGACATTTTTGTCGCATTGTCGTTCGTACCGGATCCAACTTTATATAATGTGGGGTTGTGATTATGCTATGAATAAGGTACAAATAATAAATAATCAACTAAAGCAATTTTGTTGCAAGCTACTTACAAGTTGTCATCTGCTGCAACAATCAGATGAAGTAAAGTGTTGGTGTCAAAAGGGTTATCGATGTATAAATTGTGACCACCTTCTCGTATGGATACGACTTTTGCATTCTGAGGAGTAACCATGTTGTGTTGAATTAGCTGGATCAATTTTTCACCAGCTTCAGCATTCATAAAGTCAAATTGACCATAAGCAACGGTGATTTTTTGATCGTCCCTGAACTTGTGACCATTTTGAAAGTACTGAAAATATTTGTCGTACAAAGGCCATTTACTGACAGTGCTTGGGGTCAACAAATGCTTGATATAAATGTCACTGTTTGAACCTTGAATAGTTGTGTTATAAAGGTATTCGATGAGCAAACGGACCTCGGTATTAGTCCCATAAACCAAATCATTTTCAGACTTGAAGAGCTTAGCCCCACCACCCAAAGAATTGATTACTTTGTTGATCTTGAATAATTTCAAGTACCACATTTGATAATATTTTTGAACCCCCCATGGTCCCAACCATTTAAGCAAACGAGGAAGGAAGGGTTGCACATAATACCAATAGTTGATGTGTTTCAATCCAAGAATGGGTATTCTTGACAAAAAGTTATATGAAGTAGGATCAAGAGATGGTTTCAAGGAGACTAATGTTTCATCGTTGGTGATTTGAGCACCTTCATTTCTCAACAGATTATTGGTAACAGCGTGGCAATGTCTCTCAACACCAACAGGAGAAAGCAATACCAAATTTTGGAAATTATCCGGATATCTAACTGCATATGAACCAGACCAATACCCACCATAACTGTGTCCTATCAAATAATCGATTTTTTCAATGCCACTATTCTTCCTCCACAGATCAATTGCTCCACAATAAAAATCTTCCAACAGTTTAACAATGGGCTTGAAAGTCGCTTGATATTCTTCAAACCGCTCAGTATCAACATGATATTCATCCACTAACTTATAATACTTTTTATATAATTTCTTTGAGTCTGTGGGGAGATCATTATCAATGACTTTGATTGGTGCACATTTTTCAACCCAATTATGGTTGAGTGGATCATTAGCCATCTTTGGATTAGATGACAATCCAAAGGTGATATTATCAAGGAAATGGATTTTATAATTATAGTGAGTATCTTTGAATAAGTTGATGAGTTGAAAGTTCCGAGCAAAACACCCCAAGGCAGCTCCATAACCATGGAGGAAAACAACATGCTTAACAGGTTTATCCTGTTGAGATTTGAGTTCAAATACAATCTCGTTAATCCAATTGCCTTGTTCATCTACCGCTACCTTTTTGTTCTCCCATCGGATATCGTGGTTCACATACTTTGCGGGGTTCACTTGGAGTTCCACTAGTTTGTTCTGTAATGTTTGAACCATTCCCTTCTGGAATGACCGCAACCAGATCTCCATACATTTGGTCCACGGAAGATGCTTGACCACTCGCTTATTGGGCTTGTAATTGGGAGGTAATGAGAACGGAAGCGCTTCCTTAGACGACGGCAAGTTGATCCATCGTTTGAATGATCGTCCTACCTGAGACCTGAGACTTAACATATGAAGATACAAACACACTACCCACTTGTTAGTGTCTAAGGTAACGGCTAATATACATGTTGGTTTGACTCTCCTACCACTGCCGGTGTCATTGGTGAATGTAGTTATCATTGGTGCCGACACGAATTTGCAGCACAACCTATTTTTCCGCGGAAGTCGTGTCTCGATCAGAAAGTTGCGAAAAATATTAAGCACAAAGATTAATAACGATTACTAGCTAAAACATATATGATCATAGCTTTCCTTTATCCAAGGAATCAGAAGAATCATAGACAACATTCTCCAAGCCTTCAATGGGCTGCTTACCGGTGATTTGGTCGGCGAAATCTTCCACGTAAGGATGTTCTTCGTACCAACCCTTTTCAAAGGCCTTAACATCAGGACATCCGGCCACTGGGAAGAAATGAGTTAACACTGCATAAACACCAAAGGCACTGATGAACCCACAAAAGAAGTTCAACCGGTAGACATAAACGGCACCCATCGGCACGGTATGTGTTTTGGTTGCACCGACGAAACCGGTGATGTTTGGTAATATACCGCAGATATATGCACCATAAGCTCTCCAATTAGTACCAATTGTGTTGAACTTGTAGACTGAGGGTTGAGAAAGATCTTGGGGGTCTTGGAGCGAGTACAAATGGGGTAATTTAAGGTACCCTCTTCTGACGTAGTAGTAATCACAAGCAACCACACCAGCGATTGAAGAAAGGAAAACGGAATAAGCAGACAAATAAGTGGTGAACATGGAAGAGGATGAAGTCAATTTCCAAGGACAAATAGCCAATGCCAAAAATGCACATAAATACGAACCTCTTCTGATGGTCATATATTTTGGTAAGATGGCTGTGACATCAGTACCAAATGACAAGGAATTGGCAGAAACATTTGTACCCAATTGAGCTAAGGCAAAGGCAAACCCGATGAAGAAAACACCAGCTCTATTTCCTGGAGTATATTCTTCCAAGAATTTACCTAAAACATCCAATGGAGACCAAAGAGCTTCACCCCAAATAACAGCAGAAGCTGAAGAAACCAAAATACCGATTAAGGATGTCAAAGAGAAACAAACAGGAATTGAAACGGTGTAAATGATATATTTCATTGCAAATGAAGGTTTATTAGCAAAACGGGAGATATCTGGAGCATTGACAATCAAAGTAGCGAAATTTGCTAAAGAATTCATGGTTGAAGTAACAAAGGCCCAAGCCAACTCTGAACCTTCAACTTTTGATTTTTGATGAAACACTGGACCGATATGTTTTGCCTTCTTTAAAGTCCAGATCAAAAAGGCAATACCAGCAACGGGAACCACATAAGCTTTAACAGTGAACAAATGTCTAATTTTATGAGGTGGGAACCAAAGGAAAGGTAAAGAGAATAACCAGAATAAGAAGAAGGAAAGAAAGGTAAAAGTGGTTAAATCTTTATCTTTGATGCCATTTGGCATTGTTTTATCCAAATTTTGACCAAAGATAGCTCTCAACATTACTTGAATACATGGACCAGCCACAGAACATTGAACCGCATACCAAACACAAGACATCACCACTCTATTGATAATGGGCCAAAGAGAACCGTAAATACCAAATGAAGATCTGGCTGCCACGGGGAAGGAAATGTTATACATGAAACCAACTCTGGCACTCAACGAAACAAATACACCACAAAGAAAGTATCCAAGCCAAACAGATAACCAAGTCTGCCACCAAGTCATCCCCCCATCAACAATACCTGTAGCTGCAATTTGCCAGGTATTGATATTGAATGAATCAGCAATCCAGAAGAAGACGAAATTCCACCATTTCCATTTTCTTCTTTCTTCTTCAACAGGCCTTAAATCAAAATTGTATAGGAATTGTTGAGTTGCAGTTAAATTTGGATTATGTTCGACAGCCAAACTATACTTGAACTTTTGCCACCAATTCATTTGTTTTGGTTTCTCTTCATCCTCAATTTCAATTGTCTCCGACAACTCGGGCTCCTTGGAATAATAGTCTGAGCCAGTCTTCATCTTATCTTGCGATAATTCGTTCGGAGATTTACTTCGAGATGGACTGAAATATACGTCGCCTGAGAATATGCGACTACAATAATGGTGAAAAGAATGTTTAGAAAAAACTACATCTATAATCGAGTAATTACTCGATTATATATATACTTCGCAATTCCTAAAGCAATCGGCTAACGACATTCTTCTTATCTTGATGTACGATGATGGTGCAATACCTGCATGAATCAATCACTATCAATAGTGGTAATAATACTAATTATTACGATAGCTGCACTACATGCAAGGACGGTTACCCCAGTCAAGTCGCCAGGAAATTAACCAACCGTTTTCAGACACATAAATGGCTCACCACTCTACTAACGCGATATTATAATATTCAGATAAGTCGACTTGAGATGTGATCTGTTTATCAATAAAGTCTGTCTTATCGGAACCTATTGTGAAGACCCAATGAAAAACCAGTGTGTCCTGTATGGGACCTTTTAAACGGCATACTATTAATTTGGCCCAATTAAAAGCAAGAACTCCGTCCTGTATGCGTACTCCTCACGCCCTGCCATTGTGGAATGCCTTCCTGTGATAAGGTTACTGTTTGACAAATTCACCCTCTTCTTATCCGTATGGCTATAACGTTGTTCGATCACTTACAGAAGGTCTCCGGTAATAACGTATCGGAGTCAAAAACAGTAAAACAAAACTAAAAGAAATTAACCGCAGCTATCATAAAGCAACAGCAACGACTAACCTTTAATCCATATAGCAACAAAGGTTTAGTGTCAGGCAAAGGTTTTGCATATGATTATGTCATTGGACATAAGCTCGATTATATCATCTTACAAAAAAGAAAGAAGCAAGCTATAAACCGCTAGTTTAAGCTTTATGATCTCGGTAGGTGGTGGGGCCACTCACTTATCTACACAGCCTAATGAAAGTTACTGATTACTATGATTATCTTATGTGGTTAAAGTTCGGTTATCGTTCAAGGCCATCGCAAGTCTAATTGATTGTATCGAATACGCAGAATCCAAGATAATGCAAGAGATTGACGCAAACTTAGTATGAGGTCGTAATTCGATAGATTTAATCTGGCTTCCCTTTCCCCTCCAATCATCCATTGAAAAATACTTATCTTTTTGGATGGTGCAGTGAATGGGAAGCGTTCGTATCAAAGAGCTAAGTGTTAAAATTGTGCAAAAGTTGGTGGAAAACTTTTCTCTTTATACTCAAGTTTTATTGGTAAGTGCACGATAAAATCTATCCAATGCGATGAAGCTGCGGGTAACCTCAGGTGTTGGCTTCCTAAAAGAGTATATGCATGTATATTCAATTAATTGTCTCTATTTATTTCCAATTTCTGTCGTTTAATCATGCCCTGAACCTTCTTACGATGCCTCTTGCTCTTACAGTGTTCTTCCCATCTAAAAGTCCCAACGGCAATTAATGGTCGACCATCTTTATCTTCACAAACATTACACTCATAGTGCTTCCAATCAGTTTCTGCTCCAAGTTTCTTATTGCTGGGGAAACTTTGGATGAACTCCGTAGTAGGAAAGATTTCATCGGATATCCCTTGAGGTTTTTCAGGCTCCTTGACTCCTAATGGTCCATGCTCCACAAATTGTTTGGTAATCTCAATGCCTCTATCTCTAACAGATTCATTCCAATGGCTTAAGTCCGAAGCATCTAATAAATATAATTTCCCACCATTTTGAAACCCAAACTGTGACTCCTTTTGAAGCTCGACACTGAGAAGCTTTTTAATCCATTTAACCTGATACTTGGAATATTGTCTAGTACGAATCTTCATTCTTTCCACGCCTTCTTCAAATAGCTTGGGATCTTCTTTATTCCCTATTAACCAAGGCAAAAATTCCTTAAACCCAATGACTTGCCACACTCCATTGGAACAAGACGGTGGTGGGTCTAATCGTTTATAAACCTCATAAAGTTCATCAATTTCTCCAAGAGCTCCTGTTTCCATCATGGTATCAACTCTTTTGTTCAATCGTTCGTGTAAGACTTTGGTATCTGAATAAACCCAAAATAATAGCGTATTATATTTCAAAGATGACTCTTCAAGTTCATTTAGTTTCTGCTCTTTATAAATGTCGGAGGTCTTCTTCCCAGTAGTGAAATATACTTCTAATGCTCGAGCAAGTTTCCTCTTATCTTGAGGATGGAACTTTTGCACTATTACAGGATCAACCTCTTCAAGCTTGGAATAAATGGCTTCCACAGGTCCATTGAGAAGACTCTTTTGCTCATCCGTCAATGGCCTTTCACTTCCTTCATTCGAATCTTCATTTCCAATAGTCTTATTCTTGAAAAGCAATTGTTGCAAATAATAATGAGTGCCTCCAATTATAATTGGAATCTTTCCCTTGGAGTAAATAGTGTCAATGGCATCTTCTGCTTCCTTGGAAAATCTATGAATGAAATATTCTTCATTCCATCCAACATGATCCATGACATAATGAGGGATCCCCTTCCTTTCATTGACCGGATGCTTATTGGTGATAATCGGTACCCGTTCATATATTTGCATTGAATCTGCATTGATGATTTCTCCCCCTATAGCCTCAGCCAAATCAATACTAAATTGTGACTTCCCTACACCTGTAGTTCCAACAATACTAATAATACTCCGTCGTGATTCACTCATATTTAACCTGTTGATGATACCAAACTGTTTAAACCATCGAAGCATGTATATAACCCACACGTTACTTTACTTGTTAACCACATATGGTAGTGCATCTTGTTGGTTGACCTTGTCTCATCACCAAAATCCAAAAATTACCTGGCACCCAGAGATCACGTGATACTTTAAGTGTACCGTATGTTCATAGCATTAGAATCCCATATCCCATTTCTAGGCTTAGGAACTTGAGTAGTAGGGGGTAAAGCAATAGAATTGTCCTGTGATAACACTATTTCATCTTCGTATTGAATTCTTTTGGCTCTTCGTGTCTCAAGAAAATCAGTGCATTCTATCAATACTGTATTGACCTTATCAGTGAAAGCGTTATAGAACTTTATACCTTCATCCAAATTAGAATTTAATTCCAAAAATTTGGCATATGCCTTATCTAACGTCTCTAACACACGTTGTCTCTCCGACTTGTTGTTATCGTCTATTTTGCACTGTTTGGACTTTAATTTGTTAGATAAATAGTCCAAACGTTGTTCAAATTCTTTCTGCTTGAATTCAATGGCCTTTAGCTCTTCAACTTCTGGGTTATATATCTGTAGATGACGTTCAAAAATATCTTCAAAAGCATCCATTCGTTGAGTAGTTCCATCTTCCTTGTAAAGTCTCTCTGGATCTGCTTTATACGTAGAGGTTATGGCATTGGCTATTGGCCGACTTTTTGATTTCCCAATAGCTTTGGTGTAAACTGTTTGCCTTTCATCTTGTAATTGCTTATATTGGTGGATCTGAATGTTAAGGTTATTAACAATCTCTGCAACCTTAGGGTCAAGATTAGTTAAGCTTGCATCCGGAATATACTTGTGTAAGGCTTCTATTCCTCCTTCATAAATCCGTAACACTGGAGTTAACTCTTTGAATCTCATATTTACGGTGTTATCACCTTTATTGGCTTGGATAATGTAGTTCTCAACCTTGTTAACTTTGGCTATAAGCTCTTTAGCAGCATCCGACGTTGGTTCAAAGTCTAAATTACTATTGGAAATATACTGTTGCCGGAACAGTTCATCTTCCTGATTATCTATCTCAAGTCTCTCCTTACAACTATCGAGTATCTTTGAAATGAAACCTGCTTGTTGATCTCGTTGGTGAATCCCTTCATGTACACCTTGGCTACCTCCACGTTTAGAGATCGAGTCCATGTTTTCTATTATAGATTCTGGTATCCTTTCAGGTTCTTGTAATAGGTTCAAAGTTGCCTGGATATTTCGCTCTGTGAGATAATTGACTATCAGTTCATTCCCCATTCGAACAGCATCTTCAAACGTTGTAGTTAGATACCATTTCTCACGATCTCTATAAGCAATTCTTGCTTGTACCACGATATAAGGCAACAAATCAGTAAAGATCTGTTTAGTAGGTTTATCTACAAATGGAGGATCTAGGCATTTAACCATGGGAGCACCTTGAATTGGAGATAAATCATTTTCTTCAGGAACAATATTCATATATATTAAATCGTTCTCCTTATCAGCCACTCTATAGGCTTCCAGAACAGTCTCAGTGATACCATTCAAGTCTTCAATTACGTAATTTGAAACGTATTTTTTTGACTTAATAGCTTGTTCACATGAGGTTTTGGCAACTCTTAGTAAACCAACCTGGACGCCGTAATCATAATTATCAAGACTAACTTTGGCCATACGATAATACGCAGCAGCTTTGAAATGAAGCATTTTCACTGTTAAATGGTTCATCCATTCAATTCGAATGTATCTTGATTTATGGGCCAATTCCAAGGCTTGACTATAATAATCGGAGATCTGCTTAGATAATCGGGCAATGATGGTGTTCTTCATAGTATCATCCAATAGGGCCTTTTGCCATACTTTCTCTTGTGCCTGTGCTAGCATTATCCACTTCAAACATTGGATGGTATCCCCAAGGAAATCAGTAGGAATATAGCCTACCTTGCGACTACTATTAACTAACACACTGATATGGTCAAAGCATCCACTAGCAAGCTGGAAATACTGGCACAGCTTCTTAAGTCCCAGTTCAGAGTATCGAGACTCAAGCAACGCCAACTGCGAATAGATACTACCGCATTGATAAAGCACATTGAGCTTCTCTACCATTAATGACCTGGTGATTGATGGGGTCAACCCTAGGGTCCCATGTCCCAAGGTACCAAACCATGTAAGCTCTATAAAGTCGTCCAGAAACTTATCTATAAGCACGTCTAATTGACTATAGTATTGTAGGAGGGTGTCTATGTCTTTGATGTGGATGGCTTCGTCTTGAAGACTCAGGACTTGGAATCGTAGACCGGAGATATACACAAGATCTGCTTCGTAGTTAGTGGTCCGCTGGAACTCCTTCTCTATGATTTCGCCTATGGCTTCTCCAATATCCACCGGGGCGGTCTTTCTAAGGGGGATATGAATCAAGTTGGTATTCATTACTGTAAGGAAAGAAGGAGGTATGTTTACTTTACGGTGCGAACTAATTTATGCACTTTATATTCTACACCCTAACACCCTAACACCCGACACCCATTAGGTATCTCTATACATTGTAACTATACCTTGTTCATCCTTAGCTATCAGAGCTACTAAGGTGTTCCAATACGTTGATCTATTCGATATGGCCCTCTGTTCATCTTCACTGATCTTTAATTGTCCGTTATGAACAGTTGTTGCTTGAACAAGGTCCACATAGGCTTCATGAATGTCCTTTAACAATTGGCCTTTAGAGGATTCAAACGTACTATTATTTGACAGAACAGCAATGGATTCAGAAAGCTGTTTATTTTGGTCTTGAATTTTATTGAGTAGCTCTATTGCTTCAGAAGCAGAAGCATTAGAAGAAATTGTTGTTTCACTAGCAGAAGCATCAGTATCTTCTGTAGTATCTGTGCTAGTATTTTCTTTAGTGTTCGTCTCCTTCTGGATCTCTTGGGTGGTTATCTTGAACAACTCTTCATCAAGTTCATCAATAATGGTACCACCATATGAAGAGTCTTCATACTTGGTATAGTCAGATTTAACTAAAGAACAATACTCTTTAGCTATAAGCTTGTCAAGTTCCAGTGTCAGAGTAGCTATTTCTTTAAGTAGTTTGGGATCAGGAATAGGTAATCCTTTCTGTACTGCTTGAGACCTTCGAAGCTTAGAAAGTTCGTGGTCTACTTTAACTAACAAATCCAAGGTATTTCTTGTCAGTTGGTCCAATTCTTCCTCAGCATCAACATCATTATCAAAATTAAATCCGTTATCAATTGGTCTCGCGTGTTTCTTGGGTGAAGGAAGCTTTGTTAGTTTATCCTTCAAGAACTTCTGCACATACAGTCTGATTTTAGTTGGTTTCTGTGTTGATGACACCTCTTTCTTATCACCATCCACTGTATCCTGAGTCAATCTTAGAAGTAAAGGAGTAACTTCTTGAGCTTTCTGATCCAATAAATCTTTAGATTTCAGTAGAATATCACTATCAATTGATTTGATTGCGTTGTCGTCTTCACTCGTCATGTAAGTTTGTATGGGCTTTGAAAGTTCAATTTTACGTTTCTTCGACTCATGGTTACTGAACTCATCCACTAACTGTGCAGCTGCTTCAATTGAAAGTTTATGTTTCCTATCTGCTTGAATCTTCTCAGACTCCTGCTGCTGCCTCTGCTTCCTCTTCTTCTTCTCTTCTGGTTTATTCATATCTATTCCTTGTCTCCGGACATCTGTTTGGAAATGACGACTCTCTTGTTCATTAAGCCGTGTTTCTTCACTAACATCGTATAGCCCAGTAACAGGAACCATTTCATGAGGAATATCACTAACATAATCAAACTCTTTCTTAGCTCTCTTGTTCTTAGATACTAAACTCATCAGTATACCAGCAGCTTTCAATTCTCTTCGTTTCTGGAGCAATGCCACTCTTCTACTTTCTTCAAGCATTCGTTCTCGTTCCTTTCTTTTAGCCTTCTTCCCCTTTGTATTGGCCAATCTCGCTCTGGCTTCAGAAAGCATCTCCCTCTCATCATCGTCCATTTGTTCTTCATCAGGAAGCGAAGGTCTAGCCTCGTAGTTTGTCTCTCCGCCTTTAGCAGGTAAAGTCTCTATCCCCGGTCCAGTAACCCCGAGACTTTGACTATCATCATCATCATCACCACCAGTTTCTCCAGCTGCAACGGCCAATAGATGTTCATATCTCTCGGCACATTGCGTAGCAGTTCGGCCTAAAGTAGAAGCCACACTCTTCCATTGATTGGGGAAGAGCTTGGCTAACGAGAGCAATTGGGAATCTTGCTCTTTAGTCCATAGGTTCCTTACAACTGTCGGACTTAGCCATTCTTTCCATCGGGCTTTAGCTTGTTTGGCATTCTTCTTTGTGAGTAATGAAGCTACGCGGTCCCATTGATTGAGTCCGTATTTGGACACTGCTGCTTTGAGTATCTCATCTTCGATATTGGTCCATGCTCCACCCTTGATGTAAATAGACATAACGAGGGAGTATAAGGACTGTCTAGGTGTTCTAAAGTGGGCCTTGCTCCTGTACACCTGCTTATACTTTTAACGGTTACACCCGTACACCACTGTGTTGCGCACGACCTGGAAATTCCCCTATTAAGTAAACCTGTAAGTTAAACCGTGGGTTGCCTTCACTACTTAATAATAAACACCGGCAATCAAGGAATCAGCCGTGTGATATATATATGCATTGATATCAGCATAGCATATCATTGCATTTATTTATCTGTTGTTGTTCCCATTATGTTCAAATCAAAGCACCAGAAGTTGATCTTACAGTGTTATCCTCCCGGTAAAGGAGTCGATAAGAAACCCAATCCCTCGGAACTAAGCTACTTGTTATACTATGCTTCTACTCGGAGAGTCAAGTTAGAGAAGGTGGTGACGTTTTTGGATCGTAAAACTAAACATGATACCAGTCACAATCGTACAGGCAATCTTCAAGTGACCTTAGCTATAGTATCTGCCTTGATTGAAAAGTGTTCGGATAATTTGAACTCCTTTGCTGTCCTTGTGTCATCCATATTGAATTCCATCATCCTTACAAATGATTTGGCACTCTGTAAGAATGCCATCAAAACTTATCGTGTATTGTGTAATCATTTAGATGGAGGGTTGTTCACTGGAGACCAAGAGTTTGTAATGTTGTTCACGTCCATTACCAAGTTGCTTATTGGGTTGGGATCGGATCCTAAGAATATCAACGGGCCCAATACAATGGAATGGAAGATGATCTCACTAATGTGTTGCAGACATGTTTCCAATTGTATAGGATTCAATGTGACTTCTGGTTCCGTGATGCTTCAATTGGCAGTGCCATTGCTTGTGTCTACTATCCACGGCAACAGCTCTCAAAGTAATCTTTTGACAAGATTGAACAGTAATGTTAACATTGAATTTGGTACAGTTACTACTGGTGGTGATGACGGCAAAGGTGGTCGTAGGCTTTCTAAGGTCACCACTGCTGGGAGAGGAGGTGGAATACCTTCTCACATAACTCAACAAGAAATTGACGATAACTTTGAAAATGATAATGTACTGTTAGTTGATCTTACTGAAGAAGCTTATAGTGCATTGAAGTCTATTTTTAATACCAATTCAACCCTGCAAATTTCCGATGCTACAAGAATAGTTGTCCATACTAATTTTGAAGCTAAAGTTGATCAATTATGGGGCACCACATTCTTGGAAATGTGTACTATTTGGATTCCAGTTCAATTAAGATTTGCTACTTTATCAACTTTATTAATCAAATTGATGGAGATCTCCAAATCTTCCACTGCTTATATTACTCAGTATGATTATCAAAAGCTTTATGCTAATTATGTTTTGGGTTTAATAAGTTCGGATGTTAATATGATTGGGCTTTCAATATCAGACATTATGCAACAATTACTTTCATTACAATCTTCATTATTTTTAACTCAATCCGTTTATCTTAGTGATGATGATGTTGAAGAATTATCATCAATTTATTCCCTTTGTATCGAAGGATTATCCACTCATATTTATTATCATGATCAAATTTGTGATTCCATCGATGAATTGTTATCTAAAGTAGATTATGTTTTACAATTATCATTCAAGAATGAAACCTCGGAACCTTCCAAGATTTATGAGTTCTTAATCTCATTATTGGGGAATATCAGTACGATATTTAAGAATTTGCATAGCAATACTAGTTCTATAACCAGAACTATTGTTGATCTTGATCATTGGGATATCAGTTTATCGTTATTGAATTGTGAAACTAACTTTGAGGGGATCTCATCCAATTTGGACTCGAGTGAATTGAATCAACTCAAATTGAAATATTTAAATGTCTTCAATGAATATTTGAATAATGAATTATTGAAAAGCAGTCCTTCGAGTTCTTCTGAAGATGTTAGAGAAATCATATCTACAAAATCAGAATACAACTATTTGGAACCAGATATCTTCCAATACATTTCTATGCATAATAATATGGTGAATCATTTATTTGCAAGTGTGGATAAGATGTTCAATCATGGGGTTATTGATGAACAAATATTAAAGCAATTGGTGATTTTAATGAATTCCCTTTCTAAGATATTGGGCATTAATTTCTTGGTTAATTTCATTCCCTTCTTTTATCATTGGACTTCTTCTTCAAAATTGCTGCTGGATGAAACTGAAGAATTGAATTCAAATACCAAATCGACCATTGCTTATGGTACAATGTATACCAGTTTGAGTAATTTTGATGGTCAATATAAACAATTGGATGGACTGGTTATGACTAGTGACTATTTCAAGAAGGTGGAAACCGACATTAGATACTTACTTTCTAATCAAACTTGGGCTAGTGGTTATTACTTGGAATTGGACTCTTTGTCAAACATTAATATTCTGGATAGGGAAAGCCAGGAAGCAGATGTTAAATCCTTACAAGAATTTATTGGATTAAATGATTTCACATCTATTTGGATTCAATCTACAAGACCATTGATTTTGAATGTTCATGATGCCAATGGAGAAGGAACAACAGAACGATCAGATGCAACAAGAATATTCAGTAGTAACTACTTAACTCTTGTGAGATCAACCGATAATAGTCTTATGGGAGGAGATGGAGCAAGAAGTCCACTTTCGGAAATGTCTGATGCCGGTTCATTCTTAAAGCCGAACGGTAATACCAATCATCTTGGTTTGGGCTCAGCAACAGATATTAATTCTATTCATTCTGGTCTTGTTAAACCCTATAATGGAACCATCCCTGATGGGAGAGCAAGTTATATTTCACCACGGATTAATGATCTTAAAGATGCTATGAATCAACCTTCAGGAGGAATACTAAAGAAACAAATGCTGGGGAAACCGCCCCAAACTTGTTCCACATTAGGAACAATGAATCAGAAAGATATCTCAACTATATTGGATGATTTAGATCGTCATATTATATAATGTTGAGTGAGATATACGACACTTGTTATACGATAATATACGATATTATACGATACTTCCATGCACTTTATACGGTACTGCATATATCTGTACAAAATAAGTATTAACAATGACACACTGAAGTTATACGATATAACGAGTAATACAAACAATCATAATAAAATCTATCTTTCTATCTTCTTCAATTGATACCTTATTCGAATCAGAATCAAGCGAATTATATGAACCATCCAAAACATATTGTGAACAACATCGAGAAGTCCAGGCTCTTTGTCCAAGGTTATGCTGTGGTTCTTTATGCTTTTGGGGAGTTAGCACGTAACGGGTAGATTGTTTCTCGTAATCCGAGAACAATCTACAAAATTTATCTATACTATCAATAAACCTATGCCTGTACTCAATTGCCTATTTGGAAACTATCTGGCATAAGCTTCTGGCATCATCGGGCATATAACACGCTTGAGCTGTAAGTATTTGGGAGCTCGCTGGGGATGTTCTCACACCTCTTTTGCGATGTAGCGGTTAAACAAAAATCTTTATAACCTTACTCTACTCTTTTCTTATATATAGTTAACCAGGAAGTTAAGAATCAGTTTAATTGAACTCCTAGATGTGTTTCGACTCTGTTTCTAAAAGTGACAGTAGTCGCTTTATGCTAGCTGGCACCGCCAGCTCAGGTATTTCAGCTACTCCAATCCCTCCGTCTCAGGTCCTACCACCTGGCCCTCGAGGCTCGTTGATACCTTTAAAAACTGGTATAGAGGTTCATATGGCTACTGTTACTCGGCCGCTTTCAACAAGAAAACTTATAGAAGAAATAGCAGTATATTCTGTTGCAGCAATTTGCTTTGTTGGTGCAGAGCACTCTATACAAACTTATCACTAGTAGTCCACCATTGAGGTTAAATTTCCTTTTTGTATTGTCCTTTAGTGTCGCTATGATTTTTTATTGCATGTGACACCAAATACTTTATCACCACTTTGTATTCTAAAGTAGTAATATTAGCATGTTGCATAATTCATGTATGTGGTATAGGTTTAACAGGATTTATCCAGCAAATACCAAAGAACTAACTAACTGTGACACATATCGCTTTGCCCTACAACAAATTGTCTCTTTCTATTTTGCTGCGACACTGATTATACCACCATCCCATTTGCCTAATCAAAGTAGTTTGTATCTTACTTTGTTGCAGAAACACCCACCATTTTGTGTTACTGATTTTATCGGCGATGCAACCATGCGAGCATACTATACATATACGGGCGCATATACGAGAAAATGGAACCTCGTAGCCCTTGGTGATTACCGCTCAATTCCTCAGATGCAGGCGAACCAGATTACAGCTGACTAACATAAAGGATGTCCTTGCGTTTGCAATCAAATATCTAATAATGGTGCTATCCTTTCCATACTAAGCCGAAGTTTTCAGCCTCGTCAATACTAGGTCCAGCTACCGTTGGCTTCTTCTCTTCAAGACGATGATTCCGTTACATTTCTTTCACTTTAACCACATTGATGGATCAATGGATATAGCGAAGTATTTTAGTTATTGGCCTTTTCCAATAATTTCCCGATTAATTCATTATATTGGTAGGCTGAGACGTATGTGGTACCTAATCTGCTAGGACCAGAATTCTTCATCGCAACTAAGAAAATTGGCCAATTTACAAGAATGTTTTAAATGTCTACTTTGAAGCTTACAAGTTTCACAAAGAATTTTAAGGGCATTGAAGTTGACGGCCACCAGCTCAACAAAACTTTGCTTGCTCCATCTGAGAACAAGTTAAGTAGTGCTGAAAGCAAGTCGAGACCAAGTACTGCAGAAGGTAATATTTTAGCACTTACTTGATTAAGATGCTAACATTTTCATTAACAAATGTTGCAGCTTTGATGTCAGATAGCCTTTCATGTATGCAATCAAACTCACGTGCACATGTTTTGTTGGAGCTTTGGTGGGTGGTCTCGCTGCATTCGGTTTTCTCAAGTAATACTTGGAAATGATGGTTCATTTAGGAGTAATTACGGAGGACTCATGTACTACTATAAGATTTTACACTTACGATGCTCTACTATATACGATACAATCTGCTGTAATCGTTTACAGTATGTCGTATATTCTCCCAGTATTCCGTAAGGTTTAATATTTCACAAAACGCTACTTACTACATACTACGGGCTATTCAATCTAATTTTATACTAATGCCAGACAATGTAACTCCATACAGTATAACTCCATTCTGTTTTAGCTTCAACATGTTCCTTATAACTCATATTCTTGTGCTGCATATAACGAACACTACACTAATAAATAAAATACAGTTGTGGACATTATTACGGTGGTAATAGGAATACGGTAGTCTTCGTACTGTATTATTCTTACCATGCCAGCACTGTTAGTGTAATGGTCGTCCTAATGTAGTAATACTTTCTACCGTACAAAGCTTACGAATACTCTCCTGTATGCAGTACTTGGTAGTACTTTATTATGGTACTTAAAAATAATATACATTAACTATAACGTCCCTAATCATCATCATCGTCTCCTAAAGCCAGGAAAGCATTGAACGCATTAGCGTGTCTATCAGCTAAAACGTCTCTTGGGTCAGCAGCCTTGGAAGACCCCAAATTCTTGTTATTGGGTTTCATCTTCATCCCACTTATATCCTTAACTGAATCTTGAAACTTCTTTCTTTCATCGTCTTGTTCTCCATTGAATGACTTTCTTTGTTTGGTCATGGTAGCCCAACCGTCTTGATCAACTTGGATTGCGTCAACGGACTTCTTTCTTAAATTGGGCTTATTCCCGGTTCTGGAGGGTCTTCTTCTGTTCAAATGGTGATATGATCTTTCTACTCCGTGTTCATCCAAATATGAATCTCCGTTGGTTCTTTTGCTTAACCGATACTTTTCTGCTTCGGCTGCTGCATGGGCTTTGACTTCATCTACCAACTGGTTGAACGCAGCTAACACCTCTTCTTGAGGCACGTGCGCTTCTTCCTTGATAGCTAACAATTGTTCCTCGGAATATTTGGCCATGGTCTCGGATAAATCAATACAGTCAACACTAAGTTATAGCTGGTAGTAGCAGTAGAGAGTTGGTACCCAGTGAATTGTATCATTAGTAGTGTGACTGGAACTTTTAAGAAAATTTTCGAAAACGAAATTCACTGGTATGTACACGACCGGCGTGTACATGTCAATGTATAATCTCATCGCATCACAAATATGGGGGGGCCTTTTTACCACAGTTATATAGTCAAAGTTATATACTTATACATATATATATATATATATATATATATATTGCATCGTATCACGTCATGCCTATCGCCCATAACTTAAATAAAGTGTCCAAGAATGTATCCAAAGCAACCGGATCAATTCATATCAAAGGAAGAAAGTTCAAGCAACTTAACAGAGCCACTCTAAGAGATAAAAAGATTACATCCAAGAAGGCAGAGTCATTAGAAAAGAAGCAAAGAGATATGCTTTTGTTCAAGTTTGTTCAAGAAGTTCTTAACACAGAATTCAAAGACAAATCCCAATTCACGTTGGATGATATGAAATTACTCATTGAAAGCTTTCTTGCCAGATTTGATGATGAATTGGAAGAAATGAAGAAAGATAAAAGACCAGGAAGACCTGTTTCCACAAAGCAAAAGATCTTGCAGGAGAAGATAAATCATGATAAACAATTATACCAAACAGGCATAAGATTCCCTGATATCTCTGATCCTCATACGGTTGAACGTATAAGGTTATGGAATGGTTCATCTGGTGGAACAACAGTAATGAAGTTTGTGTTTATTTCAAAGTCAATGGCCCAATTGCCTGTTAAGGAGGTATCAATGAAGGAATAAAAGGTTTATATATCGGGATAGTTTAATTGGATAGCATCATATTATTGTAATAATCTTACTTCCATAAGATCTTCTTAAGTCCGGATATAATGTCTTTGGAGCTGGTTGCTTCATTGATCATTTTACTAACTTCTTCAGCAATAGCCATCTCCATTTGCGGTAAGCTTAAGTCTTTGTTTCCTTCAATTGGTATTGGTTCAATATTGGTAGTTGGGGTAGTAGTGGGTGGGGTAGTACGCGGGGAAGAACTTCCAGTAGTACTATCATCCAATACATAATTAATACCAATTAATGAAGCTAAGATAACCCCAATACCTGCAAAAACATTCTTAATACTTCTTCTAAAACTTCCTCTAGGGATTGACTTCAATGATGGTGTTCCGTTGACTTTCTCCCACACTAAATACTTGGCCTTGGGTTCCACTTTACTCCCAACAATCCTCCAACTATCCAGTTGTAAGTCTTCAATCGTTTCTGCGAGTGAATCCAATTCTTCCTTTCTAAACTTACCTAAAACTTCAAAAATGTCTTCCGACATAGATTTCGTTCCCATTGGATGTTGTTGGCTTTCAATCTTGTGTCCATCAACAGAAAGAAGTAGATATTTTGCTCCACTAGACGCATCATTACTCTTAAAGGTTGGGAATAAAGGCGTTACTCTCGATGAAAGTTCATCGTTAGGCTTCCCTAAAGGCTCATTCTCTTTCAAACCAGTTGCAATAGAACTCTTACTCCATTGGTAAGCTTCCCGTACTTTATTCTGCTCATCCTTTGCAGTTTCAAATTTCTGTTTGGCTGTCTCTAAAAAGTCTTCGATAGAACTCATATCAATATCTTTGGGTGGTGATTCAATAGTCGTTTTGGGACGTTTGGACACTCCATGGTGATGTCTGGGATGCTTGTTGTAGAGGATTTTCTTATCATCTTCTTCGTTGACTTCAGGTGTGGCTGAAACAGCATCTTTGATATAGTAGTCTCTAATATCATGTTCATGGATCATATGGTTGAAGAGATCATTATCTTGTAATGTTGCATTATTTTCATTCTTAGTTAATAGTGCCAATAACTTCTCGGAATCATTGTATTCAAAAGGCTGTTCATTAATTTTTGCATCAATGGCTGACAGAGTACCAGGCAGTCCAGCCTCATAATCTGAGGTTTCCATTAATACCTTGTAGGCTTCCTCCACATCTTTAACACTTAATTCCTTCTTTGGGTTAAACGATTTAACTTCGCAGAGTTGTTGAACAAGATCAGGGTAGAAATCAATCTTACTGGCAAAGTAATTCAACTTACTAACAACTTCCAAATTATTGGCATAATTAGGTGCCAGTTTATCCAATTGTTCCTCAAAAACACTCAACAAATCTTGGAACTTTGATACAGTTATACCCCAATTCTTCTTATCCCAAAGGGACAGCTTAATTAAGAATGCCCTGATCAATGTAAAATGTTGATTCAACAATTTTGCATTCTCACCAACTAATGATAAGGCTGCTTCGCTTTCAACTTCTTCAACTGGAGCAGTGGCAGTGGCTACCAGTTCCTCAATTAACTGTGCAACAACACCTCCTTGGTGTTCTAAATTGACTCCATCAAGATACCGGTCTAAGTTCAATTTGCTGGAGTTAGATAAATTGGCACCATTCATGTTGTAGCATAATTTTCTCAAATTCAATTTTGATTGTGCTTGTTCTTCTGAGCAATTCTCTATCATTGAGTTCAAGACCTCAAAAATCTCCTGATTAGTAGATTTGTAGAAACTCCTTTTATCCAAATTCGATCTTAATTCCAATAATTGTTGAGCATAAAGTGGAGCTTCAACGGCATCAATATCATGAGTCATATCAGGTCCAGATTCTGCTAACCAAGTTCTGTTGAGTGAAGCAGATTCAACACCATCTTTAGGAGCTAATTGTTCAAAAGTATCCACCTTGATAGTAGGAACAGAAAATGAAGCACGCAAATCAGTAGCCATTTTCGGTTCCGTTTGAACAGATAATTTCTGTTCCATAGCATCAAATACTGATTGACTGATCAAAAGACTATCCAAAACTTCCGTGTGGTTGTTGTTCATTTTGAATAAATTAATCAAGTTGGAGTGCAAGTTCATGTATGGGGTACGTGGTGATTCCCAAGCCACTAATGTCTCACAGGCATTAAGGATCTCCTCTGAAGACACTTCTGAGAAATAATCAACTGCCAAATAGTCTTTTAAGTTTGCAATCTCACTAACAAATTGATCCAATCGGAAATCATCAGGTAATTGAACATAATCCGAACTTGCAAGAATCCTCTTATCCAGCTTTTGACCACTTAATATAAAGGTATCCAAAAAAGAAGTATGGTTATTGTTTAAAGAAAATACTTTGGCCAATGTGCCATGTAATTTATTCCAATTAACCAACTCGTTGACATCCTTGTTGGACTTGGCAATTACGTCTCTAATAGCACTCAAAATCTCATTAGAACTGCTCAAACCAAACTTTCCATGGGCGCTTGAAGGTAAATAAATCCTAGCTAGTTCATTTAATTGAGATATGAAGTTCTCCAATTGAATTTCCAGTGAGATTTGATCATTGCTAGTTTTGTTCTCTTCAATGATAGCATTATCAAGCGCTTCAAGAACACCTTGAATGTTTTGGGGATTCTGGGCCAAAATGCCCTCCACTGTTGCCATCACACTACTATCTGACTTTTCCAACAGATATCTGTTCAAAATGATTTTCAATAAAGTCAAGTTCAAGTCACCAAATTCAAATCTATTTTGTAGATATTTTCCTTTAATTTCTCTTAACTCAGCTGCAAAGCCTTTGAGATGTTCCTTGCCAGAAACTTCATAATCTTTCAATGATGCACCCTCTGTGATAAAGTTCTCAAGAGTGTCATACCCCCAATTGACAGTATGTTCAAATTCAAGAACTTTTGCTACTGTCTTCTGAATTGCTTCGATAATTGAAGGTTCTAAATTTTCTTTACTGAACTTGATATCCCTTTGAGAAATAGTGATGATGAAATCTTCGTCAAGTCGTTTCAATAATCTTAAGCCCGATGAATCGTTTCCAAAAAGCCATTGGATCACGTTAATTTCGTAGTTCTCAAGTGCATCCTGGGTATACACTGTGGGTACTCCGTAATAGCCATGAACAACTTCTCTGATTATATCGTCTTGGAAGTTGTTTATTACACCAGAGCCACTCCAGTACAATATTCCATCTCGAATTTTAGTAGCCACTTCCCTTGTAATGGCCCTTTGTCCCTTAACATCATCAATAACTGTTTGTAAACCTGCGAGGAACTCGGGAGTATCAATTTCTTGATAGTTGATTGAAAAATGACCCAAAATAAGGGCCAGAAGTTCTCTGTGGTTTTCATTAATGAAATCTTCAAATTCTCTGGGATACGCTTGAATGAAAGAGTGTTCAGGTTTGGTGACTAGCTTTGAAAGTAAATGTAACTTATCACCATAAGTAGTGTCGACAGCAGGATATTTGTTGTAAGCATTCCAAATAATTTCACGTAGAGATTTGTATCGAGTACATTGAATTAAGATTTGAAAGAACTCTGGAGTCTTATCAAAAGAGCCATCTTCTTCAATTTCAAACTTGGCCAATGTCCCATCAAGATGATGAATAAGTTGATTAAGAGTGATCGTCCCAAAATCGAATTCTTGAGCCAAAACCTTCAATTCAGGCATCAAATATTCAAGATTGTGTTGTTGCAAATACAGAATGATTTCATTATTACGGGCAATTTCAAAGTATTGATTCACCTGTTCAATCAGAGTGAAATCGTGTTTCATTCTTTGCAACAACTCAATATTGGCACCCTTTTGCAAAGCATATTCATCGACTTTAGCCACTAATGAATTGAAGGAATCACCATGTGAAGGCGAAGCAAACTTCAAAAAGTTGTAGAAGTCCTCGTACTTATCTTGGACAAATATTTCCTTACCAAAGTCAAACTCAAAGGAGACCAGCTTATTTTGAGTCGTGGAGGCTGATGCCGTAACTGGAACCCTCTTTAAAGTTATGAGGTCGATTTCGAAATCAGAAGGAGCTAAAGTAGAATACGCATGAAGACCAGTGGGTCTTTTTAGTCTGGTCACAATCAAGGGCAAACGACGTAATTGATAACAACCAGTATCATCAACCAGGACATGCACCAATCGTCTTATGGTGGCACTCCTTAAGGATCTACAATGGAGCATCGTAGGAGGAGCGTAGAGTAACAGTAGAAGCAGTAACAGTAACAGTAGTAGTAATAATAATAGCGGCAGTAAAAGTAATAGGAAGAAAGTGTTATCAATGTTGTCAAGGGGCAGAGGGGTTCTTCATACTTAATTAAGGATCAAAGGATATATCTTAATCTGTGTTTAACACGACCGCTACTAATTGTAGTGTGGAGAAATGACCAGAGCAAGGCATACAATGTGGAGTAACTGTAGGAACTGTTTGCTTGGGGTAATAGAAATGTATACAGCTTAATAGTTAAAGCTTTACTGGCATGGATATTAATACTTTGGTATATATGATGAACTTATACTGTTGTCTGGATGTATTCATGGACACTGTTAATTTGACATCTGTAGGGGTTACCCGGTCAACGGGTCTGGCACGGAATAACTTCGGAGTTATACTTGATTCAGAGTAATGGAGGCTATACTGTGAATTACGTTGATACGAAGTGAAATAAGTACGCAAGCCGTTTGAACGAGCTTTATGGGTTTAATAATGTTGGACATATGGTATTGCAAAGAATTTTTATTCCACTAAACTTCATTATTTACCACATGCTAGAAGCTTTTTCTCTATAGATTTTATCTCATCTACGATCACCACCATTCTACGGAGAACGTTAGCATAAATAGTGTTATCGTGAGTGCAACGAGTGTTTATATTAGTTGATCACACTTGTAACAGGTTCGAGTTTGGCCCTAATCACCTAGGTGAGTGAAAGTAAACTCTGTGGCATACGCATTAGTCGCATTAGTTTAACAATTTTGCAGCTACAAAATTCTACTTCGTCGAGTCTCCAATTCGATAAATCTTCACCAGGATGGTCTCTTGCAAAGGCCTTCCCACGTATTTATCTTCTATGTTTTTTGTGTAAGCTCCCTACACAGATTGAATCAACATCTACATTCACAAAACCTTTTCAAGGCAACATGGTTTAGGATCGAAAAAAGTTGTCTTTCACATCATATTGTTTCAAAATAACGGTGAAATTACTTGAGCCCTAGCCAAATATAATTTTGTGTGAGTGTGCTAGATGCTGTACTACTTTCATCATTGCTGCACCGCTCTATCATGAATTTTGTTTTGTTAATGCTTTTGTTGCAGAATCATTTGAGGGATTGCGATTATTGTTGAAATGTCTGTGTGACTAAACAACCATGATCTAACAGTACAATTAGGCTATTTTCCTACATTGATCAATTTCTTCTGTTCGGCTACGACCTTGCATTACTGTTTCAGATCAGAATTTGTTGACCAATAATAGTTCATCAAACCCTGTGAAATATTTCCTTTTACGGTAATAATTAGCTTACAGATAACAGCATGGTGTTAAAAAAACGCATCCAAGCAAGATCCTATTATATCCACAGGAGAAAGCATTTTGTTACTCAACCAGTGCATAAACCACGGTCACATTCTTCATAAAAGAACCTTTGAGCTTCAGTATTGCACAAAATTAGAAGGGAGCTAGTTGACTGAAATTGTAAGTAGCAATTTGTAATTTAAGTAGCTTCACATATTTACGGTAGTATATATTGGGGAAGCCTATTTCTTTCGGATTAACTTAAATGATGTTGTAGTGTTGATTGTTTCTTTTGGTGCAGCCGGTTTCTGATATGCGTCTTATTATGCAAGTCCGTTTTAAATTATTTACGAGATGTCAAGGGAGATTTGTATTGTAAATGTCGGTGACTGGAAATAGAAGTACTCGTACATATTTATATTGATAACGTGTATGATTCACTAACGCTTGAAATTTTTAAATAAAGATATTATTCTCCGTAATACCTCTACAACTCGTACACCAAGCCATCTCTAGAGGTATTCTTGAAGAATAAGGTAACAATTTTTGGAAATACAGCAACATATTAACTGAAAATACAAGTAAAATAGCTACATAGCAAAGCGATTTACATTAGATTAACGAAAACTTAGTAGCAGTATTATACTTCATAATCATGATTAAGTTCGCCTCAAGGCAATGAAGATTGATTCTTAGCACCTTCACTGATACCATGTCGCATGGCTGAAAAAATGTCGCATTTCTTTATGCTTGTTGCACACAACGTATGGCTATGTAAGCTTTTCGCTAGGTTTAAAGCTAGTAAAGAATTTGGTTGGTCTTAAGTACAACAATTTTGTTGCTCTACTTTCAAAACTTGTAGTGGGGAATACTAAAGATTTTATTTACAAAGGATACACTAGGGACTGGTTGTATTTGGAAGGGTGCGTTTTCAGAGCAACCTGCATAGCGCATGAAGCAAACGTTCGATGCAAAAGTCGTTTGTTTTTCCGAAATCGATCAAGTAGTCGTATAATTGTTCACCTAATTCGGAGTACACAAGTGAAAACCTACTACAAATTACAAAGGGGAGCCCTTACAGTTCAAAATACCGAAACTTGCATTTAGCCCTCTTTACATAACTTTAGGACGACCGTTGGTAAGAGGGCAGGTAATTCTTAAGAGTTCTAATGTCACCTTATATAACTGCAGTAAGCGTCTTAAGATCAAGCAAAACTTCGCTGAGGCTACGTATTATTTGGAGTATTTTTGACGTGTGTTTCGTAAGTTATACCAATACTAAAACACGCTTCAATAATGACACTGCTTATCAGCCATTTTCAAAGAGAGTTTTGAAAGGCGGCTCTAAAGGGTTATGTAATAGAAAAGTAATCTTAAAATTATAAAGCATGCGATGAGGTCTCGGCATGCTTCTTTTGAGGCCCAAAAAATTTATGGATGACGTGGAAACGCAGTCAACTACGTAATATGCAGGTTAGCGAAGAGCGGTTTAATAGAAGCTAATTTTCAGAATACGAGATGCAGAGATTAACAGAAGGAGGTGTAAGTTGAAAAAAAAAAAAAAATTAGATTTGGTTGTATATAAATTTTTTTCATGTGAACTTAATTCAACGTAATTCATGTACGAAAGAGGTTGAACCCCCCCTAAAGTTGAACCCCTCTTTTCATTAGGTATACCATGACAGAACCGTTAGAAGGTCGTTGGCTACCAAACTTTATTCTACACCTACATTGCATTATTTTTTTCCTTCTTGTGCTTTATTTTTCAAACTAAGCTGTAACCCACCTATTGTTTTTTATTACCACATGTAGGTTTCATATATGCGAAGTAATTGTATTGATTAACGAAAGTGTGGTCCATTCCGCAAGGTTAATAGTCGTTTGATGGGGGAGGGAATGCGGAGTAAAATGCTGTCATTATGCATTTTAGACACATCAATTCAAAGCACATTTCATTCCCTGGTCCTGTCAGAATATTTCAGCTGATAAATGAATGATCGTTATACTGGTGCCTCCTTTTCCTTCCTAATGCAACTCCAATTACACTTTATGTGAGGCCAGGCATCAACCAAAAAATTTATGCATCTGTTTCTTTTTTTTTTTTGTTCCTGCTCCAATGCAAGTGTGACAGGCAACGGACGTGTAGCTTCTTTACACGACCGAAAGCTCTCCTCTTTTGTGTCATTACAGCGGTTTTTTGAAAACCCAATACTCAATGTAATGGTTAAGGTTGAAACTTGAATCGACAAATGATTAATGTTTGCTCTTCTTCCACCAAGCCTTGACAGTTAAAGTTGTTTCTTCGTTTTATCGATACCATTTCCAAGGGGGGACTCTTGGTATAGATTGTATCTTCCAGCTTCTATTAATATATTTAGTTGCTACCCCTCCCTCTATAATAATCAGATAATATTCATTTAATCACAAATATAAACGTTTTCCTTAATTCCAAATAAACAATAGTCTTCTGTTCGGATCCATATCCATACAAAAAAGGGTATACAAATGGGTCGAAATACGCCGCCTAGTGGCGATCCAGAGATGGCCAAACTGAAAGATGATGAAGTAATATCTCCAATTATACCTTTAAAGCCCGGCACTCAAACAGTATCTGATACCTTGACTTCTCGTCTCCTGATACCCCCATCATCAGCGTCATCAACTCCCTCAGTTAAACCAACGCCAGCAATCACCATTTGCACAACGCCCAAGCCAGTCCATAATACAGACAACAATGGACCTAAGTGCTCTGACTCAAACCCAGCTTCTAACTCAAATACACCGGCATCCAATGTCGAGATCTCCGAATCAACTTCATCCAATACGTCCCAGTCATATTGTCAGTGTCCAAACAGTATCAATAATAATGATACAGGGCCTCCTTGTACTCCTCCCATACAACCACCCACTCTTGAAGAGCTAGTGGCAAACTGTTTCCTTTATGCTAACGATTACTCTTTCACAGATGTTCCCATGCAAGTCCAATATATTAAGACTTTCCAGCTGCTAATCTCAAAGTATCATGCGGAAGAGAACCTCAACTTCTTGATTGAAATATACAAGTATGAATATTTGTACCTAAATTATCAACAAGAGCAAGCACAACAAACACAGAGCAACACAGATGAAGGCAGTGATGATGAATTGGATAATACAGAATTAAATTTGGATCCCAATAGCCCGAAAACTGATTCTTCTCCTACTGATTCAAACCAACTCTCAACTTCATTGAAACTTCCAGTACTCAACACATCGTCATCATCATCAATTTCCCTTCTAGTTAGGAAATCCAAGGCTCCAAGCATGTCCATATCGAGAACAGTATCACACAAACTGGATATATTCCCTTTCAGTGACGAAGAATCATTGATTAACATGGATTTATTTGAGCATCTGGACACTACTGGGGAAAATAGTAACGGTCCAGCCTTAACTCCAGCAGAAGCATTATCATCAGTTTGGGACAAATTTAGAAGCTCTGAGTTGGACAATTCCTCCGAACAAGGTAGTGAACTTTCAAAGAGCATCCAAGGAAATGAGTCTCTTGCTTCCTGTTCAGTCATTCGGGCTCCTACTAACCCAGTTGATGTAGTAGATACAGTATCTATAAATTCTGCAACTTCTTTTTCCAAAGGAACAAAGTGGTTTGCTTTTGATGAGCGCAGTATCATCCAACAATGGAACTTTATAATAAGCTCTTACATTTCACCATTTTCATCGCAGCAGATCAATTTACTGCAAAGGGCCTCTGATTTTCTTTTGTCCTTAAACAAAACAAGCATGCACGATCCAATCCTTTTATTGGATGCCAAAAAGGAGATCATGAGGCTATTAAAGGAAAATATATACATAAAGTTCATTCGAACTTTAAGGAAAGAGTACAATCTCCGAGTGGCTTCGCCCACAATGGTCACTCCTGTTACCAGATCACCTTTATTTCACGCTGCCAATACTTCATTCATGGCAGACTCGGAAACATCACAGTCAATCAATGCAACTGCTGAAACTCAACTGCAACTGCAGCTGCAACCAGGCTCAACCATACCGACACCTTTACAGTTACCTTCAGGTGCATTGACACCATCGATCCATAATTCTATGGCAAGCTATGCTATTCATAACAGCAGCAGTATACACCATAATAATACTACTGGAGTCCAAGACTCTGGAAGTAACAACAACAATAAAGCTAGCTCTCTTGCTATTCGTGGACATCAGTCTGTTGCTACAAACCTTGCTAGTCCATCACCTATCTCACCAGCAGCATCGAATGCCAATAGTCGTCTTATTAATTCACCTGATCTAATTATGTTGCGACTGCCTGGTGATTCACCAATTTCCCTTACTCCTGTTATTTCTAAAGATTTTCAAGCCGGTACATGTTCAAGTCCAAGTTCCAAACCACCGGCTTCCTCAAATTCTCCTGTGCCCACTAGAACTTCAACAGCAACATCTACCACAACAAATGGACTGAGTCCCGTCACTAGCCCGATGAACTTAAAGAGGCTTGCTAGTAATAGTCGGAGGATGAAGAAATTCATTCCTGGATTACATCAGTCTTCTACATCAATGAATTCTACTACCGGCTCTTCGTCGTCAACGGGTGGTACATCTGGAGTTGAAACCCATAGTACTACACCTTCTACTTTGGATAGAAGTATACATAATTCGAAAACTTCTACAGGTACGGGTTCAGGTTCGTGCTCCCGTCCACAGAACAGAGCCGCAATTAGCAGCACACCCACACAAGGTGGACAGAATTCTCCAGTCTTGGTTAATTCCCCAAATACATCTATGGGTAATTCATTAACTTCCATATGGAACCATTTACGCATTACTACACAATCTCCGCCTTCATCCCCATCAATTGGACCGAAGATCAAAGGACCAAGTTTAAATCAGAGTCAACATAGAAGTCACAAAACGATTGACAATGAAATCGTGTCTCCTAAATGCAAACTGCCACTGGTAAATAATTCTGATGATTGTTCTTCAACACCAATGTCGCCACAAACTCCCTGTACACCATCTGACCATGGAATATTGAGCGGAACCGGCATCAAGCATTTATTTAGGAAACGAGAGAAGCATTGATCATGCTATTAATATATTCGGAGTCAATTTTGGGTAGTGCACAGAATAGCAATTTAGACTACCAAAACATATATACGAACATCATACATACACACATGCATACATACATACATATATACATACATATACATATATACAAACATACAAACTTATACGCATATGTATATGCGTACATATGAACACCACAGTAGATAATAATACAATAAAACCCTCAACCTCATCTCAAGCCTTCTGCTTTATACAGTCTTCTTCTACAGTTTTGTGGCACTAGATTTCTCACCGCGCTTAGGCCTGGTGAACGCCTCAGTTACTCTAATTGGTTGACTCAGAGAAAATTAACTTCAAAATCATATACCGATTTAGGAGGTAAAAAATTTTCACCAAACCATCCTTTTTTCAACGACAGTTCTTATTTAATTCTCTTACACGTCACATTTGAGACCAGACTTCTTCATAGACAATCGTTGACGATTATTAATAATGTTGAAGGCTGCTACTACAAATTGCAGACACTTGGCTCAAAGAGCTTCTGTTAGAGCCAAGATCTCTAAATCAACTGTTGCTCGTGCCACCGTTGTGTCTTTAGCATCCAAATCAAAGTGTGTTTCTTATGCGCCCACCAGACCTTATTCTACTCGTTCCACTGTGGTTCAGTTGTTACAGAACATTGGATCCAAGAGAGAAGTTGAACAATATTTGAAATATTTCACTTCTGTTTCCCAACAACAATTTGCTGTTATTAAAGTTGGTGGTGCCATTATCACTGATCAGCTTCCTGAGCTTGCCTCCTGTTTGGCGTTCCTTTACCACGTGGGTCTCTACCCCATCGTTTTACATGGAACTGGACCTCAAATCAATGAGCTATTAGAGAACGAGGGTGTTGAACCAGAATATATCGATGGGATCAGAGTCACGGATCCTAAGACCATGGAGGTGGTTCGTAAATGTTTCTTGGAACAAAACTTACGTCTTGTGACTGCGTTGGAAAAAATGGGCGTTCACGCAAGACCTATTACTGCCGGAGTCTTCACTGCTGATTACTTGGAAAAGGATAAGTATAAGTTGGTGGGTAAGATCAACGGAGTTAACAAGTCTCCCGTTGAAGCTGCTATTTCCAGTGGGTATTTACCAATTTTAACATCTCTTGCTGAGACTCCCTCTGGTCAGTTGTTAAACGTCAATGCTGATGTTGCTGCTGGTGAATTGGCTAGAGAGTTTGAACCCTTGAAGATTGTTTATTTGAATGAAAAGGGGGGGATTATCAACGGGAACACCGGTGAAAAGGTAAGTGTCATTAACTTGGACGAAGAATACGAAAATTTGTTGAAGGAATCTTGGGTCAAATACGGAACCAAGTTGAAGATTAAAGAGATCCACGATTTGTTACAACATTTACCCAGATCTTCCTCTGTTGCGATTATCAATGTTGATGATTTACAAAAGGAATTGTTCACCGATTCTGGAGCCGGTACTTTGATCAGAAGAGGTTACAAGTTGATCAACAGAAACACTTTAGAAGACTTTGGGAACCCTGATTTGTTAAGAAACGTTTTATTAAGAGACCCGGAAATCAAAGCCGGTAAGTTAAGCGTGGCTTCTTATTTGAAGCAATTGGAATCCACTTCCTTCAAATCTTATGGTGATCAACCTTTAGAGGTTTTGGCCATTGTTATCGAAGATAAGAACGATAGCAAGGTTGCTAAATTGGACAAGTTCTTGTCCTCCAGAACCGGGTGGTTGAATAACGTTACCGATAACATCTTCAATGCCATTAGAAAGGACTATGACAAGTTGTACTGGGTTGTGAACGAGAACGACTCCAACTTGGCATGGTACTTCTCCAAGTCTTCTGGTTCGTTTGCTAAGAACGGTCAAATCTTATTCTGGTTCGGCTTGAACACCGAGGAAGCAAGTGAGTTGATTAAGGAGTTCGATACCGCTCGTATAAACTCTTCGTTGCTGTCAGCCACTGAATCTGGTGTCTTCAGTAGTCCAGCTCAAAAGAGGGGCTTGCACACTTACAGCAGGGTATTCAAGAGGGACTTTACTGTTGCTGCTCGTCGTTCCTTGACTACCAGTGGCAAACCCAACCCTCCCATCAAGGAGACTACCAACACCAAAAAGTCTAAGATTGCCTTGATCGGTGCCAGAGGTTACACCGGTCAAAACTTAATCAGCTTGATCGACAAGCACCCCCACTTGGAATTGTCCCATGTCTCTTCTCGTGAATTGAAGGGCCAAAAGCTAGAGGGCTACAACAAGGATAACATCGTGTACTCCAACTTGCAAGTGGAAGATATCATCAAATTGGAGGAGAACAAGGAGGTGGACATGTGGGTTATGGCTTTACCCAACGGCGTCTGTAAACCATTTGTTGATGCCATTGAATCAGTTGAATCATCCAAATCAAAGATCATTGACTTGTCTGCCGATTACAGATTTGATACTACGGGCTCATGGGTTTACGGATTACCGGAATTGAATGATCGTAAGGAGATTGCTGAAGCCAAGAAGATCTCCAACCCTGGTTGTTACGCTACTGCTGCCCAATGTGGTATTGCTCCTTTAAAGAGCTACATCAACGGGTTGCCCACTATCTTTGGTGTCTCTGGTTACTCTGGTGCAGGTACTAAACCTTCCTTGAAGAATAATGTCGAATACTTGTCTAACAACTTGGTTCCTTACTCTTTGACTGATCACATCCATGAGAAGGAAATCGCTTCGCAATTGAGACATCCTGTTGCCTTCATGCCTCATGTCGCACAATGGTTCCAAGGGATTTCGCACACTATTTCTATTCCAATCAAACCCAAATCTTTGACTGCTAGAGACATCAGAAACATTTATCAAGACTTTTACAATGGTGAGGACTTGATTCACGTTAGTGGTGAAGCACCGATCGTCAAAGATATTTCTGGTACTCATGGTGTTGTCATTGGTGGGTTTGCCTTGAACTCTCAAGAAGATCGTGTTGTTATAGTTGCTACTATAGATAACTTGTTAAAGGGTGCTGCTACTCAATGTTTGCAGAACATTAACTTGGCTTTAGGTTATGGTGAATATGAGGGTATTCCAAGTAATAAGATCATCAGAGGATAAATGGTTGAGGGTATTCTACACGTCTTTTTATAATTAAACTTCAGTTCTATTACTTTGTAACGTATTTGTTATAGTAAATGCGAGATTATATACAAGTTTCTGTCAAACATTGTAGCTTTGGGGATATATATATCATTTGCAGAGTATATACGACATTTGTTGATGTTGCACGACATTTGACGACATTTTCTCCAGATCAAATTCAACTTAACAATTACAACATGCACTGAATCTTACAACAGTTCCTGCACTCTGTTCCTGCACTCCTTCCATTCCAAGACATGTTGGTGCCTCCAGACAACTTCGGACAGGTAGAAAAAGGTGTTTACCGGTGTTCTAAGTTAGTATCAGACAATTTCTCATTTCTTGAAACCCTTCAATTGCGATCATTGGTTCTTGTTGATGCGGAGAAACCAGGAAGATCTGTAACGGAGTTTGTCGGAGAGAACAATATAGAGGTCTACAACCTTGGAGGACTCAAGATTTCCAACCATGCATCATCTAGAGCAAGTAAAGACTATACCGAAGACAAGAGTGAGGACATAAAGAAGAGCCCTGGTGACAATACTAATAATAACAGCAGTAATAGTAATGTCACGGATAGAACAGAAAGATCTTCGGGCTTAGCAGCAGATGATTTAGTAGTGTTTGATCTTGAATCGTCAAAGAAGGATAAGAATGACGAATGGATGTTGATTGATAGAAGTTTGATCACCAGTGCATTTGAACTTATACTTAATAAGAATAAGCATAACATGTTGTTAGTGGACTCAACATCAACACTAGTTGGGATATTGCGGAAGATCCAAAAATGGAACTTCAACTCCATAATCAACGAATACCGAATATACTCTGGTAATTCGTCCAAACACAATTACTTTGCCGAGAACTTTTTGGAGTTGATTCAAGTGGAGCTAATACCATACGAGATAGAGCAGGTTAATTATCAACTATTACAACAGTTACGGCTGGCCAGTGGTACACCGAAGGAGGAGAAATCCGGGTTTGTATGTCCGGAACAGTGCTCTGAACAGGGTGCGGATTTTTCCAAGATGATAAGGTCATTCAAGTCATATTCTTTAGAAGGAAATGATCATAACAATAATAGCATTGAAGAAGTCGCAATTGGTGATAATGAAAGTGAAGACGACATTGAAGACGAAGACGACATTGACGATGAACTACTCTCAGCTTCACCGCAAATCCCGGCTAATCTTTTAAAGTTGGCAGAACAACGGAATCAAGAGAAAAGTGGGAGTATTTCAAATATTTCAGACGGAGAAATCACTCCGGGCACTTCACCAAATGTTGAAAAACTCAGCAGACACAATAGTTTTAGTAGCGAGATGTTTTTGACTAACTCAAGAGGTATTAATATAAGCCAAGATAGAAGACGATCATCTGTTAGTCGAATGTCTAATAGCAGATTCCGAAGTTTGACCCAATCACCGGGATCTTACATGTTACCCCGACGTGCGTCATTTGAAAGCCGGTCACCTCGATTTAAAAAGTTTCGGGATTACAAAGAATTGAAGAATATGTCTGAGTACGACATTGAACGCATTAAAGAGAAATACGACTTCAAATATTATAAGAATCTTTCAAAGTTTCTGATTGAATTTGATGGAGTAAGTGAGATTACGTTAAAGCTTCCTCCAGATAATAAGTTGCCTGATTGGTTTATAAGAGGACGGAACTATTGGGAAGCAAGTCTCCGTAAATTGAACGGTATTTAGTTTTTAGAAGAATGCATGTAATTAATTGATTAATCTGGTAAAATTATGTATCGCATAAACCTCGTATAACCTCAGCTGTATTCTAATGTAATGTAATTTAATGCAATGCAATGCTATGTAATGTAAGTTAAGATGTGGTCCTTTCATTCTCTTTTCCATGATGCTGAGGAATTACTATACATTCGTTCTCTGATTTTAGAAGCAGATATAGCAGTTGTATTTTGACCACCTCCAGTCAGTGTTCGTTGCTGTCCATGAATATTATTACTACTTCGGGATTTGTTGTACATATCTGTTAACCGACTTGGTCTTGTATAGGAAACTCTTTGGTCCAGTTGTGTTTCTTGTATGGGAGGTCGTTGTTGCAGATATTGTTGCAATGGCTGAGGATCAGCAGTTGAAGCTCTCACTGGTTGATACGGAGAACTGGAATATTGCGAGTAGCCAGAGCTATTAGGATATAATGAACCACCAACAGTAGCGCCACCAGCTTGTTGCTTAACTCCGAGCCATTCAGGATAAGGCAATTGCCGTTTATCATAGTACCTAACAAATGCATTGTGGATAAGGGTCTCATCGGGTGTATTCCCGTCATGTTCCGAGTTCCGGAAGGAAATATTGGCCAATTTCTGACTGTAGTTACTCCTTATCTTACTGAAAAAGCCGGCGTCCATAGTTTATATGTTTTGTATGTTAAGAATGTGTACGGAAGAAGACCAAAGGATTTATGGTGTTGTCACTCTGAAACTGAAATTCAACTGCCATATCAGTATCCGCGCTACCTGAGAAGATTACCATTTTGAGAAATGTACGTCTTGAAGAAATAAAAAAGCTACCCTAATTAGGGATTCTTAAATCTATCACTATCGTTGCGACGCAATTTACCCAATACAGCAAGCACTGTCCCTTTCATACAATAGTGAAAATTCTCCTAACAAAAACCCCATCGCATAAATTATGGCCCAATTTCTTCTTATCAAGTAACCGGTAATTCCACTGAATAAATGTCGTTTATCAAGAGGAATATACTCGGACTTGTGATCCGTTCAAAGAATGAGCTCGTCTCGTCGAAGGCCTTCAAAAGAAACATTGGTTTGTTTCCAATAAGTCGCACATATTCAACAGAAGGATCATCAACAGAAGCATCAACTGTTTCAGATGCTGAAACTGTAACAACTCCCGTGAATTCTAGAATCGTATCTGATATGAAATCCTTGAAGAAGAATAATCTTATTAGTGCCGATATTGTTGACAGCATGATCAAAGCCAAGTTTGAACATTTGACTCCAGTTCAACAAAAGTCTATCATTCCAATTCTTGAATCTGAAAAGGGATTAGTGGTTAGAGCCAAAACAGGTACCGGGAAGACATTGGCCTTTGTTATTCCCACTTTAGATGCTGCTATCAAGAGACAAGGACCTCCCAAGACCACATCATTGATTGTTGCACCAACCAGAGACTTGGCTCAACAGATTGTAATGGAATATAAAAAGGTGATTCAGTTTTTACCTCGTTCTTTAGCTAAGAAATGTGATATTGGGATTATTATGGGAGGAAACTCCACCAAAAAGAGACCAGACCCCAGAAATCCACCGGCTATTATCGTTGCAACTCCTGGTAGATTGGCAGACCAAATAAGATCACCAAGCGTGTCTCACATGTTTAGTGAGTTGGAATATAGGGTTTATGATGAAGCAGATCGGATTTTAGACGAAGGTTTTAGAGACGAAATCGACTCCATCAACGACAGATTAATTCAAGCCCGGCGTCATAATAAAAATGAAAAACCTTTCAAATCTGTTTGCTATTCAGCAACCATTGCCAATGAACTTGAAGACTTTGCTGTGTCAGAATTTGGGGCCGAATATGAATTTGTTGATTGTGTTGATAAGAATGAACCTGAAGCCCATGAAAATATTCACCAAGAGTTGGTATACACCAATGATGCCCAACAATCCTTCAATGCTGCTGCTTCATACATTGTCAATGAAATGGAAAGAAAGAATTTCAAGGCCATTGTGTTTCTTCCCACTGTGACCGGTTGTGATTGGTTCTTCAAGTTGTTGAGAGAATGTTCTCATAGTGAATTATATGATAGTCGTCTTACCAAGAAGTTTGGGTCCAGGACTCTTCGTTTGAACGGTAAAATGACTCAAGTGGCCAGAGATAGGTCTGTTAGAGAATTTAGATCAACTTCTCATGGTGTTTTAGTTGCAACTGACGTTGCTGCCAGAGGTATGGATTTCAGTGATGTCACTGATGTCATTCAAATTGCTCCAAGTACTGATATGGCCGATTATGTTCATAAGATTGGTAGAACTGCCAGAGCTGGTCGTAAGGGTAAAGCAACGTTATTTTTGTCCAAACTTGAAGCTCCTTATTCTAAGAAATTGATTTCCTCCAAGAAGATCAATTTTGCTAATAAATTGAACGCTGAAGAAGTTCCAGAATTCTCCAAAGATATCTTATCAACTGTCAAACTTCCAATGGAAGATGTTGAAGAGTTCGCTAATGCTTACCTATCATTCAGAGCTCAATGCAGTGCAATCTATAAGATTGACAAATATGCTTCCATTAAAGAAACCCTTGCTTTATACCGGACATTAGTTGATGATCCTGAAGCAAAATTATCTGCTTCAGAGAACTTCCTCAAGAACATCTTCCAATTATCAAGAGATGAAGCTGAGCCTTTCTTCCACCTTCCTTCAGGATACCGCGGACCTCAAAGAAAGTCATTCAATAATCAAAATAAGTCATCTGCCCGTAGAGGTAGATTTGATTCCAACAGAGGGGGTAATTATCAACGTCTGTCTGGAGGATATGGTTCTAGGGACTCTTATAAGAAACGAAATAATGATGATGAGTACAGAACACGGAATTATGATGACTTCAACCAGAGAGACTCCTTCAAAAGAAGAAGCAATAACGATGATTTCAGAGGTTCCAACAAATATAATTCTGATAGAAAGAATTATAACAAAGGAACTCGTGACAACTTTGGTTCAAGAAGAAGAAATGATCACTCTGATGAAGATTGGTGATTAGCCTATGAAACTTTTTCTTTGACCGTGTACATAATTTTTTATAATAAATACCTTGTAGATAATTAGAGTTTGTGACTCTTTGTTATAGTAGTTTTCTTATCCTTATTCTTTGGTTTTGAAAAGACTGATTTGGGTCTTGTAATAAATGGAGAAGACATCAATTTATGAGCATCAGTGCCAGTAGCACTACTAGAGCTTTCTATACTCACCACATCTCTTGTAACAATGACATATGCCAATAAACAGATAACAAAAACAATGTTGAGAATTATTATCAACCTTTGGATCTTAAGTTCGTCTGTTAAAGATTTGATATCTATAAATGCTTCGTCTAACATTAACTGAGTTCTCAAATCCTTTTCCTTGCATTGGTCAAAATATCTTTGCTCCAAATTATGATATGCTTGCTTGAAATTGAAAAATTGGTCAATCATTGTTGAATTAAATGAATCAAGTAATGCCTGGAATCGATTAGCTTGTCTTAATTCTAGTTTGGAAAATGCATTGGATAATAATTTGCTTTGTTCTTCAATGTAAAGCAACGATAAGGTGGCATTGGACTCTAATAACGATAATCTCTTCATTATGGTTTTATAAATGGATTCTTGAGTGGATTTAACTGCTTCATTCGTGATGGTGGACACTGTAACAGGATTGTTGATATTGTTCCCTTCGACAGGACTATCATGTGGATAACAAATATCAAAGGAAGAAGTATTCAAGTCTTTAAGGAACTCATTGACTCTTAAATGAGGCAATACTACTCGACATTCTTCAGATAATTGAGTTGGTGTGGTTGTCAGGGATGCGTAATCATCGATATTATTATTTTGTTGATCTTTACCTTTGACTTCTTCAATCTTTTGTTCCACTTGGATAATCTCAGCTGTATTCTCCTTGAAATCATCCATCATTGTCTTACCATGAACTCTTAACACTGAAATGGGACAGTAGAATTCATTACCATAATGACTTAAGATCTCCAATTTCAAATACCGCGCCCAAATTAAAGGATTGGCAATATCAAACTCTTGTACGGTCCTTCTATTATCAGCTTCAAATTCTCCAAGTAATTGCCATTCTGTGGAAGGAAATTCGGCACTAACAGTGATTCTAAACTGTCGAAACATCGAACTGAAGAACTCAAAGTTTCCCATAGCTATCCTTTGAACCAAAATATCCTGACACAACTCAATCACAACAAACTTATTGGGTGTGGAACATTTGTTAAGCATATAAGTATCTTTATTCTCCTTCAATATCGACGATGCTCCCTTGGCATCTTGATTGGTCTGTACAATCGTAGCTGCACAATCAGCAGACGCATAATTATTAAGCATCTTGTATGTTTTGGGCTTGGAGTCCTCTGAAGGAGGTGCTGCTGGTTTGCTCTCTGAAGCTGGGAGCTCATCACAATTCTCTTTGGAATTAGTAGAGCAATTCCTTGGGATCGTACCATTTTGTAGTTGTTGTTGTTTCTGCTGTTGTTGCAGCAGCTGTTGCAGCAGCAGCTTTTTCTGCATCTGTTCACATTGTTGCATCTGTTGACATTGCTGCTGCTGTTGGCATTGCTGCTGTTGATTTTGCTGCTGCTGCTGTTGTTGTTGCTGCTGAGAACTAAACTCCGCTTGCTGTTGTTGTGAGCTAAGCTCTGCTTGCTTCTGCTTCTTCCATTCCTCAAACGACATGAAATGTACGCCGTCTTCTAATGTCACATTGGATATTATATTGGTAAGATTGTCAGGACCATCTTCGTTGACATGAACATGCATTTGTTGTATTACGTCATCGGTCTTGTTAGTACTATCAGACTCTGTTTCTAACATTTTACCTTCTGGGGTGTCTCCTTCGCTTGATCCTGAGTCTGAGGCACCACTAATGCTATTGTTTATTATTGATGTCTCCAATCTGTCTGTGGTTACAACCAGAACCTCCTGCAATTGGTTTGTTGGTACCTCCAGTTCAATGTCTTCTTGTAAATGTGATACGTCTAATCGTTTGTCTATGATATCTGACCTACCTATGCGGGTGGAGACCTCGCTCTGGTGGTCCTGTCCAATCACCAGTATTTTGGCCAATCCAAGTATCATTAACGCCCACCGTAATACTATGACTCTTCTCATATGGGCAAGTGTCCTTTTGATATATGGATCTACTCGTATATGATAGGGGAAATAGCACCTGCTGATAACAAAGGTATTTTTCCGGTGTGTATGATCACGTTATTGGTCACGTGATCATAGATTATAAGTAGTAAACAGATACTAAACTAGGTCTAGCTATATGGAAGAATGTAATAGTAGCATACCATTGGTACATAATATGATAGTATAATATCTAAATATTCAATGTTCTTGATGTAATTCTTTCAACTGTTTTCTAATTCCTTTGGCCCATGTCTTGATTTCCTTATCATATGAACCATCTTGTACTCCATTTAAGAATCCTGCAGAATCCTTAAGCAATTCAAATGGAGTTCTTCTTTTCGTATCATCTTTAACAAGGCACAAGTCTATAAATGCACATAATGTTGGATCATAAGGTATTCTGGTGATTGGTTGGATTTTCTCAGTTAATGTTGGAGGTTGTTCATTGACTATCCGTTGTAAGAGATCTAAAATCCCCTCTGGGCCATTATCTCTTTTGAAAGAGCCATTATGTCCACCATTCCCATTGATTGTTCCTTCTTCATCTTCCTCATTATTACGCCAAACATGTTGACCACTTGCCAATTCAATTATCATTAGACCCATTGACCAAATATCTGATTTTATACCATATGTTAAACCTTGAATACGTTCTGGTGACATATAAACCGAAGTCCCCACAAACGTATCGGCCATTGCTAGGGAATTGGTTAATTCTCGAGATACTCCAAAGTCACATAATTTAAATTCTCCCTTATGAGTCATAAGAACATTAGAAGGTTTGATATCTCTATGAATAATCTTGTGAGTATCATATAAATATGTTAACCCCGAAAGAATGGAAAACGAAAGCTTTTTAAGAACGTTCAATGGGAATCTATGATATTCACAAAAAGGGAGGATTTTATCAAGTGATCCACAATTGCAATACTCCATACAAATAACAACCGTATTATTTGTATTAATAAAAGCTCCATAGAATTCAATTATATATGGAGATTGACATTCATGAAGGATCTTTAGTTCTCGTATAATTTGATTTTGAATGATAGTTTTGGATTCAATTTGAATGATCTTTTTGGCCATAGTCTTTTGAGTTGGAATATGCAAGATTTTGGAAACACTACCAGAATTACCTGAACCCAATTGTTTTAAAGTGACGATATCTTCATTATTGAACTTGATAGAAGCTGTTGTTGATATAGGAGACTTCAAATCTTCTCCGCTTGTTGTTGATGATGAAGTTGCAATTCCAGTGATTGGAGAAGCTCTTGGAGAAGAAGAACTGGAGGATTTTGTTGGGGAAATGGAAGAAATGATTGTTTGACGTTTACGTTGTTGATGACTATGATGATTTCGATTTGCATCGTTCCCATTGGTCGAAGTGGTATTTATGCTTGAAGACGATGAAACGAGTGAATTCTTACTCGCTTTGGATCTTAAATCCAAATCAGACAAATGATCGATGATTATGCTGGTTGCGGAATTTGATTCCAAATCAATAGTAGATTTCAGGTTTTGAGTGAGTCGAATCGAACTTGAACCACTGTTGCTTGGAACCTTGGATAAATGAAGCAGACTACTCTTACTAAGAAGAGGGTGGCTTTGATGGAGTTCTGATGATGCAGAACTTAACGTTGAAGCCAGGGAGATGAAACCACATTCTTCAAGCGATAAAGCACCTCCGCCACCCAGCAGAACAGGCTGACATGTACCCAACGGAGATAACGTATTTAACGATAGTTGTTTGAGGTTCTTGCGTTTTAAAGATTTCACCTGCATGATCTTGGGATCATCTAGTCCATCCAAGGAAGGTCTTGGAGTAGAAGAAAACGATGGTCGGATTTGCAAATTATTACTTTCATCTTCTGTAGACGACGGCGGCGGTATCGGAGGTAACTCTTTATCTTGGACCGACGTTTGTGACCGGTTAATGTGGGTTTGTCTGAACACAGAAGAGGCTTCCATGGTGAATCAGATTTATTTCGGAAATAAGCTATAGTTATGGTATATATATGAGATTCTTCTTAAGTTATTCGTGCGGATATAAAGGGAGTGGATATACCTTGAGGTCGGTAATAGCTATAGGAAGGTGGTAGTTAAGGTTATCTAGACTCTTGTTGTCCCAAGTCGTCTCGAATTCTATGGTCCCTTTGTAGATGTACATGCAGGAAAACACTAATAGAGGGGTCTGGATCGTTTGGAGTTGGTGTTCTCATTATGTGGTAAAGGCACGACTATCAATGTACCACTATTCTCCAATCTCCGCTATACAATCAAAAAGCTACTCACGTGCATATACCTATACATAGGCGTACGGCTACGTGCGTAATTCTGCTGCAGCTACATGGAACCCAGCTCAATCTCCTCGTTTGCCGCGTCCAGGGCATACATGTATAATTCCTCACGTGATTAGATCTACCTATTATCCCAAATGATATAATACTAATATTAATGTTTGTTTGTTAACGTTTATGTCGGCTGTAACTGCTGCTGGACCTGTTTAATGCATGCGTCGGTCCGGCCCCACAATAGTTATTGTTGTTATTATTGTAGCAGTAATCTTAATCAACGCTTTGATCTGGTTCACCTCCAGAGATATCATCATAGTATCCACCTGGTTCAATTGCATGTGGTGGCTGTACTTGACCTTGACTATGTTGTAGTTGGTTTGGTTGTTGCGGTTGTTGGTATTCTGGAAAGCCGCCTTGTGGTTGTGAATACCCCCCTTGTTGTTGCTCTGTTTTGACTCTGGGATGCTGTGAGAACGGATTGATAAAGTATTGATTTTTTTCAATCTCTCCAGATGTTTGTGCTTGGTTAAACCAAGGACCTCCTTCTTGATATTGACTTTGATTACCTCCGCCACCTCCTTCTTGGGAAGAAACGTATTGAGAAGAAGAAAGCATTCCTTGCTCATACCCATTAAATCCTCTGTTCTTTGTGCTTTTATTGCCATAGTAATTGGTGTAGCTAGTATCGTATCTCTGGGGTTGCATCGATTGTGCTTGTGCTTGTGCTTGTTGCTGTTGTTGTTGTTGTTGGTCGAAGCCTTGGATTGGATATTGATTCGAAAAAAGACCCTGGGACGAATCTTGCCAGTAAATAGATTGTTGTTGAGGTTGTTGTGTTTGCTGTTGTTGCTGTTGCTGTTGCTGTTGCTGTTGCTGCATTGGATGTATTTGCTGATGCAACTGGGAATGTTGTAGTTGTTGTTGTAACTGTTGATGAAGTTGAGCCAGATGTTGATCAATGGGTGATTTATTAATATTACCTTCACCGAGGAGAACTTCATGCCCACTCAGAATGGAAACTCTGGGACTAGGATCAGTACTCCGACTCTCGTCAGTTGAATTACCTCCCAGCATCTTCCTCTTTCGAACTCGACAAGCATGGCACACTTTATGTTTGCCTATTTCATCAACATCCATGGCCTTGGCACACCGGTTGCAGTTTCCCAACATCTCCAAGTTGGTACGTCTAATTCGATCATTCTCTCTGCACCGAACACATACTTTGTAGTTCATACGACTGGACATGGACTTGTGATGACCATTGGCACTGGCAGCCGCTCCTGTAGAAGAAGCACCACCAGATCCCAGTTGGATATCTTCTAGTGCACCAGTTGCTATGATTGGAGCTTCCAATGGTCCGGAACAATGAATACAACGACCTTGAGCCGCTCTGACTGCCTTTTTGTCTCGAAGACTACGCCGACATGTTGGACACAAGACGAAATTCTGTTGGTCTTCCGGGATATTCGTTCCACAACGACGACAGGCACCTTGTCTGTCTTTAGTTTTACGTTGCCATCGTCTTGACCTCTCTCTTTGTAAGTCTCTGCAGTGGTCACAAAGTTTGAAGATCTTGGGTTCACCAAACTTTGCGCTTCTCTCAGAGGCATTAGGCATCACCACCAATTGCACAAATGGTTTCTTACATCGAGAACAGTTGGACTGGAAAATTTGATTTGACAGACCCGTGGTGGCCATAGGGGCCTCGCTTGGATTATTATTGACGATTTGTTGTTGAACATGTAAGGGGGGGATTGATTTAATGAGGTCTTGGTTCTGTGTATCAGCAACCTTAATGGGAGGAGAAACTGCCAAAGGATTCTGTCGAATAGGATTACGAGGTGAAGTGGCTGGGGATTTAAGACTTCTGTTCTGCGGAGATTGGATATCGGTACCGAGATTCCTATAACTTGGAGTGTCTGGTTCTCTTTTCACTGGATATGGATCTCTATAGCTTGAGTCGTACGAGTTCGAACCAGTAAGGGTTGTTCTGGAGTAGGAGCTTGTAGGGGCCATAAAGGATGATGTATCGTGATTATCCTGAGGTTTAGGGATGGTATGAGAGTAATTGGTTGATTCATACGCGTTGGTGGCAGTACTACTATTATTATTAGTGATATATGGATAACCTCCAGGATGGTAGGGATTGTATGGATCTGAAGTACTGGGTTCTGATAGTCTCATCATTGGATTTGGATATTCCGAAGCGTAGCCGGGTGTATTTGCGGAGATGGTTTCGGCTGTGCTTGCCGTGGTATAATATTGATGGGTGGTTTTGTCTGGATGATTCAAATTTATTTGAGGGGTGGAACCGTAATAAGTTGGTGAGCTTTGAGGGTAATTAGATGGGATTAGAATATTGGAATTAATTTGAGTGTCCGGTCCTCTTTGGGTCTGAGATGTCACATTGGATGTTGATTGTAATCCTAAACCTGTAAGATTAGAGCTTGAGGTATTGGACTTAATACGAGGGGGTGATGCGACTCCACCGTCAAAGCCGCTTCCGCTGGTATTCCCACCTCCTCCAGTACCGGAATTAGACGCATCTGCCCCCCCCGGCTTGTATCCGGGATGGGTGGGATTATTATAATTGTAGTTGTACTTTTCTGTCATCACCATATAGTGACGATCCATTGCTGATGAAAACTTAACTTATTCAAGATAAATGATATATGATTACACTATTCTTTATGGTAGCAAATTTAGAAATAGCCATCAAATAAGTACAGATATGCGAACTGCTTTAGTATGCGGTGCGACAGGAAAAAAAAAATAATAATGATCGCTATTAGAAAATAAAAATAATACAAAGCAAACAAAACAATTGCAAACGAATTGTCCAGACAATTTTTTATTTTTATTCTCAGTTTTTTTTTTTTTGTCGTTTTTTAGTGTCGCTTGAATAATGAAAAATAATGACAACTTACCAATAGAAGAAAAATTTTGCACAAGATAACTTTCTGAAGAATTTGTACGCTACATATATGTGTATTTCCGGTGGCAACATTAAACTCAGTCATCTATATTGAAGGAATTTTTTGTTTTTGTCTTGATAGAATGATTAAGTCATGTCCTCCTTAATCATACGGTAAGGTTTAACGTATAATTTTGGTAGCGGTGTTATTTTTTCAGTGTATGATGCAGGAGTTTCCATACAAAAAAGTAAAAATTCATGACATTACAAGTCTTTTATTAGAAGATTGTGGAATCGCATTTAATAAAATTTTCAAGTTTTACTATAAGTGTTATACTGCTGTTGTAATTGTAACTTTACCAACGTTCTACAAGCCACTGAAATTGAATGTCTTGCTTATTACTCGAGTTTCTGTTCATTTACGCTTGACAGTAGAGTTGCGCTTGATACCCAATTCAAGCAATCCAGCCCGTACATACATATTTCGCATCCTGCAACTCCTGATCTGGGGTACCAAAATGTACCGTATTCTAAAAGCTGAAGAAAACACAATACAATACAATACAATACAAAACGATAATAAGAATAAATTATTCAAGAATAACTATGAACTTGTCATACACCCAAAGAGTAACAGTCAACGGAAATTTGCTCGCTTGTTGTGTCATTTTAGGTAGCACTTTGGGACCCCCTGTCTAACGAAAGATGTTCATTGCTGAATTCCGACATGACATTTAATTAACGTTGTTTTAAAGTAAGGTGATTGAGTATAAAGAAAGACGCCATCAAATGACCATCTCATGATAATCTCCAGGTTTGCAGACAAGTCTCAATCTTTATTCTGCTTTGGGTAGCGCTGCAGAATTGTTTATGCAAGGTTGTGTAATTTTCCTGGCTTACCTGTATATAATGCGTTGTTTTAATGCAGACAGAGATTGGTGGCACAGTTTAATCATGTCTGTCGTAAATTTGACTAGTACAGGTACACTGAATAATTTCACACAACTAACTCTCGTTAAAAACGTATGGATGTAACTAACGTGCCGGAAACCGGGGACCATATTTTCACATTTTCTTAATACCAAGCTTGAATGAAGATGAATAGCAGCCTCAAATTCAAGGAATGTGGTTGGAGTCTAGGTCTGTTGGTTATTGTACGTTAAGGGGGCAAGACCTGCCAGTAAGTTGCTGTGTATTTTTTTTATTGTAAGTTGAATAAGTCGTAGTAGCAACAATATTAGTCATGTTATAATATCTGTAACATTAATGATGCGGTTATTGCTGTCTATAAGTCAAACAAGTCATTCATTACACCTACTCTTATTTTATGCTACCATAAGACATTAGGTAGTTGAGGTGGATTACCTGACATATTTCTTATAAATGTCTGATACTCAATACCACATGAAGCTTTAGCTTAGGCTTAAGAAGGAAAATTATGTGCTTAATTTAGACGTAGTTGCTGTATTTGCAAGTACGTAGAATAAAATCAGCTGGTGTCCTTTTTCCACGGGACTAATGTTGGCGCACACGCATGCAAGCTGATAATAATGCGTTATTGTGTTGGCTCTAGGCTTATTGTGAGAAATCTTTTTTAAGTCAAACATCAGACATTTTCTACAATATACGTATTGCGATATACATATTGCCTATTTATGTATGATGGGCACTATATGTATAGTCCAAAGTAGAATAACAGTGCACATAGTACAGCCATGTATTGAAATACAGCATCAGCATTTAGCGACGGGGGCTTCCATTTTCTTGAGTTTATTTTTTTATTTCAGACACTCCGACAATTATTCTTCCTTCCACGCAATTTGTGCGAATATATAATAATATGTAATATGTATGCACAAGTCAAATGAAATCAATCTCTGGAACCTTATATCAAATCTCAAGTAGTATACCCTAAATATAGAAAATACGCACCTATTTATAGATGGATGCGCAGTCATGTATAAGTACTAATGCGTTTTTAGATGTGAACCTAAATTGTTACATTTGTATTGAAAAAAAAAAAAAGATTAATATCACAACGAGTTCGTTAATAGTTAACTCCAAGCAAGACAAGTGACGCATCTTAAGCATTTCATCTGGCATATTAATACATCTACTTTAATGCGTCTCGTTCCACTATGTACCGATAATGAATCTTCAAAGGTGTAACGGCTACTAAACGAACTCCTTCCATATAGTGTCGTTGCAAATGTTTAGCGAATTCAATAATCTGGGTCTCATGCAGAGAAAATAACCGTTTTATCTTTGTGGTCCGCATTAGGTAATGTGGACTGCTTCCTTCAACGCACTATTTTATACGACTATTACATCCCTCACTAAGGGTCCAATACATTAAGAGGATTCCATTTATTACAACTGACAACTGCAATTCTAATTCAATATATTCCTTGCAGAGAACCAAGCTCCTTTATAACCTCTGTTTCACTATATACAAATAACTTTTTAGGCTTAGCCAAATCGTTTACGATATAACATTTGAAATGCTTCTCCAAATCTATAAGCTCCCAAGCCAATAAGAAGGACTCCTGTTATCCTCACAGACTTCTGCCACCAAATTGGATTCTTTTTCAAATCTATCTTACCGGTTTTAGAGTCCTTTAATGGGAATCCCGAACTGAAATAAGCTCCACCCCCTACGCAGAGAATTGATTGGATAATTGTACACGGAATACATGAACTTTCCACTTCTTCATTGGAAAGTGGCCGAGAGGGAGGGGGATTAAATACCGAAAGGATGTTTGACATAATTGAATATGTTAAAGATCCTTGTTATTTATTGGAAGTACCTTGACTCTGTAGGACTCTAACTGTAGCAATAATCACTTGTACTTTGCCTTCGAGCTCACTGCTATTTAAATCAGCTCATCATGACACAAACCCAAGTCTTTGCTAAACGATCAAATGATTCGATTTTTGGTCTCCTGCCGCCGTTAATTTTATCCTGTTTCTATGTTGCTGTCGCAAGACGCTCGATCCACTGTATAAGCTGTACTGATTATCTTGTTTAACCCAATGCTTATTTGTAGTTTGATATTACTAGGTTTTCATCAAATAACGTTAATGCTGGTAAACACGTGATATGTTTGATCACGTGACTACATTTTTACCTTCAATCAGACATTTCTCCACTTAAAACTCTTGTTCTGTTCAATTCATTGCTCTATTACAATTAACAATCCATTTCGGATATGAGGAACCTTTCTAGACTCCTTCCTAAAGGTCCATTGACAAGGACCATAAACCATTTGTTTCCAACTGTCCGAACTAGTCTATTATTAACACGCCGATCACTAGCTTCGCAATATGACTACTCTAATCCATATCCATCTCCACCTCCCCCTCCACCTGGCAACAACCACCTTGTTCCTCCAATTCGTTCACGGTCTAGATTTGGATGGATAGCTAGTAAGGCATTGTGGGGGATTCTTCTTTTGGCTACGATCCCCTTGGCTTACAAGGAGTACTGGCCCCATCATACATTTCCAACCTCAGTGGCCAAATTGTTACGTAAGGGACTTTGGGCTGAAAGTAATAAAGGAGAGTACGACTACCAGCTTGCTCTTAAGTATTACATTGAAGCATTAGATGAAGCTAAAAATCTTAAACTTGATCCAATCAGTGATGAATACACCGGTATCCAATTGAAAATAGCTGAAATGCTTGAAAGACTTTCAATGTATGAAGAAGCATTCCTTATCTATTCTGAAATCCTGACGCTTTATTTGACTGTATTGACGGCACAACCTGATAATCCAAACTTTAAGCCTTTAACCATGGATCAAAGAGATCATCTTATTATGAAGGACCTTCGGTTAGCAGTGAAAATAGGTCGTGAATTAGAGAACCCTAATCTTATGAAACCTTTCATGATGACTCATTTGCTTATAGCCACAGATCAAATATGTCGTAAATTGGGTCATGGTGCTAATTTAGCATCAGCAGTTGAATATGTGCAAAGAAATGCTGTGGTCAATGGTACGTCCACCAAAGTATCATCTCAACCGTTATTAATGAAACCATCCAAACGAGGTTCTGTTCAAGTTGTGAAGAAAACTGAAGATTCCTTAATTGTAAGTTGTGGAGATGGTACTACCCTTGAAATAGTACAGAATCCTGATGCCTGGGAACCATTTATTGATGAGTATTTCCAAGCTAGTGACATTTATATATTATCGTTGATATTACTTGAAGACATTACTGGAGCATTTGAATCTTCCATTAACTTATGGGAACAAATGATTCTTGCTGATTATAGAGTTCCTCACAGATTCTTACAACATACTTGCAACATTGGATCGTTATGTTTCAATAGAGCTGAACAATATGAATATGGAGAAATCAAATTAAGAAGAGAGATTGCAAAGACTTTGGGCATTGAGGACCATCTTAGTCTTACTGCAGAGCAAATAGAGGCAAGTGATAAAGTATCTCGTGTTGATAAAGATGCCTTTAGGGAGTTAGTGAAGCAAAAGGACTTTAGTATCGGTGAAGCAAAGTCCACCTATGAAATGGTATTAAATGCAATTAAAGAGAATCACCAAGCAGATATCGATAAGCATGCGGATGTCATCAATTCTGATACCTCAAAGGAAATCCAAAACACAAGATATGTTGCTGAAAGTTCCGCCTTAGCTTCCTATGGTTTGGGTGTTATCAATTTGCATTTAGGTAAGTTTGATGATGCTGAAAGATATTTACGAGAGGCTCGCATAAAGGCAAAGAAGATTGAGTATGGAATGTTAATTGACAACATTGAAGATGAGTTGGGCAAGGTGTTCAGGGAAAGGTCTCAACAAAGCCAGTAAAGCGATTCGGTTTTAAAGGACTCTATTCTATATAAATAGGTAGTTTATATTTTATTCAGTTGTTTGCCTTAGGTTTAACCTTGCAATAATGGTGTATCTTGTTGATCAATGGGTTTAACATGGTTGAATAATCTGTTCCAAATCGTTGGTTTCAAATATTGCTTCACCTTATGTTGGTATATTTCTTCGAATGAAGGAGGCTCAATTTCTTGTGGAGGAACATCTTCCATTGAAGGGATATCATTATCATTCCTTGGACCAGCTATACCACTTGACCCACTAGGAATGGCACCTAATAAAGGTGTTCTTTGATGCTGAGCTGGAACTGAAGCATTTGCTGCTGCTGCCGCTAATAATGGAACTTCTGAATTAGATAATATGGTTGGATCTCTAGCCACTGAAGCCGCGGATCTAACAGAACTCAATTTTCTTATGGAAGAAGCAGAACTTGCTCCATTATTTGAACCTCTACCGGAGTGGAAAGAAAAGATTGAGGAAGAATCATCAAAAACAGAACCCATATCTTCCAAAGTTAATCCTTTAGTTTCAGGGAAAAGAAATTCCACGGCTAAGAACGAAAGGAAACAAGAAGTTGCAGGAAACAAATAAGTTTTCCATTTAATTGAAGCCAATAAAATTGGAGTCATTTCACCCACAATAAAGTTGAATAACCAATTTGTTGCAGTTGATAAAGCTGCACCTTTTGATCTTACTGAATTGGGAAAGATTTCACTCATTAACCACGGGATAGGGCCCCAACTATATCCAAAAGCAGCATTGGTAACCACCACACAAGCCACCACCACATTGGGAGTATATTTGTTATTCAACATTAATGAATATGCAATCAAGAGCAAAGGCACACCCATAAGAATGGCTCCTGATAAGAGTAATGGTTTCCTACCCCATGAATCAACCAAATACCATGGAGGTATTGTGGAAAGTATATAAATGATAGAATTAAGTCCAGTCATTAAAATAGCCAGTCTACCAACCCAACCTGCCAGTTCAAATATCATAGGAGCATAATAAGCAATGATATTTATACCATTCATTTGAGCAAACATTTGAGAGAAACATGCAACAGAAACTCTTTTAGCATATTTATGAAATAAATATGAATAAGATCTTTCTCCACCTTCAACTCGAGCAATTAAAATGCTTTCCTTTATGTTTCTAAATTCTTGTCTGGCAAAATAATCCTCAACATCACCATTCCCATACAAATCTGCAATCACTATCATTCCTTCAAGATCATGGTTATGATCAAGTAACCATCTTGGAGTTTCCACAATCAAGAATGTTCCCAAAAATAACATGGTTCCAATGACACATTGAACAAATAAAGGAGATCTCCAAGAATAATCGTTTTCAATAAATGAAAACCCATAATCAACCCAAATACTTGAAGAATATCCAATTATATTCCCTGTGAATTCCAAACAAGCATAAAACCCTCTATCTTCTGGAGGACTGATTTCACTTTGATAGCATGGGATAATGGTTGTTAAAAACCCAATAGCAATCCCGCTAATCAACCTACCACAACCTAAATTGATTATATTGACTGAAGTACATTGAGTAAGTCCTCCAACAACGAAAATAAATGAACCATACCTGATGGTTCTTCTTCTACCCCAAATATCACCGGCTTTCCCAGCTACAAATGATGAGAAAAGGGCTCCAATCTCTAAAATGGCTATCATGGTACCAATAGCCGCTGGGCTAGGGTCTTTATAGTAATCTTTGAAATATTTGTTGGTTAAGAGAGACGACATCAATCCTTGTTCAAACCCGAAGATAAACACTCCCAATGAAACAAAGATCGAGGTGAAATTTAAAAGAGCTCTCCCTACAAGCAATGTATCCTTAATCTGGATATGTTGATGAGGTTCCGAGCTCTTACTAACTGATGATATCCCACTCATATGTGTTGATGTACGTAATCTCTACTCATTAAGGAGTGATTTACCAACCAGTTAAAACGTTAATGCAACACGGTCGGAAGAAAGGAACACGTTAAGCTTAACGTAGCAGCAGCTTATGGGTCTATTTATATCAAATCTTATATCCGACCAACACCGGGTCAAAGGAGAACTGATAATAACAAGAATGACGTTGATCTTGGTCTTAAATATATGTTGATTCAAAGATAAAGATTGGTGTCGGGTGTTGTTTATGTGCAGGATATTGCACGACTCCTAATTCTCGTCTATATACCGGATATGACGTAAGCTACGAACCTTTTTATTTCTTTGATGTTTGTTGATCGATTCTATCTTATATTCTTCAATCTTGAGGTATTCAAATGAACGTCAATATCTAATCTATCTGAATCTTCTTCAATCTTCTTCAACCGTTCGCTTTGACTATCCAATTCCAGTCCAATCAATTTGGCAGTGGAGTTCAACTTCTTTGCGTAATTCCCAATTTGATCCAAGTTGTTACCTATTTGTTTCTCCATTTCATCATCTTCCGAATCCGGTTCAATCTGGTACCTTTGGGCAGCCTCTAAATGTTGTTGATCGCGGTAACTTCTATAAGTTTCTGAACTAGTTGAGTTACTTGATAATCCTTGTTTAACACGTTGTTCGCTCTCATACATTCCGGACCGGTTCCGGTCACGTGTGTACTTTTCAGTAGCCAATTGAGCCTTCAATTTCTGTTCTGCTGCTTCATACCGCTTCTTCTTGGTAAATGGTGTATAAGTTGGAACGAAAATAGACCGATTAAGACGACGTAACTCATCAACTTTACTGTCTGCGAGTTTGGTTTGAGTATTTGATAAAAGTAAGTTTTGTTCCACATTGTATAAACGTTCAGATTGTGATCCCAACATTCCTAAAGTATTGGTTGCACCAGCATCTGCTTCTTGAGCCATACGAAGGGTATTGACTGTCAGTTGTAGAGACTCTTGCTTAACAAATCTTATATCTTGTTTAATCCTATCGACCTCTTCGTCTTCAGAATTAACTTGTTCTTCTTCAGATGGCACATCTAAAACGTCCAAGTTAAGATCATCTTCCGGGTCTTCTTGATTCAAGTCTAACAGATTAAAATTAAGCTCATTAGGGTCATATGGTGTTTTGGGTTTCCTATTCACGGGTCTATTCTTTGATTGCATAGGATTAGAAGGAATATCATTCAAATCTAAAGTGGACTCGTCATCATTGAATTCGTTAACTCTCGTGCTTCGACCACCAGTACTCCTAGATGTACTAGTTCTGTTAGACGAAGGTGGTTGATAGGGCTTAGCATTAGCATAAGGATTAGATGAAGATGAAGCAAACGTTGCCGTTTGTCCAAGGTTCAACCTTTGTGGTTGCCCTCCATTCATAGCACCATTATTACCTCCATATGGGTTACTGGCATTACCTCCATACGGGTTACTGGTATTGGCATTACCACTATAAGGATTGCTCGTACTCTCATTATTATTATCGTTGTTGGCATAAGGATTGGCTCCACCTCCATTTTGAGCTCCAATATTCGCATATGGATTCACAGGTTGAAGCCCAGGCTTTCTGGCTTGTTTCTCTTGAGCATATTCTTTAAATGCACCAAACTTCTCTTCTCTATGTTTAGGTCTTTGGATCACTTCTTCCGCTGGCTCTTTCTTTTTAAATACCCTTTTGAGCCCCATTATGATGCTTTAATCGGTTCTACGGCTAATGAGATGTGGCTGGTTAAAACTTATGATAATTATTGTTCTTAAAAGAATTCTATAATTGGGTCGCCTCGACTGTCACATTATTTCACTTTGCTCAGGCAGTGCTACAAAAAAAGTGTTATATGCTTACGTAATAAGGTGACAATGGAAGGACGTTGCTATTTTGAACTCATGTAAATGTTTCGGTTAGCATGAGTTTACTAACTATAGAAATATTGGAACTATTAACTATTAATGGCTATACCCCTTCAATCACCCTGTTCCCCTTCACTGCCTTGGTATTTCATCAACCCCTCCTCTCGATCTCATACCATAGAATCCTCAGTGGTCTTGTACAGAGCTCACAATTAATAGACTTCTACGTAGGGAACAGCACATTTTGATATTGGACATACTACTACTTGCCACTTTGATATACATACGATTACTTGGCGTTCTTATGTATACGAATACTCGTGACTAATATTTAGTATTCAAGTGTAGTCCAAAATTCTCACATTTATCATTGGCTTTATTGGTTAATTTTACTAAAACCTTCTAATATGAATGAACTCGTTGTTTTATCCTTGTTAACCCCTTCGATTTATTTCTCTTCTTCATCCCCTCTGCTAGTCCGAGCTATATCCATTCTGCTGGTGTTTGATTCTTCATTCATTCCCCGGCAATACAAAACTCACCCTTTTGAATTTCAAGACTCCGGGAAGAGCACCACATCTATATTCAAGATTAACTTAGATGTAAACTAATATATACTACTGTTGCACTATAACAACCCGGCTTACCCCCACCTGCCCCCTAATGGCCTACTCCGGTTCCTTAAACACTTTAGCACTTTGATTGGTGTGTGCTACCATATTGCTATTGTTCTGTAAACGTGCACAATAATGCAGATTTCCTAACATGGGCTTCGGAGTTTCTCATGCCGATACAACAACAATAATAACAATATTAATACCATTCTACACGTTTCTGTATATTGCAAGTCAGAGATTGCATGGAGAAAATAATTTACGTTAGTTGTGTTATATAAATAACGGTCTTTTCCCATCAAACTTGGTTCGCGACATGGAACTTGACTTAATCAAATACCCATCTCCTAAAAGACAAAAACTATCACCACCTCCAATGCAGCCATTATTCCCAGAATCATCTGCTACTCCAATGGAGTCTACTGCTTCTTTAACAGTACAAGGCAAGGTTGCCCAAGTCTTCGAAGGTGACGAAAGATTTCTTAATAACTCCAAGGTTAATTCCAATGGTACTTTCACTCCCATTAGTTCGTACGAAGGTTCTAATGATGTTACAATGAGCGATGCTACTGAGTGTCCTTGTGGATATTTGCATGGCCCTGGTCAAGGTGATCACCAAGACCTTCAAGCTGTTGGTTTTGCTAACATTCCTTTGATGCGTGGTCCTGAATAAGAGTGTTTATTCCAGTATTAAATCGTGCTTAATCCTTTGTTAAACTTTACTACGTTGGGTATAGAGCTGAAAAAATTTTCATGGCTGGTTATACTAGTTGGCATCGGTTGCGAATTTTCGGAGTTGGTTTTGTGCGCGGCCGAGTCTCATATCTCGGACTCTTTTGGATCTATAAAGCCATTGGGTCTCTTTAATAATATAATTTGTAAACTATTCCTTTATGCTCGAGGATTTTAATGAGCATTTGGGGCGAAAAGTATCTGTGTCTAAGAGTTTTGTAGTGCTCTTGGATCGGTTGCTTCATTTGGGTAATATAATAATATAATTATAGCAAAGGTCTCGTAGGTTCCGTGTATTTAAAATTGAAATAATCAAGTAATGAATGTTGACTATTGTTTGGTTCTTTTCAGATCATTGACAAACGAATAAAAGGCCCGGTAAATATTTGGCCACTTGGTTGATGGTGCCAAACTCATGTATCATTCAAATGTGCTTTACCCCGATACATATCATTGTTCAATTTACCGTCCACACCATAAAAGTCATTCTCGTGTACTATTATACTTTTAAGCCTACGATGGGTAAATAATGTTGACTGTTTTTCACGTATTTTTACGTGCATAATGTACGGCTGAAGGGTTTCCATACATAAGCATTTACGAAAAGAATAATCATTTCCTGCAACTGTCGATAGTAACTAGAAGATGACGTCAGGTGATTCTAAATGATTATAACCCGATTTTTAAGTATCTATGTACATGTTTATTGTACCCAGTAGAGATATATTTGTGAATGCATAGGTATAAGCATTCGAAATTACATATAAATTGAAGGAGTAACTTACTAGACAATGCCCCTTCTATGTCAATGAGCTCTTAGCTATGGCCACATTGACTAGTTCTATTTGACATGGGTGTACGAAGATATACAGCAAGGTGTGAGTTTAGTTCTATGGATTTTCAATACTGTAGAACTGTTCAATGCCACGTGAGTCTCTTTACGTTTAGCAACCGCTACATTCACCGTACAGGTGTGGTAGTGCTTGAAACACCACAAAGGCCCCTTTGTAAACAAACGCTACAAAGCGAGATAAACTGTGAAACGATGTCATGCATATCAACTTGTTTCTAGCAGTATTTGACAAAGGTGGATCTCTGAATTGCTTTGACAGGTTGTACATTTCAAACCGGCCTATGCCTTACAGCCAAGTTTGACTTGTTTGCGTTGTTAGTTCTTCGACACAATAGTCACTAAAAAGTGATACGCCGTAACACTTCTTGGCCACCATATCGTAAGTTGTGGAGTCCGACGATTTACACATACATTTGTATCTCGCACGTCAAATGTCATTTGTCTGATTCTCTTTCTGTCTGTCTGTCTGTCTGCTATCCTCCACAATTAGCACGTCAATCCGATGGAAGTATGGAAGTCGTCTTTAGACTGTTTCATGATGTCAGTGATCACGAATTAGCGGGTTTATAATGATAATAATAACTATTTAAAGACTGTCCACAATAAGCCTCTCAAGCGAGGGGTTTGGGTGCGTGTGTGCACAGCCCATTTGGCTCTAACTCTTGACAGCACGACGCCTGCTAATAAGACGACACATGCTAAATATGCATTGTAGTATGCAAAAGCCCTGGCTGTGGCTTATTATTCCTACATGTTGATCGGTAAACCCGGCTTAGTATGTTGTGTGTCCGATTCCTTTGGAGAAATATACTTTTCATTTAAACGTTTGCATTGCTTCAATTGATTGGTTACCGATCTACTTAACTTTAGGCATCTTCATTTGTTATTATTATTATTATGTTAGTTGGTCATTTGTTATCTGCAGCTGGTCTTCTATTGGCTTCAGGTGTGTTGGCCAATCAAGTGCCTCAGATCGACTTCCTCGTCCGCAGAGGTAATAGTTACTCCGAAAGTAAATTTGGAGCCAACTTTGAAATCAAAGAAGTCTTCAATGCTAAAAGAAATGAAATCGAATTGATATTGACAAATCAAGGAACTTTTTACCTGGCCGAAGTTACCGTTGGCTCCAATAACCAATCAATGGATGTTCTTATCGATACCGGGTCTTCAGATTTCTGGTTACTTTCATCCAATGTTGTTTGTGTTGATAGGAATTGGTTACTGACGGTTAGTCCATCTATTATAACTCAATCTCCTTTGTCAAAAAAAAGAGATTTGAATAGACGTCAACATCCAACTCCAATTAAAAGACCTATTAAAGCAGTTATTAGTGACGTTGGTCCAGCTTCAGCTGCTCAAACAGATATACAAACATTATCAACTTATTCTACAACCAATACTTGTACTCTGTATGGGACATTCAACACTGGAACTTCTGATACTTTTAAAGCCAATTCAAGTAGCTATGACTTTTATACCTCGTTCCTTGATGGAACCGAAGTAGCAGGTGTATGGGCTGTGGATAATGTTCTCATTGGTGGTATTTCCCTTGAGAATGTCACTTTTGGTGTAGGAGAAGTTGCTACATCTTATCCAGGACTTTTGGGTATTGGTATGGAAGGGTTAGAATCAACCAATTCAGGTCCTAATCCTTATACTTATGTTAACTTCCCTGCTAAATTGGTGGAAGAAGGATTAATCAAAAGAAATGCTTTTTCCCTTTATTTGACTGAATCAGGTGGTACAGTTTTATTTGGAGCCGTGGATACAGCCAAATTCCAAGGTTCATTATTCTCTCTCCCATTGGTGAACACTTTAGAAAACCTTGGGTACACCAAACCTATAGAGTTTTCTGTGGCCTTGTCAGGTATGAGCTATAACAATATAACCATCTTCAATTCTAACTTTGCTGCTACTCTTGATTCAGGTACAACCTTATCATACTTCCCCGTTTCTATTATGAACAACCTTGCCAGTACCTTAGGAGCAGTGTATGTTCCAAGCGTGCAACTTTATGCTTTAAGTTGTCCCACGACCTCACAGAATTTGACATTCGATTTCAATGGAGGCGAAATCAATATTCCATTGAACAACTTGATTTCTAGAATTTATGGTCAATGCTTCCTTAACATTTTACCCAAACAAGAAGGTGATGCTAATTTCCTTCTAGGTGATAACTTCTTGCGTCATGCTTATGTTGTTTATGATGCTGATGCCTTAGAAATTGCCATGGCTCCTATCAAAGACACTACCGAAAGTAACATTCTGGTACTTTCTGAGTTTGTTTCTGCCACTCCGGTGGCTGGCTACTCTAATACTAAAGTAGCCACCACTGATTCTTCTCAGAGCTTTCAATCTACTGCTACCAAACTGCTGGTTTCTCAAACGTCGTCCAAAAAGAATGATGGTGGCATTATCAATGCCTCGTCTACTTCTCTGATGTTTGTTTTCTTATTGAGTATATTCACTTTTATTATGTAAAAGTTTAGGTTATATTAGCTAATGTATTTGATTGAGCCATGCACGACTGATGCCAATTATATATCCTTTTTTGGACAACCCTAAATAAATTTACGCGTCCTTCTCATCAATTAAAAGTGACTGTCAAATAAAAGTACCTGTCACATTTCACCAACCATAGACGATAGACAATAGAAGCTAGACAATACAATGTCAAGTCCACCACAACTGTCGCCCAGAAAGCGTACACAAGGAGAAAGAGACGACGATGATGAGAGAAGTTCGCAGCCAGGGACATCTCCCATTCATTCGTCACCATACAACATTCCATCATCACCAACTCCGTTCGCACAAGATCGTGAGGATGAAGAGGAAGAAGAGATCAGAGTCACGGGAGTAGAAGATATGGAACCTTCTGATGAAGAGGAGGGTGAGGATTTGATGGAGAATATGGAACGTGATTACAGACGAAACGATACTCAAGATACTTATGATATAACCAATATAGATGATGATGAGTATGAGGCATTAGATTTGGCCACCAGAAGAAGATTAGATATGCAAATGGATCTCAGAGATGAGTTACAAGATCGAGGTGGGGGTCGTAGTCAAGCGTTTTTAGGAGATGAAGACGACAACGAAGACACCAGATTGGATCAGTTTGGTTTACCAGTACAACGTAGAAGACGAAGAGATAGAGAGGAAGATGGATTTGGTGGAGATGGGATGGATGATGAAGACATTGAATTGGATCCTTTCAATGAAGAATTATCATTGGAATCCTTAAGTGACATTAAGGCTCCTTCAATAGCTGAATGGATTATTCAACCTGCTGTTTCCCGTTCCATTGCCAGAGAATTGAAATCGTTTCTTTTAGAATATACAGAGCAAGGGAAGTCTGTCTATGGTAATAGAATCAAGTCTTTGGGTGAAGTCAATGCTGAATCTTTGGAAGTTGATTATGATCATTTAGTGAAAGCAAAAGCAATATTAGCTTTGTTTTTGGCTACATCTCCTCTGGAAATGTTGAAATTGTTCAACATTGTTGCAATGGAAGCTATTGAATTACATTATCCAAATTATACTCAAATCCATCAAGAGGTTCATGTTCGTATCGCTAATTTCCCCAATAAAATGGATTTGAGAGATTTGAGAGAAAACAATTTAAATCATTTGGTTAAAGTTGGAGGTGTTGTCACCAGAAGAACTGGTGTGTTCCCTCAATTGAAATATGTTAAATTTGATTGTCTTAAATGTGGTGTTGTGTTGGGTCCTTATATCCAAGATGCTCATACAGAAGTCAAAGTTTCATTCTGTACTAATTGTCAAAGTAAAGGACCCTTCAGAATAAATTCGGAGAAAACATTATACCGTAATTATCAAAGAATCACCTTACAAGAATCACCTGGTTCTGTTCCTGCTGGTAGATTACCAAGACACAGAGAAGTCATTTTATTATGGGATTTAGTAGATCGTGCTAAACCAGGTGAAGAAATAGAAGTTACAGGTGTATTTAAGAATAGTTATGAAGCTTCATTGAATGCTAAGAATGGGTTTCCTGTTTTTGCAACTGTCATTGAAGCCAATTCAATTCAAAGGAAAGAAGTTGCTGGATTACAAAGTTCCTCTGTATTGAATGATACCATTCGTCCATGGACAGAAGAAGAAGAAACGCAGTTCAGAAAATTGGCAAGAACACCAGGTATAATTGATAAAGTCATTGATTCTATGGCACCTTCTATCTTTGGACATCGTGATATCAAAACTGCAGTTGCTTGTTCATTGTTTTCCGGTGTGCCTAAAGATGTCAATGGGAAGCATTCAATTAGAGGTGATATTAATGTTCTCCTACTTGGTGATCCTGGTACTGCCAAATCTCAAATATTAAAATATGTTGAAATGACAGCCAACAGGGCTGTTTTCGCTACGGGTCAAGGTGCGTCTGCTGTTGGTTTGACAGCTTCTGTGAGAAAGGACCCTATTACTAGGGAATGGACATTAGAAGGTGGAGCATTGGTTTTAGCAGATAAGGGGACATGTTTAATTGATGAATTTGATAAGATGAATGATCAAGATCGTACTTCCATTCATGAAGCTATGGAACAACAATCTATTTCTGTATCTAAAGCTGGTATAGTTACCACTTTACAAGCCCGGTGTTCTATTGTTGCAGCAGCTAACCCAAATGGAGGACGTTACAATTCCACCTTACCATTATCACAAAATGTCAATTTGACTGAACCTATTTTGTCACGTTTTGATATTTTATGTGTGGTTCGAGATTTGGTTGATCCTGAAGTTGATGGAAGATTGGCAGAATTCGTTATTGATTCACATTTCAACTCTCATCCAGAACAGAAGAAGAAGAAGGAAGAAGAAGAGGAAGAAGTAGAAGAGAAGAAGCATGGTAACCCCCCAATAAAGCAAGAATTATTAGCAAAGTATATTTACTATGCGAGAACTAAAATATACCCTCGGTTGCAACAGATGGATATGGATAAAGTTGCTAGGGTGTATGCGGATTTGAGAAGAGAATCGATAACTACTGGGTCCTTCCCAATTACTGTGCGTCATTTGGAATCTATCATTAGAATTGCTGAACTGTTTGCTAAGATGAGACTAAGTGATTTTGTTAGTCAAAGTGATTTGAACAGAGCCATTAAAGTAAGCATTGATAGTTTTGTTGGTGCACAAAAAATAGCTGTGAGGAAACAGTTGCAAAAGTCATTCCAAAAGTACACTTTGCCCTCCAGAAGAAGACCCAACTGAGTTTGTATGTATTAATATTTGTAGTATAATTTACTGTTGAAGTAGATAATTGGTATAGTGTATATCTTTGTGTCATATATATATATATTTGTGTCATATTTTGTCAACGCGTATACAACATCAAAATCAAAGAAGGCAATTCAAACCAAGCTGGGGGTAGCCAAAGCCAAACGTCCAAGACAATAATAAGAATGCTAAATTTAGATGAGTATGTGGATGTACTAAAAGGTTGTACAAGAGGAACAGGAAAGACCACTAACATTCTCTCTAGAACCATTGTCAATATACGACAGTGTAAACACATACCAGAAGCAGATGTGGCCGAGCTCTGTTCCAAAGTAATAGAGATTCTTATAGAAGAGCCCAACATCCAACATGTGGACACACCGGTGACTATATGCGGAGATATACATGGGCAACTCCATGATTTGCTCACGCTACTAGCTACCGGGAACGAATGTCCGGAAACGCAGTACTTATTCCTTGGAGACTTTGTTGATCGAGGGTTCTATTCATTGGAGTGTTTCCTACTACTAATTGCATTAAAAGTCCGCTATCCTGATCGCATCACACTTATAAGAGGGAACCACGAACTGCGACAGATCACTACGGTTTATGGGTTTTATGACGAATGTGTTCGGAAATATGGTAGTGTGAACGTTTGGAGGTTTTGTAGTGAGGTGTTTGATTATCTTTCATTGGGGGCACTTGTGGGGGGTAAAGGGGGGGTTTTTTGCATACACGGAGGTTTAAGTCCGGATATTGATACTATAGATCAAATTAGAATCTTAGATAGGAAGCAAGAAGTGCCCCATGAAGGAGGAATGTGTGATCTACTTTGGTCTGATCCAGATGATGTTCCCGGATGGGCCGTACTGCCACGAGGAGCAGGATTTTTATTTGGTGAGAATGAAGTTAACCAATTTCTACATACTAATGATGTGAGTTTAATAGCTCGAGCTCATCAATTGGTTATGGAAGGATATAAGGAAATCTTTGGTGAAAAATTGGTGACAGTATGGTCGGCTCCCAATTATTGTTATAGATGTGGGAATGTCGCAAGTGTATTAACCATTGATGATAATTTACAACGGAATTATAAGGTGTTTGAGGCTGCTAATCAAGATATAACAGAATTACCAACTAAACGGTCAACCAATGACTATTTTGTATGACCATTTAATTGGTCATTCACCTAGGTATCCATGTATTCTTGTATTACTTCAGCCACCAGTTTCATTGACATACTTTCGTACTGAGGCAAGCCAAGTTAATACCTCGTCATCAAATGCATTAGATTCGTCTACGACAGTTTTAGGATGGCCTGTCGCATTACCATGAGTAATTACGTGTCTCATTTTTCATTTGCAGCCCCAGAGCTATTGTCAAACTGCCAACCTCCATTCCTCCGGTGTGCTTGCATTACATGAGCGAACAAGGATATCACTAATGCCAAACTTGATAACCAAGTACATGGTGTCAAACGTAGCACCATAGTTTTAGGCACAAGTACACCCAAATAGTCAAGAAATGACAATAAAAATGCTAAAAACAACACAGTAAATACGTTTGTACTTACAGAGGCATTTAAAATTATAGCGCCGTCAAATGCGACTTGTACCCATCCTGTTTTCTCTAAGCTGTATTCAGTCATTGTACTCAAAACTCCAGAGAATAAGATCCCTACCTCATCAACATCGCCATACTTAACTGAATTCATCACTTCACCTTTACTGACAAAAATATGCTCAAGTATCTGTCCTGTTGCAAACAACACAACATTTAATATGACAAGACCTGTTACTATTGCTTGCATCGCCTTGAAAAATGTATCTTTAGCATCTTGTAGCCTGTCGACTGAAGAAGACTCTAGGTCACAATTACTGGCACAACCTTCCCAATGATAAACATATTTAGGGGGTGGCAGCGACCTATAGTGTATTATTATTCAATAGTAGTTATACTATTCGCTTTGATATTTAGAGCAGTATTATTCCTGCTTAGCTACTTCTTCCTATTGTTGTAATAGTATGCAAATAACATGTACGCAATCGTTTGAGCTCGGAATGAGCTGCGTGCTATAATCGTTACGAGGATGGTAGTGAAATTTTTAAAATGCGGCACATGAGCGTTGGTGAAAAGTTTTAGAATGACGACATTATGTTTCTGGTTCGGATAAATTCTTATTGTGCAGAATAAATATGCAAACTGCGTGCTTTATTATCGCTGCGATATTTCAATCTCGCTTGGGTACTTCTGTGTGCGCTTTTTATACACACCTAGACTTACAGGTTAAGTGAAAAGTCACGACCAAGTCATCTTGAAGGTAAAGATCGAAAATAAAATGCTTTGCTAGTAGCCATACAAAACTACATGACTCTTGATCCGTGTTCGGTATCATATTTGGCCAAGCGTTTCACGCGCTACGTATAGTTCTTGAGGTATTATCAGGTCGCAGTGGGAGGGGCGGTTGTGCATAGTGATCGTTCTGAATCAAAGTCAATTTCAGCCTCCCAGAGTGGCTGCGTACCTACTTCATGCCCCCCTTTCGCGTAGTGACTGTAAGACTGTAAAGGTTGGTTAAGAATTTGATAAGAATAATAGCAAAAGTCAAAGAGTACAAAGAGCAATGCTATGTTAAGATTTGGAGCTATTGTACTCTAGCAAAAAAAATCAAAATCAATCGAACGCAATCATCATCGGTTTCGTTTTAAATTAGTGACACTTTATTTATAGTTTCTTCTGCTGCTCCTGACAACGGGTTAAATTAAGAACCTCTAAGCCATTCTTCTGATACCTACAGCTGCCATAATAGGCGCAAAAATGACTTCATAGATCCAGTTTTGCGCCTTGTTCCACCATCTGCATAGTCAGCCAAGCCTTCAGAGTAGGGTAATAGAACAAATTTGGCGTTCATTGTAGGGATTTATGACGTCGATGATAATGAATAATATGCTGGCACTCATCGCCCAGGAATACATCACCGAGAGTTAATTTAGTATATATGAAACGCATTTAATAACGTCAACATTTTCTGCCTATATTCCTCTTTCTCTTCTTTATCACTCTTTTGATCCTCTTCTTCCGTTTACTCATTCATTCATTCATATCTTTTTAACTACGTTTTAATTTTCACATCTGCATCATGAAATTGTTTCACTACTTTATTTATTTTTTCACGTTGGTTCAATTAGCCTTCTCAGCTGATGCCACTACTACAACGGCCACTACTACAACGGCCACTTCTACTTCAGTAACTTTGGTTTGGGCTACAGGTACCAACTCACTAGGTATTACTACCGTGACACAACTGGTTTTCACGCAGACCTTCATGAAAACATACACTACAGCTATTGTAACATGGTCAAGTGGAGAAATTGGTTTAGGCTCACTTTCAGGTACTGTTGGACAAATAAGAAGTTATACCATGACCACTATTTCCCAAGCAGGTGGAGATTCATTGATTAGAGGTGGTTCTGGTATTATGAACTCCAACGGACTTTGGATCAGTTTGCTTGTTGCCTTAACATTGGTGTTTACCATTTGCATGTAACAAAGACATGATTTTAAAGTACTGACTTCACTGTTGGAACGTCGCAATTTAAGACCATTCAGTCTCTCGTTACCACTGGATAAATAATGTCATGTAATACTCGTCATAATCATTCCATTAATATTATCATATTTCATTTTATCACATTTTGTATCACTCGTCTCGTCCCCTTTAGGAAGCCGTATCTCGATTCTAATCTGCATTCTTAAACTTATAATGTATATCAGGCTATAAATACCCTTTTCAAATAATCTATTTCATATGCTTCTCAATAGTTTTTCACTATCGTTGTCAGACACGAATGCTCGGGACTGCAGGTAACTAATTTGCAGCCTAATTTTAGATGGATCCTTCCTTCCTTCCTCCTTTTGGAGCTATACATTGTTGAGGCAGATTTACCTCCTTGGGATCAACAGTAAAGTGTAAAAGAAAGTACATGAGCCTACATTGTGTGGGTCTTTGGGTGTCATGAGCAAAAAGAGTAGTTGGTGCGAGTAAGCATGCCTTTGGTGGTTGGCGTATAGGCCAATCATACCATCACAACTCGGTTGACTACTATATGTGGAATATACAATGGGTTCATAGAATACAATTGATCTATATTATTACCTTTATGATATTGTAGCGCATAGCTTCAAAGCGAATAGTTTCAAAGAAGGGTGTCCAGAAGCATTAATGACGTTGTCATATACCACTGATTTTTGACTGAAAAATGTTGTTATCTAAGCAAAGTTTGTGTGGGTTCATCATCTTGTAAAAAAACGCTATTAATAACATCCGTAAAAAAATTCATACACATAAAAGGGCTGCTGATCAAATACTCCTTGTTCTACCCAAGACTAGTTCAGTTTTATTACCCTTATTAGAGTATACTAGAATTCCATTTATCCATTAGTAGGCCATGAGCGCGTCACGTGACCATCACAAAATTTTAAACTGTGGAGTCTTCGATTATTATGATCTAATAATCAAAACCCTTAGTACACCCATATAAATATTTATTGTTCAATCAATGTCTGTAAATGTTTATACAAACTCATTTTAAGTGTCAGATTGGTATCTCTTTTGGAGTAAGATAATATGGCCAATTATAACTCTATTTTATCAGAAACAGACGCTTTAGTATCCTCTACGAATGTCCGACAAGAACATGCATCTGGCTCACGGGATCATTTGCAAAATCAAGATCAACACTTAGAAGGTGATTTGCAAGAAAATAAACTACATAATCAAAGAATCAAATTCCCTCTTAAATCACTTGTATTGGAGAACAAGGGATCAGTTGCCAGAGATCATTTGGCCAACGAAAGAACGTTTCTTGCATGGCTACGTACTTCACTTTCCTTTATCACTATCGGAGTTGGTATCACTCAATTGTTTCGTATTGAAGCAGCTCGTTCATCGAATCTCACTCTCAAGGGACTGACATTATTCCTATCAAACGATTCTGACGAAGCTATTAATCATTTTGGGAAACCCTTGGGAGTTACATTTATAATTTTGGGCATTTGTACATTGATTTATGGGTCTTTAAAGTTCTTTAGAGTTCAATGGTTTTTAACGCAGAATAAGTATCCTGTTTCTCGTATTGGACTTGGTTTATTGATTGCTGCAGTGATTGTAGCTGTATTAATTACCCTTTATATGGTTCTGCAAGCAGATACATGATGAAATATGACGGGCCGGAACTGTACATATACTAGCATTATATTACATACGAATTAACCATTTAGGTCATACTCACGTTGTACATGCTCTACTGTCCCAATCATATAGTAGTTGGTGTTCTATGCATAAATACGTATACAATGTCGTATGTATAATGTCGTATCTTAAACTTTGCAAACCCTAACAGATCACGTGAAACTATATGGCTCTCCCCGTCACATAAGCCCTAACTGAAACAGAGGTCGCACTCCGACATACAGTTGCCTTGAAGTGCACAATATTTTGGGTCATGTGACCAGAACCACCAAAAAAAGATCCAATGCAATTCTCGCTGACTGAGGAAGGAGAAAAAAATTTCCAATACTAAAGACTAATCAGTGTTTCTATCTACGATTCCCTATCTACACCGTTATTAATATCGATATATCAAAATGGTATGCATACATTACTATTGATAAGTAGTGTTGGATGTGATGGGAATGAAGTGAACACGAAATGAAAGACCAAAGGTCATTGAAACGAATGCGGTAATTCTCATGGTGGAAATCCTACCAGATACTGTTGCCCACCGTCAAGTAATATTGGAATGAACCTGTCCAATGAAGAATCAATGGCCATAAAAAAGTCAGCCTCCACGTTGTGTTATGATTGCAATGGTTGACAGTCCTTTTCCGTTTGTAGTGACCCCAATAAACAACAAGTGAGAGGCCACAGAGTCACCGACTAAAATTTTCACTTTATTCCATCTCACATTTTACACTATTTAACCATAATAGAACTATAATTACTAACATCTTTATAGGGTAAAGTTCACGGTTCCTTAGCTCGTGCTGGTAAGGTTAAGTCTCAAACCCCAAAGGTTGAAAAGACTGAAAAGCCAAAGTCTCCAAAGGGTAGAGCCTACAAGAGATTGTTGTACACTAGAAGATTCGTTAACGTTACCTTGACCAACGGTAAGAGAAAGATGAACCCTTCTCCATCTTCTCAATAAATGGGTTAACAGAATATATGTACACTATATATATTATGACATGCTGGTTGTGATGAAGTATTGGTTTATTACATTAATCAATTAAATTATGGCTATGTACTGTATAAATCTAATATAAATCTTGCTTATGATTATGAATGTATATATATTATGCTACCATTGAGGTTTTAAGAAATATGAATACACCCTAGATCGAATTTCAGCAGACCCTTTATCATTTTCAAACATTGGTTTCCATTGCACCAATTCGATTTGCTCTGCCTTGAAATCATATTCTTCACAAGTAGTGAAAAACAGTAAATCGTTCTCCAAAAGCCATGGTCTATGAGGTGAAAACACAACTATACATTTACCATTCTTTCTAAGAGCACGACGACATGTGCTTAACAATTTGTGATGTTCACTATGGTTAAACACCAAATCACTAAGAATAATCAAGTCAAACTTATCCTCCTCTGAGATCTCATCTTTCTGTGAATCATTATAAAGCAATTCTCCCAAACTATTACCCCAAATATATCCCTTGACCATATAAGAAGATGTTACCGGGTTGTGTTGAAAATTGTAGTCAATGTTGGCGATTAAATCAGCTTCTGGATAATCTGTACATAAGACATAGCTTGCATTATTCAAAGCACTAACTATACTGGGTAATCCAGCAGCAGCACCCAATTCTAAAACCTTCTTATCTCTAACAATCTCAGGATGAGCATTAATGTAATCAGCAGTGTAGATACCAGCATTCCAAAGGTAGTTCCCCCAAAGTGGAGATGATCCTACAAGACGAAGTGGAATAGTAGTACCATTGATTTTGTTTTCGTAGTTTGCAAAATGTGGTTCTGGTGGAGGAGGTCTGAAATCTTCAGGTTCCTCAAAAAGCGTGTTGGAGCCAAGATCTAAATCGTCGTCAGACATGTTTGTCAGGAGGAGAGTTGTTACGGCTAAATGATTCATTGAATAGACGTCTATGTATAGAGATGGGTAGGTTGTAAAGTTGACTCGATGAGATGAAAGTCACGTGACCAAATCTTGGGGATAGCATAATGCTATTGATAGTGGTTAAAATTACAATATAGTAACCAACTCATTCGTATAACGATGATGCAGTAAAATAAAGAACTTACAGTATAGTTTAATAGAGCATATAGTACAGATAACAGCATTAATCATTTTAACTAAGTTACTTCAACTGTCTCCATCCCCCGGTGTTACCCGGACATCAAGAATTTTGACTATACCAAGACTACACTTTCTACACAAGGTATGTCTCTACTGACATACTGTAGACAATGACCTAACCACCACCTAACCATTATCTCAAACCTTACTATAAAACAGTAGTTGAATCCACCCCCACACCACACTTACCCTTCACTTCCATTGACTCGACCCGCACTGGGAAAAAATTGGTTGGTGGGTGAATCTCTAACCGAAAATCAAAATTGACATCCACCGTTAAAAAACCCGCTGGACGTGCTCTTCTTCACCACCAGTAATCAATCGGATTGTAAAAGAAATCGACTACGGAGTTTTGAAAGTGGCACACCGTATGAGAAATCCTTTTTACAACGACCCCTTACTTGTGCTACTTTATCCTAGTTTGTTTTATTTGTTTGAAGAAATAATAATTTAATCAACCAACCAATGACAAATCAACCTGACCCTTGGAATAATCACCAAAGACCGTTGGGGCAACAGTTCAAGTATGTACCAACATTCATGATCAAAGCTATAATCATCATCGTCAGTGTGAGGTTATCTGATTCAAGGCCCTTTAGTTGGACGAATTGAGTTCTTAGAGGCCCAATCCATCTATGCGAAAGCTGTTGTTATGTATATGCTAGCCACATCTATTATGCCCTATTAACGTACCATGATATGACGTGCCACTAACCTTGAGAATATGATTATTAAGCGACACTTTACATGTTCCAGTTACTAACAACCAATCCTCTTTAGCCGTCAACCTCCTCCAGTGTTGCCCCCTCCCGCTACCTTAGAAGCAAGTATGTGTCAATCAATCGCAGTGAGAATCTACCTGTTCATAATACTAACTTATTTTTAGGTGGCCAAAAGTTTTATCCCTTACCTATTCCAAGTTTAGGAAACGGATCTGGTCATTTGCAATCGACTCATACATTCAATATTCCCTCCATTAATCCTGCAAGCGAGTCACCGGTTCAAGTATGTGTATAGTCAACTATTCATTTGGGTTCATCATCATCAGTAATACTAACGCTAACTTTTAGGAACAGAGACAACTTCCTCAGCAACAGGGAAATCCTCAACCTCAACCTCAACCTCAACCCCAATCCCAATCCCAGGCGCAACCTCAGGCTCAACACCAGGCTCAACCCCAACCTCAATCACAGCCACAAGCACAACAACCTCAGCCACCCCAACCACAGCAACAATCCCAACCTCATCAACAACAACAACAGCAGCAGCAGCAACAGCAGCACCACACCCCACCACCTCAGCAGCAGCAACAGGATGCCAAAAGACCGTCATTTTCACTCCCAATGCATCAATCTTTGGTATCCTCGGTCATCAACGCTAGTCAAGGTCAAGGTGGTCTGGAGGCTAGCGGGTTACCAGGTGCGAATGCTCAAAATGCCAATGCAGCATCTGTCATGGGCCAAACATCGCTGTTGATGTCTCTGGCAGGCGTTCCAAACCGCCTAGCAAGTACTAGCTTTTACAGACCTTTGAATGTCAAAGATGCTTTATCCTACTTGGATCAAGTTAAAATCCAATTCTACAATCAGGCGGAAGTTTACAACAATTTCTTGGATATCATGAAAGATTTCAAGTCGCAAACGTATGTATTATTTTATTAGGTCCCTCTCATCCATTCCTGATATCATCAGCTCATTACTGTGGACGGTTGGACGATCGGCGAAAAGAATATTTTTAGGGCCGACGTCGTGTATGACCGAAGTATACTAACATAAATCCTATAGCATTGATACACCTGGCGTGATTGATAGGGTTTCTACTTTGTTTAGAGGACATCCTAACTTGATCCAAGGATTCAATACGTTCTTACCTCCTGGGTATCTTATTGAATGTTCACTGGATCCTTCTGACCCCAATCCAATTACGGTTACAACTCCGACCGGAACTACCACAAAACCAAATATTAGTGGGTTCAATGTTTCCTCGCAACCACAGAGTCAACCTTCGGTACAGGGACAGGGACAACAACCCTCATATACTCTGGATCAAGCACAGCAGCAGCAACAGCAATCTATTGAAACTGCTTCTGCTCAACTTCAACAGAATTCTCCTCAACAACTTGAAACTCCAACAGCAAACAGTCAAATTGAATTTAATCATGCTATTTCATATGTGAATAAGATCAAGACAAGATTTGCATCTCAGCCTGACATATACAAGCAGTTTTTAGAGATCTTGCAGACCTATCAAAGAGAACAGAAGCCCATTGGTGAAGTCTATGAACAAGTTACTGTTTTATTTGCTCATTCTCCAGATTTATTAGAGGATTTTAAGCAGTTCTTGCCTGATACTTCTAATCAGGCGCAAGTACTGTTGCAAATTCAACCACAACTCCAAGAAGCTCACGCTCAACAACTTCATGCTTCCCAAGGTTATGCTGCTCAAGGGTATGAACAACAACAACAACAGCAGCAACAACAACAGCAGCAACAACAACAGCAGCAACAACAACAATTAGGCTTCTATACCGCTGTTCAACAAGCGCAACAATTACCTCCTGTGGGCAACTTTCATCTGAATGTTCTTGGTAATGCTGGATACCCTGGTGAACAGTTTGGACAACCAAAACAGGCAACATTCCAAGCTGTTCCCCAAGCTAAGCCAGAGGCTGGAAAGTTCCAATCTAATGAGCCTGTAGGAGGAGGTTCAAAGAAAAAGAAGTCCACCACTAACAATCAAATCGCTTCCGTTCCAACCGGTGAAAACATTCAATTCCAAGCAATGGCCAACCAAGATGCTCAGTTCTCCAATGTGCGTAAGCCTATTCAACCCACTACTAAAGGAGGAGCTGGTAAAATCATGGGGGGGCCCGCTGTGCCACAATCAAGTGCTACTGCTGGTCAAGGAGTTGTCGGGACTTCTACTACCAAGAATGGGAACGTTGTTGCTGCTCATCCTACGTTAATTCCTGGAATACCCGAACCTATTTTACCCACCTCGTCCAATAAGACATCCACTTTATCAGAAGAAATATCATTTTTTGATAAGGTTAAGAAAGCCATTGGGAACAAGCAAACTTACAATGAGTTCTTGAAGGTTTTAAACTTGTATTCACAAGATATCATTGATAAGAATATTCTTGTTCAGCGTGTGAGTGGATTTATTGGTGATAACCACAACGATTTGATCACTTGGTTTAAAGCGTTTGTTGGATATAATGAAGGTCCACAACACATTGAAGAGATCACTTTTAGAAAGCACCAATTGGAATTGTCGTTGTGCAAGGCTTATGGTCCTTCTTACAGACAACTCCCCAAGGCAGAGACTTATATGCCATGCACTGGTCGTGATGAGATGTGTTGGGAAGTCTTAAATGATGAATGGGTTGGTCACCCTACTTGGGCCTCCGAAGATTCTGGGTTTATTGCCCATAGAAAGAACCAATATGAGGAAATCTTGTTTAAGATTGAAGAAGAACGATTGGAATATGATTACTACATGGAATCCAATTTGAGAACCATTCAAACGTTGGAAACCATTGCTAATCGAATTGCCAACATGACTCCCGAACAAAAAGCCAATTTCAAGCTACCTCCCGGATTGGGACACACCAGTCAAACCATCTACAAGAAAGTGATTCGGAAGATTTATGATAAGGATCGTGGATTTGAAGTCATTGAAGCTTTACACGAGAACCCATCCATTGCTGTACCCATTGTATTAAAGAGATTGAAGCAGAAGGATGAAGAATGGAAACGTGCTCAAAGGGAATGGCACAAGGTTTGGAGAGAAATGGAACAGAAGGTTTTCTACAAATCTTTAGATCATCTTGGGTTAACTTTCAAGCAAGCGGACAAGAAGTTACTTACAGCCAAGCAATTGATAAGTGAGATTAGTACTGTTAAAGTTGAGCAACAGAATAAGAGAATTCATCCCTTAACTCCCAAGGCACAGGAACAGTTGAACTATAAGTTTGAAGATGTTGATGTGTTGATGGATATTTTACGTTTGGCCGATGTTTACATCAACAAGTCGTCCAATTATTCCGCCAATGATCGGGAGAAGCAATGTAAGTTCTTCAGGTTTTTTGTCTCCTTATTCTTTGGCATTCCGACGGAAACCATTGAAGCAGCCATGGCCTCAAGATCCAAGACTTCTGATGAAAACGGAAGTACGATCACCACCACTAATTCTACCAGCAGTAGCACCACCACCACCACCACCATAGAAGAAGTATCGACTGACAACGGTTCAAGTTCAAGTTCAAAGAAGAGATCAAGAGACTCTGATTTGCTACGTGATGTCTTAAGAAAACAGTCTAAGCAACGTAAGGACGAACACAATGAAACCCCCTCATCATCGTCAAACGACGTTGCCACCGTGGACTCTGACGAGGGAGGAGCATCGACCAATGACGAAGGAGGAGAGGGAGAAGCAGAGGAGGAATTATGGATTAAGGTTGCACAGTCCAAAGTGGCTCCCTCAGAAGATAGAATTGAACAGCACAGACGGGAGAAGTACAATCTTTTTTGTAACACCACGATCTATGTGTTCTTCCGTCATTTGAGGTACTTGTATGAAAGACTCTTGGAGATCAAAAAGTTGAGTCCTGAAGTTCAAAAAGAGATTAAAGCCCGAAAGATTCCGCAGTTTGCAAAGGATTTAAACCTTGTAGCCCACCAATTAGAAGACATGGGCATAGTGCTAACTGGTGATAGTGATTGTTATAATCAAGTGCTCTTATTGGCTGAACGGTTGATAGAAGGAGACTTTGAACATCAATGGTTTGAAGAAGCTTTGAGACAGGGGTTCAGAAACAAGGCCTACAAGGTTTACACTGTTGATAAGGTTGTACAAGCAATGGTTAAACATATGCATACGATGATCACCGACTCCAAGACATCGGAGATGATGGTTTTGTTTGAACAAGACAGAAACTCTCCCACCTCCACCGCAAAGGAGCAAATTCTCTACAGAATTAAGGTAAGAACGTTGATGTCCAATGAAGAAAATATGTTCAAGATTTCGTTCAAAGAAGGTGAAAACACAGTGAACATTCAATTTGTAGGATTGGATGATTTGACTATCAATGATCATGAAAATGCCGAACAAGAATATAACTATTATGTTACCAGTTATGTGATGAGCCACCCCACAGAGGGTGTCCCTGCTTCCAAGATCAACATGCCGTTCTTAAGGTCATTTGTTGAGAATGTACCTGAAGAGCAGATTGAAGGTCGTGCCAGTTCTGGACTCAAGGTGTTTGTTTGTACCAGTTCGTACCGGTTATTCTTTGAGGCTGGTTCCAGCGATGAGTTCATAGCCAAGTCGACCTACGTTCGGCCAGCTGAAACTTCCAGCGCTACCACGTCGAACGCTGAAGGTATTACGGCTTTAGCAAAGTATGTGGAGGACAAAGAGACCGGCTGGAAACATCTGTTGGAAGAAGGACTCAGCGAAGAAGAAGCCACTTCCAGAATTGACCTTATATTTGAGAAGGGAGCCAAGGGCTTATTGGAGCATTCTCAAGCCGATGTTGAAATGACAGAACCAGGTAAAGCTGATGCTGATGCCACAGTGGTAAATGATACTACCATCCAACATGACAACGACACCACAACCGATGATACTACTGCTAACCATGATTCAATGGATATATCGGGTGCCACTGAAACTGTCACAGAGACTGCAACAGAAGCTCCTGCTTCCGAGGCTGCTGCCCGTGAGGCTGCTGCAACAGAAGCCACTGCTTCCACTGCTTCCGCTCCAACCACCACAACTGAATTACCACAACTGAATTAAAACAAACTGATTAATACTGTTATTTTTTATATTAATACAATACTCTTTATCAACTCACGGCTTGTCTTGCCAAACGTTCAAGTTGCATGTTATGAGCAAGTAGTTCTCTCTGTTCCAACCGTCTGGCCACAAAGTCCTTGTCATCATTTAAGAGGAGCAACCGTAGCACGATATCCTCTGTCAAAGAGTCTGCAATGAAGCCCATTGGATTATTATCAACGGGCGGGGGTGGTCTTCTTTTAGTAGTGGCTTTGGCTCTGGCTCTGGCTCTGGCAGCACCAGCAGAAACAGACTGGTGTCTGATGATAGTCGATGTTGCTCTGGATAGGTGTTGGTGATGATGTTGGGGAGTATTATTGGTGGATTTTGGAACCAAGTTATTCTTTAACCGAAGCACATTGATGTAGGCTGAAGACAATTCGTCCAGTCGATGGTGGAGCTCTTCAACGGTCAAAGTATAATAAAGTCGAACAAATAAAAGAGCTTGATATTGTTCGGACTTCAATTCAACCATGGCTGGCCCATTCCCTTCATTATAAAAGAAAATACATAGACCATCCAACCAAGCGAATACAATATAGATTTCATTCAACGTTAGTTTCCTGTCCTTAGTCATGGAGTTGACCACTGAAGTTATCGTCGACAGCCATTTAGAAGAAGAGCCTCCCATTTGCAACGAAGATCTTATAGATTTGGAAGTTACTAACTTGGGTAACATTAAATCGTCAGCACTTTGAAGGATAACGTTCCAAGTTTGAACCATTACTTTGAAGAATAAGTTTTTACTCAAGTTCAACTTCAACACTTCCAAGTTAACGTTTAAATAATCGTATAATGGTATCATGGCATTCAAAATCTCTCCATCTGTTGGTTCAATGTTCCCGTTACTACCACAGATGGTCTTTAAATTATCTCTGGAGAAACCAAAATGAATAAACCGAGAGAACTTCTCCACAATTAATTTAATACATCGTTCTTGACATCTCAGAATATCTCTATGAGCTTTGCCTATTAAGAAAAGGACATCATCTCTTTCCTTTTCAACAGCTATCTCCATCAAAATTCTGGATTGTTCGTTGTTCAAGTCAAGGATTGCTTCCTGCGCAATCCCATCCTCTTTAAATGTACGAGGACTCAATTCCAACTTGGCTTTACCCAATGATTCATGACCATCCCAAACATCAACCACCACTACGGCCGATTTATTCGGGGGAATATTCACATCAAATTCTTCATCCCATTCCGGATCATACGTTCCAACCAATGCTCTGGTTTCACCAATAATTTCCAGTCCAATCTTTAAAGTAACATAGGGATGAATAGTAGCCGAGATTCTCTTGAGGTTCTCTGCTCTAACAACTCTCAAAGAGAATAAATGACTGGTGTATCGACTACTTGAGCCTGGATCAATAGATTTCAATGTAGTGGAAATATTCTCCAATTCCAACATTTCCTCCAACTTATCCAACTCTTTGATGATCCCAGAAAATTCATTTAAACCTTGACAGATCTCAGGACTAAAATTAAAAGCTTCAATTTTGGCATATTTGTTACCTCCATTTTGAAAATTGTTCACTGCATTCTTAACATCATCGAACCAACTACTCCCCACTCCTTGTTTCTTTTGTTCTGCTCTTAAAAGCTTGGCTCGACGTTTCTCTTCGTCTTCTAGCTCCTTCACAATGTTCTTCTCAATGACTGAAGAGTACCGTAACACCGAATGCGAAACACTTTTAATCACAATGGTATAAATACTGGCCATCTTTCGCATAGGAGCATTCAAATCCAATAAGATATTCAAATAATTCCTAATCATAAAGAATAAATCTTTGGTATTGGTAGTTTGAGAATCAGAGATCAAATTATCTACTATACCATTGAACTTGTCTTCCGCTTCTTCTGCCATTTGTTTAAGATGTTGCAATAATGAAGACTCTAATTCCGAACTGTAAACAGGAGAATTCGGGCTATATCTTCTGAATCTGATCTTGAAATCTTGTAAAGACTTATAGAAATCCAATGCATCATCATATCTAACCATAGTAATGCCTTGATCATGGTTGGACTGGATATATTTGATTATCCCCACCAAATCTCGTTTAAACAATTGCATTTGAGTTATAGCAACAATATAAGGAATGTCCAAGAAGCCAAGCAATGGTTGTTTGAACTTCTTTTCGAGTTGTGCCAAATCTCTCACCAAATTATTGGCAATATCTGCAACATGACCAAAAGTAAGTGAACTATCTCGAGGTAAAAGGCCCATATAATTGGCATATTTTTTTGTAGATGCTTTGGAAAGAGCTGTAGAAAGCTTTTCTTCCCAAGACTTCATGAAGGGGGCATCTGCCACTTGAGAAAACAATGGATCCACCTTAATATAGTCGTCCAAGAAGATTAAATAAGGAAGAAACTTGGGTTTGTTCTCTTTATTAAAGATTTGCAGTAAACATTCCTTTATCCCCCGGAATGTAAGCTTATAACATGCAACTAAACCTCCTACCCATTCCTTTTGGTCCTGAAGCGACCATTTAGTATCCGGGTCATCATCATGACCTTGAGGTAAATGGACATCACATAATTTAAATACTTCCGATGCCATGTCCAAGTTAATGAAATATGGTTGAACAGTGCTCTTTTCAAATTCCATGATTCCAGACCTTACAGCACCCGTGAATATCGACACAGAAATGGTAGGGTAATCTAGAAGCCATATTTTCGCAAGAATATGAAGATACTTCTGGAATTGGGATGAAAGCAAGAGTTCACCAGGGACAGGAGGGAATACCATAAGATACCTTTGAATTAAAGCAACGAAGTAACTTCTAGCATTGGCACGAGAAGGAATCATATAAGTTTCTTCACCAGAAGGGAGCGTTGGGTTAATCGACTTACTTCCTCCATTTAGTATGGAATACTTGGTACTCAAGTAGTCACAATTTTCGTATAGACGTTGTTTCCATTCTTCATAAGCTTTAACTGATTTGAAGTCTTTGGCACCCATTCCTTTATCCAATTGAGTTTTGAAATGCTGAATGTCCATTTGAATGGTTGAACATTGAGCAAACAGGCTAGACGAGATCACGTCCATTTGGAGCTTGATTTGGTCTACGTCAAAGAGCTTTTCCACCAACGATATCATTCCTTGGTCCATGTCTGTGAGACGGAAACACGGTTGAAGGTATTCAGCGGGGGCAGCACCAGCAGTAGCAGCACCAGCAGAAGCTATATTACTTGTAGCACCAGCAGAAGCTGCTGAAGAAGCTGCCGATTTCGCCACAAGACTCTCCTTGCTCTCGATCAAGTGATTCACGAGCCCAACGTTCTCCTTGTCCACCAAGTCAATAAGAATATCAACAAACTTGGTGGCAATCCGAAAGGACTCGCTACTAATGTTGGGTTCTGGTTCATGCATCTTGATCAATTCCTTGGTGGCACAACTGATGAATTTCATCACTAAGAACTGCAGCTGTTCCCTGCTCACGTCCTTCTTATACTGTGGGTCTAAAAGAAGGGTGTAGAAAGAGATCAACGACCTTCGACACTTGTCGTCCAAATCTTTATCTGACGTTCGGTACATGATGTCCTGGAGTCTCTTCTCAAGATGCACAAACAACGACGAGGGGAGGCTGGTATCCATGATCCGGGAATTGCGGTGCAGTCTTGAAGATAATGACGATGATGATGACACGCTGAGCGACTCATCTTGATTTGGGACCTGTTTCGGAGTCCGGAACCGGACTTCATTTCGATACTCCAATATGATCACCTTAAGTACTGCTTCATACACTTTGTGGATATCAGCAGGTTCATAGAAAGGCTGCTGGTTGCGCGTGGTTCTGGTTGTAGCCATGCTGGAAGCCTCGCTGTGGACTCTAGAAATGTCGCCATTCCTTCGAGGGTGTGGTTGCGACATGGCCCAATGTGGTGGATGGGTGTGTGGGGTGTGTAGGGTGCCGTGTTGTTTGTATGTGTGCTTACGGTGTTAAAAGTTCGCGCGATCACCACAACACCCGAACACCAGAGGGCAGATTCTACACAATATACTTGACATAATACATATTTAATACAATAATCTAATTATGAAGAGTCAATATCTGACATGTCCAGTAGTTCCGATTGCATACCAGGTTCCTCGCTAGAAGCTGTAATTGGATATGGTGGTGATTTTTCACCGTTGATCTTGGACTCTGTTTGAGTGTCATCTTTGGGGAATATATGTTTAGAAAGGATCTTATTCATTTCAAACGCTCCAACCGATGCTAATAATATTGTTAGTATATGTCGTACAGTAAAGTGTTGTATCGTGCTGTGCTGGTGTCCGGCTGTATACATACGTTTTTTAAATAATGCTCTTAATTTTTCATCACAGATAATCTTCCTTTTATCCGTAGGGTCTTGTAGTTCACTCTCTTTAATGTATTTCCACATTAACTTCACCACTTGCGGTCTAGAACACAGATTGGTCTGAACAACTTGTGATAGCTCAGGCGAGAGTGCCATTTCCTTATTAAACCCTGTGTTCTTTTGTTTGGTGGAGAGTTGACGTTTCTTCGTTATAATCTTCTTTGTTTCTCGTGGCTTATCAACTGATCGAGTGGAATATCGTTTGGAGTCCATTCGTTGAAGTTTGGCAGCCAAGAGGGCATCTTTCTTTTCAATTTCCTTCAACCGTTCGCTATCGGACTTAACTTTGACTTTGGTGGTCGATGTTTCTTCTTCGTCGTCTTCGTCTTCCTCTTCAGCCTTTCGCTTATCTGCTAAATCCCAGTACCTGGTCTTAATCAACGCATTGATTTGTTTCTGTCTGTTAGTATAATACATTGCTGTTTGTGACGTCTGCTGCTTCCTAATACATACTTTGTGAGGCAGTAAATCTACTCCAAATAATTCTTGAAGTGCATTACGTATTCTCTTAACAGTAATCAGTTCTAAATCCGCTACACTTAGTATCGCCTATAATTGTTAGTATAAGTATTATTAGTATTGGATTAGACACGTCACATACATCAACAGTTGCAAGATATTTAGACCCATCATATTCATCGCTCATGTTGTTGCTTAATAGGGTTAATTGTGGGTGTGTTTATATTGGCTGAGTGCCGTAAGGAGAAGTTTCAACTATGTATATGTGTTGTTATATGCAGGTGTATACAAAGTAGAAAAAGAGTATATAAACGGGGTTGTTCTCCAAGTGTAAATTGAAGTATACCGTGTAAATTGTATCATCATCAAAATTATAATAGTATCGTGTTTATTAAATGCTGTTAGGTATTACATAATATTTCTATGATCCATTCTTCAAATTTCGTTTATGTTGTAACTCATTCTTCTTAACCAACTTCTTACGCTCAGCACGATTCAATGTACGTGGATCCACAAGTTCATCAGGAGTATTTTTAACCTTATCATCAACTTCAACCAACCATTGATCATCCATTTGCTTATTCTTACCCTTGTAACCCCACTTAGGAACCCATTCTCCACTGGCTTCATCATAAACCATCTTCCCTTCCTTTGGCTTGGCCTTAATACCCTTACGAGCAGCAAACTCTTCCCATTTGGTGGCAGCTTTGGCCTTGGGAATAGCCTTTTCACGAGGAAGCTCAGTAGTTGGTTCAGGTAATTGCACTAATGTCATAGTAGAATCTTGACCTGTCGAAGATCCATGAGTATCTGTGGTGGACTTCATAGGCAATGATAAGATTTGGTTGATTAATACTTGCACATTGTCACGAGCTACTGTTGCTAGATACTCTTCTCTTTCATTTTCATTTTTCAATTTCTGGTTATCCAACGGATTACTATCAAACACTGCCAAGTTACCCAAATCATAGGTGTTGGGAATGGGCTTGTCCACCGTCACTGGCTTGTATTGTGGTTCAGACATTATGTATATATATATGCTTCTGCTTAATATAGCAAAATCTTGCTCATGAACCTTTATTCTTTGATGCTCATCGCCTGATTGCTTTGATGCCATGCCGATTTTTCATTTTCGGTCACGTGATTTGTAGTCACGTGATCATATCTCTACGAATTTGAAGATTGAAGAGAGCTCTTCCATATCCAAAGAGATACGAGTGACATGACTGAAATGGCACTGCCAACCATAAGATACCGTTTCATTGTTTCTTGTTGTTCATAGTTAACATCCACATCGAGTCCTGGAGTCGCCGTAATTGGGTTTTTAGCGGCATCAACTAATTGACTGAAAAGTTCATGTAAAGAAGATGTCCAAGTCGATGAAATATGTAATGGGGAATTAAGAAACAAATCCCGAGTATAGTTTTCCGGTTGTACATCTGACCTCTGTTGTTGTTTATCCAAATCAGCTTTCAAGGCAACAAAAACTGCCGGGATTTGGTCTAAGGTTTCGGAGTGTCTACTTCTTAAATCAACCAAATATTGGAAGGAATCAGGATCAGAAGAATCGTATGCATAGCAAACAACATCACAATGCTCTAACCTTTGAGGTGTAAGGTTCTCTTCGACTTTATGACCCAATTCCTCAAGTATTAAATAGCACTGTTTCCCACCTCTAAGTTCAATATCTTTAGCACACATCCGAGGGTTTGTAGTAGAGGTATAACTCTCTATGAATGTACCATTAACAAACAGATCAAGTAAAGAAGATTTACCTGAGTTTGAGGCCCCTAATATGAAACAACTGAAGACGTTTCTATCATTTACTGCCAGTCGATACACTTTACCCTGTCTTTGTCTCTTTCTATGAGGTTTTGTTATCTTTAAAGCCTTTATAGAACTGCCATTATCAAATCCCAAATAAGCAAGGTACTCCAAAGTAACTTTGTAATCAAGAAACGTACTGAGACACCATTGAGCCAACCAGCCTTGTAAAGTAACATAACCTGATTCATTACAAACCACCGAACTTGGGAACTGTAACTCTGTCCATAATTTAGGTACCCCCGGGGTTGGAGCAAATAGATTGGCCAATTCTTTATTACTAAGACCTCCATCGTTATCCTTATCGAACTTAATAAATAAATCCACAAAGAACTTGAACCCCACCGGACTTAATTCCACACTTGAAAGCGGGTTTACGTCGATTTCCGGATGTAAAAAGTCATCTTCTAATGTTAAAGTATTTGTATAATTGAATGATCGAAGAATCCCCCACGCAGTTTCATGTCTACCTCTTTGACAATATATTTTATTTAATAAAACGAATCCATCTTCTGAAACTGTTTCTCGTTCCTTTTCATTCATGGGTAGTAAAGTCCGACTTAAAGTTCTTAGCACCCTCTGGAAATCAACTTCACTGAATTCTTTACCAAAACATTTGCGATGGAGTTCCGCAAACTCCTTGAAATCCAAATACCCATCTTGGTCAGTATCACTTAAAGTGAATATTCTTCTAAAGGCTTTAACAGCCAATGGTTTCAAATTCCCTTCTTTAGCATCAAATATTGGAGATATAGGATGGGTTATTGATCTTTGACATAAATAAAACGCCTCCACAATGTTATAGCCCGTCTTAGCACTACATCGTACACAAGATTCGATCTCTTTGAATTCATTGATCAATGGAGTGAATTCTTCATGATCCATGGCTTCCCATTTCAGTTTAGGAACAATGAGATCACATTTATTGGAGCACACAATCACAGGCAAGTTGATCCCCAAGGATCTAAACATAGGCAACCAATACAATGAGACCCGCTCATAAGTATAATGGTCAGTATAGATCAACCAAATGACATTGGCTCGCTTCAATTCCTTTTGTAGTTCAGGTAAATCAGTACATGCTGTGTCAATGATAGTTGTAACCGGTAAATACTTCAGGATCTTTTCTTGACCTCTCTCAAACGTTGATTTGGACTTCTTTCTTCTTCTAAGAGCCGTGGCCACTTTCTCTGATTCAGAAGTGTACTCTTCTATAGAGGAATAGTAGTCATTGATTGAAATGGTTATGGGAGGCAATACCTTTTGGATTTGGTTGGGGAATGACTCTCGAATGAAATAGTTTATGATAGATGATTTCCCCACTGACTCATCTCCACATACAACAATACGAAGTGATTCCTGCGGCATGTCAGAGGTATAGAGCTGTATTATATATTGGAGTACTATCCGCACTACTAAGTTTTAAGCTTTATAACCTACTATGATTTTTTTGCGTGTCTCTACCATTTTGGATATTCGCGCACAGAAAAATTTAAAGTCGAAAGCTCTTACTTAAGGCACATTCTTCCACTCTCTCTTCCCACTCATCATGTTTAGAACAGCATTAAGACCCCCTGGTAGAAGATGGCTCTCCGTAGCCATGGACTCGTACGAGCAAAAGATCTTCGATAAATTACAGGCGCAATTTGAGCCCACCAAGCTCGAGGTCAAGGACGTTTCCGGCGGATGTGGATCAATGTTCGCAATTCTCGTTGAGAGTAACAAATTCAAAGGCATCCCCATGATCAAACAACATAGACTTGTGAATGAAGTGTTGAAGGACGACATTGCACAATGGCATGGGATCCAATTGCGTACCAAGGCGGCATAACGTTTGTTATAGGGATTACATAAGTTGTATAGTATTTAATTTGCATATATATTACACTGTATATATTACTGTATGTAATGTGTCTATTGCTCAACGGCTTCAACCTTTTCTTCGATAATGACTTCTTTGATCTCTTCAATGACTTCAGCCTCGACATTGTTTTCCTTGGTGTTCTTGTTGGCAAAATGAGCACGGTAAGCTCTCCATTCTTCCAACTTTCTCTTACGGTTCAAGATGGCTTCTCTGGTAGCAGCATCTGCTTCCATGGCATCATTCTCATCAAATTGTGCACTGTATTCTTTAATGTTCTTTCTAACAGTCTTCTTATCAGCTGATGATAAAAGTGAAGCAGGTCTTGGTCTCCAGATGAACTCCTTGAATTGGTCGATAGGTTCTTCCCTCAACATATTACCAGTGAATTCAAACAATCTGTATCCGTTATCAATGCTGTGCATCCAATTGGATGACCAAGCAGCAAGGAATCTTCCTGAAGGATCCCAAGACATATTAGTCATACCAGGATACTTTTCTGTCCTCAACAACTTGACATTGGTATCGTTTTTACCACCCTTTTTAGTAGTCTTATCGTCTTCGTAGTTACAGTCAAAGAATTCAATCTCACCATTGGACTTGGTGATGGTTGCAACTACCACAAATCTACCCTTGGGAGCCCACAATATAGTGTTGGAATGTTTATCTGTGAATTCAGCAAACAGCTTATATTTGGTAGTAACAATGTTATTCTTGGTGGTTGTTTCGGGAGCATAAAAGTTGATGGCATTTCTAGGAATAGCTGGGTTAGTGTTACCGTTATCCAAGTTAGAAATAGTAATGAATCTTTCTGATTTGGGTTCCCAAGCAAAATTAATTGCAACGTCTTTCAATTCCAACTTTTCTACGGGGATATCCTTTTCAGTCACCTTAAAGAACTCCAAATTAGTGAATAAGGTCTTACCAGATTTACTATGACGATCAACCTTAACACACATAAATCTTCCTTCATCTTGCCAGTGCATTTTACAATCACTAACTTGGAACAAGTTGACTGTTCTAAGCACTTTTTTAGATGGAATATGCATCAATGCAACTCTAGCAGTTTGGTTACTTGATTCAGGAGTCCAATAAGATAACACATATTCAGATTCTCCTTTAGATCCATTAAGATGAACTCCAGATGGAGCCCAATCGAAATCAACAATTCCTTCAATCTTAACCAATTGCTTGTCCAACAATTGAAATGATGGGGTTTCATAAATGGCCAAAGCATCAGGGCCTTGACGAGCACAGTATTTATCATCATAAGACCATTTAACCAAAGGCCATGGCATTTCCTTTTGACCCTCCAAATGAGGTGGTAAAGCAAATGTTCTAGCAGGTTCGCCAGTTGTCAAATCCCAGATAACCAACTTATGACCTTTACTTTCAGGTCCAAATGGACATCTGGCAAGTTCTTCAGGAGAATCAGGGATTTCAATGGGTAAAGGTGATAAGGTAACCATATACTTTTCATTAGGAGAAAAGTCAACTAAACGAACTTGGTTGTGCACAAATTTATGAATACTATGGAAATCTTCACCACCCCAACATTGAATACCTTGAGGATGAATGGAAAACAAATAAGTACCACGAGGAGAGAACTTGGCATACTTGGAAGTAAAACCCTTTCTTGGTTCAATGGCAGCTTCAGGTTCATTCTTCTTCTTGTTCCAAAAAACACCAACGGTTTCAGAAAAGTGCATGGCCATTTGATCACGTCCTTGTTCATCTTGTAACCAAGACTTCAAATATCCATGACTCTTGAAATCAGCAATTTCGGGTTCAACAAATTCATCATTCACTTGAGTTGTGTACTTGCCAATATCTGAAAGCTTGTTCAAATATAACTTATGGTTAGCATCCAATTTCTTACCATTGAAATTCTTAATGGCTGCTTCTGCTTGTTCTCCATTCTTAAATTGAACAAATAAGTAACCTTTGGTCTTGCCGCCTTCAACAGGCATATAAATGCCATCGTCACCTTCAACAACCTGCGCCACTTTGCTGAACAACTTTCTCAACACCTTTTCCAAAACTGGAGCCTTGGATTCAGGGGCAACAGGGGCTCCATCCACAACAACATAGTTTTCCAAGCCAAAGTTCTTTTCCACGGCATATTGTTCTTCCAAGTCAGAGAAGTCAATGTCGTCAATATTAAGGTCTCTCTCGACCTCGGCTAACAATTCCTGTTCCGACATTATTGTGTTGTGATGTCGTTTAATAAGGAAGAGACAATCTTTGTTTGACTTTATCAAAAGTGAAAAATTTTTATACTATGTAAATGCGATATGGGTTTTTGTGTAACATCTCCAAGACACCCTAACATCAAGCATATAACCACAAATATAACAACTAATTATAAACTCTAAGTGTTTATATATGAGGCTCTATTCTTCATGGCTCTAAGATTAGCATTCTCTCTTTGCAACCGGTCAATTTCTTGTTCCGCTTCCCGAACCCTTCGTTGTGAGCCATTATGCTCAAGCATTCTTGATTCTCTTTCTGATTTCCATTTCTGCTTATAAGCATTTCGTACAAGATCTGTAGTGGCCCCCCCATTGGTGGACTCTGGAGTTGCAGCTAAAGATGATGAAGATGATGTTATTTGGCTTTCAAGTGAGGCGATCTTCCGTAATAATTCTTTATTCCGAAGTTGGGTATCGGCCACTTCCTTACGTAATTCTTGATTCAGAGACTTTAAAGTGACAACTTCATTGGAAAGAGTTTCATTTTTAACGGACCATTCTTCATGAAGATCCATAGTTTTAAGTACTTCTTCTCCATAATGCTTTGAAAGTTTTTTAAAGGCTCGTGAGAAATATTCAAACAATCCTTGATGTTGTTCCCGTAAGATCTTAAGATCTCCTGCCTCAATCAATGCTTTTATATTTTCAACTCCTTTACTCAATTGTCTAATAGACCGTTCAATACCGTTTTCGTTCTCTGTGATTGGCTGCATTGCTTTGAAGAATTTTTCAAATTCAAGAACGTCTAATGAAAGTATTTCTCCCAATTGATATTCAAGTAAACTATATCTTCTGTCCTTTTCACGTATTTGTTCTTTAAAATCATTATTATTCCGCGTAAGTGACATTATGGTTTCACTTTGTTTGCTGATGGTTGCCTGCAGAGTTCTTAAACTCTTGGATAAATTCATCTTTTCAGTTATCAATAAATATTCTCTTTCCAGTCCCTTCAGGTTTGAAGCATCTAAATCACTGAACTTTTGTTTTAATTCCTTTAACTCACGTTCTTGGGAAAATGGGGGGGGGCCAATGGGAACAACGTTACTCGATTCCAATGCCTTTTGGGTTTCAGTATGTGCTCGTTGAAGTTCTTCAATCTCTTGTTTCTGTTTCTCTCGAATCACTTCCTCTTGTCCAAGTTGTTCCTGCAACTTTTCAATAAGTATTTCGGTGGATTTGATCTGTGATTTGAAAGAAGAATTTTGGGATTGTAGTTCAGCATTCAAGGATATTAATTTATCCGTTTCCTGTCGTAACCTGGTATTATCTTCAACCTTATCTTCAACATTTTTAGAAAAATCACTAAACTTGTCTGTAATAACATTGAAGTTTCTGGCAATTATTTGAGATTTCTTTCGCTCATCTTGAAGTTGAATCTCTAATTCTTCCGTACGTTTAACGTTAGCAGCATATTGACTTTCCAAAGTCTCCACGTTCTTCAAGATAGTCAGAACGGTTTCTGCTGTGTATGTCAACTCTTCACGTTCTGTTTGTTGTTGTAGAGTATGTGAATCAAGCCGTTTGTTTAACTCGAGTTTAAGAGCTTCTAACTTATTGGGGAGGACAGTAGTCGATTCTAAACATCGTTGAAGAGCTATTTGTGAGCTCTGATCAGTGAAAGCATCCGAAATCAAGATTCTAAATATGGTTTCAACCTTCAATTGACATTCTTCAAACTGCTCTTTAGTTATCGCCAATTCTTCTTCTCGAGATTGAAGTTGTTTCTGGAATATCTCCAAATTGGCATAAAGATCATCATTGAGCTTAAAAACTTGTTCATAATTACTCTCAAGCACATCATATTCTTCTTTTAGTCTGCTGTAGGCCACAGCATTTCTATTAGGACTTGAAAAATCACCTAAAGTCAAGTCATTGAAATTATTTTGAAGTTGAGTCAACTCCGCAAGATCTAGCTTGCTGCCAGTGCCTTCTGATTGGGATTGGGCAATCAATTTTTGAAGAAACTGCTTGAAGAACTTGATCTGAATTTTATAGTTGATCAATTGTTTATTTAAGTCGTCCAACTTGGCAGCAGACGACAAGTTACCTTCTGGGATCGTCATATTTCGAAGAGAAAACCGATGTTCTGTATTGGCTGTGGTAGCTGAACTAGACGGAGTAGTAAATAAAGAGGCACCGGAAGAAGACGTCGTAGGAGGTACACTAATGGCAGTTGAAAGAGGTCGTATTGAACGCCATGACTCTCTGGTGGCACTCTTCTTGTTCCGTTGGTGCTTCTGTTGCTTCTGTTGCTGCTGTTGTTGCTGTTGCTGCTGTTGCTGCTGTTGCTGCTGACTGATGTGTTTGTTTCGTAAGGGACTGGAAGCTGTTTCAGAATCAGTATCTGTTTCAAGCTCGTCTGACAATCGACGTATACTTGTAGAGACATTCTTAGTAGGAGAATTACTACTAAAGATTATCGCCTGTGTCGATAAATTAAAGTTACTGCCATTCTCCCGAAGTCCAATGGTGTCTGTAACCGTCCCCCCACACTTTGGAGTTGTTTGATTGTGTTGATCAGCAATGTGACTGGTCAGTGCAACGTCATCTTCTTCATTTTCTATACCAGTAGCATCCTGAAACAGTGACATGTCAGATTCAAAAGCCAGTGACTCTTTGGTCTCCGAAGAAACATCACTGGCTTGAGCGTTGCCTTGGTCCTGGTCTAGTGCTTGTTCTGTAGGTAACATTAAACCTTGTTGAAGTCGTACTGAGGGATTGGTTATGAAGGGACTGGACCCATTGCTGGTATCAAAGGTATGTGACATATCACTATATGATACGTCAATCGCTGACTCCTCCGTCATACTGGTCGAACTAAGGCCGTAGACTGTTAGAGTATAGACCTGGTATTGCTTATTGTTTATGTTTTACAAGTACACGAAAAGGGTATGGTATACAATTACTTCACAACAGTAACGTAGCAAAGGATTACAACGGTACAGTACTGTATTCCTGTACTACTAGTGTACTACTACGGCAATGCTACTGTACTACTATATATGTATTGTACTTCTAATATTACGTACATATATCACGATTCCATTTCTTCATCTTCATCTTCTTCATCTTCTTCTTGAGCATACTTAATAGCCTCCTTCATTAACGATTCAGGTACTAATTCATGTCTACCATTAGTATGTTCCTTGGAGATCCATGTGATCTCCAATTCATAATCTTTATCCTTATTATCTTCATGAGCTTGATGAATGATCTTAGCTGCAATTTTAATGGCCTCATGAACAGTCAATTCTTCATAATTCAACTTTTCCAATTCGGATTTAGCTGTTTGTCTTCCCTTACCAGTTGCTGCTCCAGTATAACCCCAAAATGTACCACTGGGTTCAATCATATATAAATGAGGTCCATTGTCATCAACTCCTCCAATAATACCAACTATTCCAAAAGGTCTAACAGAATTATAACATGTATAATTTTGAACATAATTCCCTATCGTATCAACTAAAAATGGTACACTAATCGGGACTTTATAATTATCTTTATAATTTTGAGCTTCATCACGTCCAATATTAACTAATCTTCGTCCATCAGGTAACAATCCAGAATATGCTACTCCGACATGTCTGTCTATAGTTTGGATTCTTCTATTGGTTCCAGGCACTAATAGTTTGGAATTGATGATTTTTTCAACAGCTAATACAATTCCATCTTTACATTTGATCCCAATAGATGTCCCACCATTCTCCACAGCCTTCATAGCATATTCCACTTGGAAGTTCCGTCCATCTGGCGAAAAAACACTATTGGATAAATCGTATCCAGTACCAATTGCTGTCATTATGTCGTCACTACTCAGCCCACTAGATGTAGTAGCAGTCGTTGGCACCAGTTGGTGATAGTTGTTTTGTCGGTCGAAAAAGCACTCGCCACCAAATATGCGCTACCACTATCCGCGAAAAGGCAAAAGGTTCGGGTCCTGCTACTGCTACCACTGTTGCTACTGCTGCTACTGCTGATCCTACTAACACTACTACTGGTACTGCTGCTGCTTATGTGGAACTTGAAATGGCCTATACTAGGGGTAATTATACCCTTTATAGTCATCTTCGTTCTAGGGTACGGTTCCCATTGGTTCCTGTTCAAACATTGGCTCACACCTAAACAACAAATCACTCATCAAATCTTGCTAACTCTTGTGTGGATTACGTACGGTGCAGCCATCTTCAAAAGTCCCGGGAATCCTCCAAAGAACTTCAAAAGTAAACCGGGACAATGGAAAAGATGGTGTCGGAAATGCGCTAACTATAAACCTGAAAGATCCCATCATTGCAAATCTTGTAACGCCTGTGTCCTAAAAATGGATCATCATTGTCCTTGGACTTATAATTGTGTGGGTTATGGGAATATGCCCCAGTTCCTTCAGTTTCTCTTTTGGGTCATCATAGCAACTGGGAATGTTTTGTATCTATTGACTTTAAGATTAGCTGATTTCTATAAAGATAAAGACTTACCCGTGTATTTAATCAATAAGAGTGAATTGGTTGTTTGTATAGCTCTTTGGCCCTTGGATTTCTTTGTCTTGGTATCAATTGGCATACTCTACATTCGATGTGTTGTCAATATGGCTTTCCGAGGTATGTCTCAGATTGAAGTATGGGATAGAGAAAGAATGGAAGGTCAACTACATACTTCCCGAATGTGGAAGATCATTCGTAACAATTATCAACAATTCTACGGTAAAGAAATGCCTGAATTAGTATCTTGGAGTCGAAGCAGTGCATATAATGATGATCACGGTGATGAGCACGGTGATGAAGACCTTGATCTTGATCTTGATAATCTTCAAGATAACTCCGAATCATATCCACTCCGTCGAAGAAGTCCTGATCAACGTCGTAATGATGATCGTAAGCATGATGATGACGAACCCGTTCCAGATATCACCATTGATGACATCATCTTTCCTTATGATATGGGTATGTGGCAGAATATTATAAATACGTGTGGATATCCATGGTCTTGGTTACTCCCTTGGGGGAAGGGATTGGGAAACGGATATGAATTCCCTGTCAACGATGATGACGATCAAATACGGTTACCCTGGCCTCCAGATGGAGGTCATCAGAATGCAATAGTCCAAGGAAGATTATATGATGATGAACAACTCCGACAAATGAATATTGGGGCCATTAGAAAGCATTTGGATCCAAGAGCTAATATGAAACGGAGTCAATGGAGAAATGACTTGGGTGAAACTTTGGATGACTATGGTGTAGACATTGAAGATGACGAAGAAGAAGATGTAAAAATAGAGAATATTCAGTGATAATTGTACATATTATTGCATCAATTTATAGTCTATATGGTATGTAATTGAGCCACAATCCGAATCGGGAAGTATGAGTTCCGCGAATTTCAGCGTACTGCACAATGCTAACGACTATAGTTACTAATCACACGTGACTGGAGGTGATACTTCATCAGTGGAGGTGTCAATTGTAGTTTCATATAAATAGCATATTAAGCAGTTAAATTATAAACGGGATAAATTTTCATTTCCTTATCATACATACATATATCAATTAAGCATGTCTTTAACTCCTCCAAGTGGTACATTGAGATTGGGTGCAACTGCTCCTGATTTTACTGCTGAAACCTCCAACGGTCCAATTCTGTTCCATGAATTCATTGGTGATAACTGGGTTGTGTTGTTCTCTCATCCTGATGACTTCACCCCTGTTTGCACCACTGAATTGGGCGCCTTTGCCAAGTTGGAGCCTGAATTCACCAAGAGAGGTGTTAAGTTGATCGGTTTATCTGCCAATGGTACTGAATCTCACAAAGCCTGGATTAAGGATATTGATGAGATCACTGGTTCTAAATTGAACTTCCCAATCATTGCTGACCCTGAAAGAAAGGTTGCTTTGCAATACGATATGATTGATTTCCAAGATGCTACTAATATCGATGACAAGGGTGTTCAATTCACCATTAGATCTGTTTTCATCATTGATCCATCTAAGAAGATTAGATTGATCTTGTCTTACCCTGCTTCTACTGGTAGAAACACTGCTGAAGTCTTGAGAGTTGTGGACTCCTTGCAAACTGGTGACAAGCACAGAATCACCACTCCTATCAACTGGGTTCCTGGTGATGATGTCATTGTTCACCCAACTGTTTCTAACGAAGAAGCAAAAACTTTGTTCCCTAAGTTCAGAATCATCAAGCCTTACTTGCGTTTGACTCCTTTGGAGCTTGAACAAAAATAAGTTTAGTATCTGACGGACTTTCCATTTATTTCTTGAACCTTTGGTTACTTTATTTCTGTACTATTAAATACATATTCAATCGTATAACGTTAAAGCATTTCACTGCAACTAATTGTGTGTGGGTCTAGTAAGTTGTAATATACTGTATTTAATCACGTGTTCTATCACGTGATTGGAATATATGGGATAGTCAACTGATAACCCTAAACATAATCTACAACTCTGTCATTAACGGACTTTAATTCTCCATCATGTTTCTGGCCTTTACCCCGAAACCTAGGGGGTCGGTCTTGTTGTTATTGCGTGAAACAAATAAGATGTTACTACAAAGGACACTGGTTTGCTACAGCAGATACTACCATAGTCACCGTTATGAAGCATTACGCCCTGCAGTCAACATCATCATGCTGGACATGATCTACCGAAGTAGACCATTAAACAATGGTAATAGAGATAACGATATCGATAACGATAATGATCAACATAGAAAGGCGAATTTGGGGTCAACCTTAGATACACTTAAAGACTTAGTTCCAGATATACTTCAACGATCACTTCCCAAGGAGCTTTTAGCCAATGACGTTGTTCTCCGGGTCTTACCCACCCACTTCTCTGAAGTGAACTCTTATTTGCCACCATTGAAGGGTCATGTATCTTATTATGCCACGGCCAAAGCCATACAACTCTACATCAACTCCTTGGTTGGGAACCCCCACGTGAAGGTGCACATCTTGTCCGTGAGAACCACCAACTCATCGGATGTCCAATGTTTGTTTCCTCATTCAAACAAGATCATCATGAGATGGATCACTTGTAACAGTCAGTGTGATCATTTGGATCCCGATCCAACTGCAAGTAGACGGAGATCCTTCTCCACAACCAGATCATACAAATTCAACCCTTCAAATGTTGCGGACTTCATCCTGGAGAACAGCAACACGCCTCCAAAGAAACTCAATCTACAAAGTATCTCGTCAACACTTGCCAATGTGACTCAGGGTCTCTTGAACGGCTTGTCGGCTCCGGGAAGCTCCGATAAAGTGGAGACTGTTTTATCGGGGATCTTTGTCTTTGAGTTGAACAATGATAATACTCAAGTGCTTGTGCACACTATAGAGGATGTTGATGTCATTGAACGTTACGATGAAATACAAGACCCTATTGGAGGCCCGTTGGCGTGTTGACAGTCCCTAGCATCATCACTTGTACATACAAACATATACCTAATGTAAATACTATAATAAACTATTTAAAAAGTCTTTAACGTCAGAAAGCTTAAACTCATACATATCATTATTGTTGTCAACATATAACTCTGCAAGCTGATTGGCTAAGAACTCTACCTTTTCTGGGGTGCCCAATTCTCTTTTGTACTTGCCTTTAACCCAAGTCCATAACTCCGAATCACTTTTGCTCTGTACATGCCCCCCATGGCCGTTCCTCTCTTGCATAAGAGTGGATACCAAATGTGCAGTGACCGAGAGTTGGGTCACGGCTATTAGGTTGGTCTCTCTAACCATCACATATAGCTTTAACTGGAACATTGTCACTATAAGAACAATAATGAAAGCCACCAAATACCGGAGTTTGAAGTTGTCGATGATAGACTGTAAGAAGGGACTTCTTTCTCTTTTGGTAACGGCCTTATTGCTTTGCCTTTTGGTCTTTGAAGGATGTCGAGGCATTGAAGAAGTTGAAGAAGATGTCTTTTCGATTTTCTCTTCAATGAACTCAACAGTGGAAGTTTGAGCTTCATACGTGGACTCCTTGATAGCCAATGCTAATGCTTCCATCATATCTTCATTAGCAGCCCTTTGTCCACTGCTGGTTTGTTTCTCGATGACTCCCTTGACCCATGAACTTCCTGTCCAATCAATATAATAAGTACATCTAAGATTAGTGGTGTTATTCTTCCCCCAACTGAAATATAATCTGTTTCGAACACTAAACGAAGTCCCCAGAGGAACATCTGGAGTTCGAGTGACTTTCTCCACAATCACATAGTCAGCAAAATTCAAATGCTCTATGATTTCTGCCACTTCACATTTGGTAGACTTTGGGCCAATGGTATACCCTAATTCTAATCTGTAAGTATAAGTTCTTTCTAGTTTTGTAGGATCCGATTCCAAAGGATGGAACTTACCAAAGCTAGTGATCTCTGAACCACCATGATCTTCAATAAACTTGGTAATAAAAGTAGTATTGGAGTCGCCAAATAAAAGTTCATACACAACTCCTAGTGGGGCATTCAATTCCATCTCAGACATAACAACTTCATTATCAACAAAACTTTTGGCATCTACATGGGTGGGTCCATGAGAATCTGGACCCATGTTCTTATATTTTAGACCTTCCTTGAACTTAAGTATCTTAATAGTCCTTGTATTATTCAAGCCACTGCTGCCATCTTCAATGCTATCGTTATCATTATCGTTATCATTATCGTTATCATCGTCATCGTCATCATCTTCATCTCCATCGATTGAAAGAATATATGATTCTAAACGAGAATCTTCCTCCGTATCAAGAAACGCTTTACTCTCTTCATCTCCAATATCGTTAACAATTTTGCCCTCATTACTGATATTATCATCGTCTCTCCCTCCTGTTTTGGTTGAACCGGTTTCAACCAAAAGACTTCTGCCTGTAGTTTCTTTCCAAACGGTGGTCATGAATTCAAACGTTGCATCTCTGGAAATAAAACTGGCAAAATTGTATCTTGTATCCTTTGTTTCAACTATTATACCATTCGGAAATAATCCAGCAGTAGACTTCTTTTGAAAATTGATAATCTCTTCCATAGGAATAGCAACATGAGTTACCCACCCCAATAAATTGGAATTGAAACACACATTATGTTCACTTATATATAGCCTTCCTTGTAGAAGGATCTCCCTACTCAATGCACATGCATAGTCATCCAAAAGTCTATCAGTTAAGTCCAATGACCGGAACAATTGATGGAAATCAATGTTTCTCTTCATTGTAGTGTATCGATATTTGGTATCTTTAAAGAACTCATCAACAAATAACCGTTCATCAAACTTTTCCTTAGGCAATTCAGCAATGCTATTGGAATTAACATTAGCATTTGCATTTGCACTTACACTGCTGGACCGTTTATTGTGTCGTCTGAATGAGATCATTCGAGGCGAAGTCTCTACATCCAAATCGTCTTTAAAAACTTCCATAGTATTACGCCATTGACTGCTGCCACTCCTTGAATGTGTAGGAGTCGCCTTCTCCTCGGCTTCAGCAGTGGAAAACGTAGAATTGGCATCTTCAATCGTGGTGTGAGGGTCCGCCGGTAATGATTTACCCATCCCGGTTATCGGAGACTGTAATAGTGAGCCTGAATCAGGATGTAGATAAAGTTGGGATGAATTCTTACTGGATGTCACAGAGCTTATCTCCGCTATCCTCCGAGACACTCTAGTAGAACCATTAAAGTCTGATGTCGTTCCAGACACTTCTATATGCTCATTAAAACTATCATTAGTACCATCATCATTGTTACCAGTGGTAGCAGCTCTCTTCTTCTTGTTGTTGCCAGTTGTACTTCCGTTATCGGTGTTCAATGATGCAGGATACGAATACGACCATCCGTCCATGCCATTATCTTCAAACAAATCCTCACTCATGATCCTCGGTTGCTAATGATTATATTGTTTAGTTCCTCTTGCTAATGCTTGTAGGTTTTAATAATGAACTCTTATAAGGTCGTGTGTGTACCGTCTCATTTAACCCCAGAAATTCGTACAGTATCCTATACGACCACATACAAACAGCATACAACAAAATCCATAATCACTAACAATAAGATATTAGTGAGTTGTCTTGTCAATTGGTGTCCGGGTGTTGTAAAGGTGATTCCCTGTTTGCTCTTAGTCGTCTGTCGAGTCCGACTACAATAAAAGTTACGTAATGCATACATTTGAACTCTATCTATATATAATGCTGCCAAATTAAGCTAGAATCGATATCAAAAGCCATATTAACAAGCAAAACATTCAGGATTCTCCTCTTTAGACAAAAAGAATTGAACTAGGGGCATTAAAGTCCGTCAACCCCCATCTTCCACTAATAATACAAGAAACAAAAAACTAACAAATTAGTTAGCTTAAACAGCTTCCAAAACGACATCCTTGAAGCCGCCAGCAACCTTCTTACCCTTTTCTTCGGCAACAGATTCACCGTGCAAGGACATCAAAGCACCCAAGTCAAACTTAGGTTGCTTCAACAACTTAACCTTTCTGATGTGAACATTTTGCAATGGGAAAATGGTTTGAGTAGATTTTTCAATTTCACGGCCAATAACTTCAGGAATCAACTTACTGGTCAATTGAGCCAAGGTGGAGTTAGAAACTTCTCTTTGCATGATTTCAATCATTTTCTTTCTAACTTCTCTCAACTTGGAGGATTGAGCATAAGAAGTTTTCTTGATTTGGTTTTGTTGTCTCTTGGTGAAAGCAATGGCAAAGATTCTCAAAACGTAATCGTCTGCAGTCTTGACGGTAACGTTGGCTTCAACCAATGATTGCCATTTTCTAACTAAAGATCTCAACTTATCGGAAGTGAAGTCCAAACCGTGGAAGTTGGTCAACAAGTTCTTACCTTGAACTTCATCAACTCTTAACTTGACCTTTCTGTAAGAGTGGTCTTCAGAACCTTGCAAGTCAGCCAAGCAAACTTCAAAGACACGGCCCTTCAAACCATCGGCAGCGTTCTTCAAACCGGTGGATCTGTTGATCAAGGTCTTACCAACATTTCTGTTTTCAAAAGTCGATGGGGCCTTGATGTCGAACCAGTCTTTTCTGGTGAAAGGGTCAACAACCTTCTTCTTCAAACCCTTCTTACCCTTGGATAATCTCTTATTCTTACCGACAGCCATGTTTACGTATGTTTATTACTATGAAGGGATGTTGTAAATTTTCACTAGTGCAATTTTTCAAGCTGTCTTCATCAATGCTTTTGTTTGGCGTGGTCGGATATCAGAAGCAAATCACGTGATATAATGTATTTCCGATAATGTGACAAAATTGGAAGTGACCATCGAATTTACTTTCACGTGACTGTGTGGGGTTTAGCCCTAGGGTAATTTTTCACAAATTGTTACAATATACTTTAAGTAAGATAACCAAGCTATTTTTATAATACAATGGTAAAAGATTTCTAATATGAGAACGCGTTTATTCAACAAACTTCGTCTCTATATAATGCTATATTTTATGTAAACCATATACACCCATAAGCGAAGAATCAACAAAAAAGTGGAAACTTTGATTACTTTTGCAACTCCATAGTAATCTAGAATTGAATAAAATACAAGAGATTAAATCATTAAGTCATTCCAAATAGACCATCATGAATAATTAATATTTTGATAAAAAAATGGGTTCAAATCACATTTAGTTGTTTTCAGGTCTCAACTTTCTGACTTCCTTACCAACCTTCCAGATTTCCATGTTTCTGATGACTTCCAATTCTTCTTCCAATCTTTCTCTGTAGTCAGCTTGAGAGTTGAAGTCCAAAGATCTTTGGGTTTCGGAACCGTTCTTGACAGATTCGTACAATTCGGCGAAAACTGGCTTCAAGGCATCCTTGAATCTTGGGTACCAGTCCAAAGCACCTCTTCTAGCTGTGGTAGAACAAGCATCGTACATGTAATCCATACCGTACTTACCAACCAATGGGTATAATGATTGGGTGGCTTCTTCAACGGTTTCATTGAAAGCTTCAGAGGGGGTGTGGCCGTTTTCTCTCAAAACTTCGTATTGAGCCAAGAACATACCGTGGATACCACCCATCAAACAACCTCTTTCACCATACAAATCAGAGTTGACTTCTCTTTCAAAAGTGGTTTGGTAAACGTAACCAGAACCAATGGCAACAGCCATGGCAATAGCCTTTTCTTCAGCCTTACCGGTAACATCATTCCAGACAGCGTATGAAGAGTTAATACCTCTACCCTCCTTGAACAAGGATCTGACGGTTCTACCGGAACCCTTTGGAGCAGCCAAGATGACATCAATGTTGGTTGGGGTTTCAACGTGAGTCAAGTCCTTGAAGACTGGAGAGAAACCGTGGGAGAAGTACAAGGTCTTACCTTCAGTCAACAAAGGCTTGATAGTAGACCAAGTTTCAGATTGAGCAGCATCAGAAAGCAAGTTCATGATGATAGTACCCTTGTTGATAGCTTCAGTAACATCAAACAAGTTTTCACCTGGAACCCAACCATCTTCAATAGCAGCCTTCCAAGAAGCACCGTTCTTTCTAACACCAATGATAACGTTTAAACCATTGTCTCTCAAGTTCAAACCTTGACCGTAACCTTGAGAACCGTAACCAATTAAAGCCAAAGTATCGTTCTTGAAGTATTCCAACAACTTCTCTCTTGGCCAGTCAGCTCTTTCGTGGACAACTTCTTCAGTACCACCAAAGTTAATAGTCTTAAGACCTCTGGTGGCTAAAGGAGCCATGGATTGCTTAGCAATGGTTGGTCTGGCAGCAGTGGCCAAAGCGGACAAAGCACGCTTAGAAATAGCCTTGGAGGCAGCAGTTCTAGCCAATCTAATAGATGCAGTTCTGAAAGACATTGTATATAATATACTGGATGATAAAAGAAGAAATAACACACTTAATTTTCATTAGAGAGACTTCTTCATATCTTAAATACACTTCGGCCATGTGTTGGAGTATAGTGAACGAAAAATTTTCAGAATGGTTGGAGCACGACTTTTCTTTGTTAGTAGATTATATCCGGGCCGGTAATAGGACCGAGATGATTTTGTGATTTGTGAGTCAAGTAATTACGGACTTACGGGAATAATTTTGAGTGGGGGGAAGGTTTAGAGGTTACTATAGTAGTGATACCGTAGCCTTAACCCATATTATATTGGTAGGAACAGAAGATGTGACTAAATTAAGAATAGTCACATAATTGAGAAATAGTAGTAGAAATCCACCATTGAGAATTTAGTACAATTGAGATAATAAGTAGGATGGGTTTAATGTATTTTACAATGCTACTATTTATTAGTTAATAGAATTACGGTACGACTCTCATACGCCGTTTAGATTCTATTTTCTTTCTATACTGTATGTATTAGAGTGTATGCTCTAATGGAGGAAGTTAAGCTGTCATATATGATACAAAGTCCCAATTGGGAATATCGGCGAGAAAGTTGGTCTTACCGGCCCTGAAATATAACTAGGGCCTGAAGCAGGAGAAACGATATTATCAAACATAAAGGAACATACTACTTAAATTTAATGTCCTTTATCAAGAGCACATTGTTCCTAGAACGGCAAACGAGATATGCTTTGATTTATTTTTGGGCTATCTTTATCATGTTCCGTAATGTCGTGCGTATATACATATACTGGTGAGTTGTCTGTTACGCTGAGAACAAAGCCCACAGATTCCAGCCACACAACAACAACCAGCAAAATACGTACCAATATATTAAACAGGTGATACTGATGGTAGATTACCATTATTATATTCCATCAATAACCTGTAGGTAAATAGTTTGCAGCCACGGGTCCAAACTTCACATGAGCGAGTCACTTTTCATTCAATTCTACAACATATTATCAAAAATATGCAACCAATCTTGTTCACCTATAAACCTTACTATAAACCCCTAGTCATAAACAACGTAAAACAAAGACTTCACCATAATAATATAAAAATAAGACACTCCAAAAGTGTGCACCAAAACGTTAATCCCCACACTGGGCCTAAATGACAATAATAATAAAAAGATAAATGATAATAATGATAATAATAATAATCGTAAAAGCTGTAAGGCCCTATAACCATGGAACCAATCTTTTTGTATCCGGTGGTGATCCGATGGAATGGGAATCATTATAAACTTCAGTTTCAATAATGGTGCGTAATTCTTTTCTTGATTCTTTGGCTGATGTGATCATAACCTTCGAGTCCGACAATGATAACAGATTTAGACGGGCATAAATGTTATTGTCATCAAGGATCTCATCACCAACGATTTCAAATGGTACACCATCTGTAGTGGTGGTAGTGCCGGTGATACTTGTTATGGTGGTCAGGGTGCTTGTGTCAGCTTTGTAAGTATCCTTATTCAAGATGGATGGTAGTTTAGAAACAGATTTGAATGACGATAACTTGGTGCTTGATTTAGATTGAACTTCCAGAACAAACAGAGAATCTGACTTAACAAATTCAAAGTCTTGAAGTAAAGCAATCTCGCTCTCACAATCATCATCATCATCATAATCACACCAACTCTTTGAAAAGACACTTGACCCCATTAAAGACGTTACAGCCCATGAATTCCAAGAATTCAACAGTTGAGTAGTACCAGGTACCAGCTTTGCCAATTTTGAAGCTGAGCTACCATTGACATGAATGTTACCCCCACTACCACTGGCTATTCTACTGTTAATTGAAGCGGTACTACTTGATACTTCACGAACATTCTTGCTTTCAATCAAATCATCGTGGTCCATGTTGAATACGTCTTGAACCAACGAGTCTTCATGGACCAGAACACCAATGGGACCTGACAATGTGGCATCGTCACAAAAAGTAGCGGAAGAACCTATGGCCCCAGTATCACCATTAATGTTGCTGCTACTGGCAGCAAAGCCCATCGCAGTAGCCAACGGATATCCGTGTTCCAATTCAAACTCTTCGTCAACCGTCAATCCAAACTTGGATCCATCACTCAACATAGAGATAAACGAATCAAGTTGTCGTTTTTCAGGGTGGACATCCAAAAGACAGATAAACGTTTCAAAGCAGGTAACATTCATATTGGGATAAATATCATAAAGAACCTCATAATTTTGGAAATGAACATACTGTTTGTAATTATTGTCCAGTTGTAACGATTTGGAGTTTGAAGTTGGTTTAAATGGACAATACCCAAAGAAGGTAGCTAAAAGGGTGATACCCATGGACCAATAGTCAACGTATTTGCAATCATAATGATTAGGAAGATCTTTATCTTCGCAATCATCACGTAACGAGAGGGACCCCCCTTCTTTGGCACTAGTCTGTTGACCCCTACGACGACATTCCGGAGCCATGTATCTTTCAGTCCCAACATCCCAATCTTTACTATATCTGACTTTGGTGGCAAGTCCCCAATCACAAAGCTTGAGTGTGCCTTCATTATCAAACAAGATGTTTTCAGGTTTAACATCCCTATGATAAACCCCTTTTGAATGGATGTAATCTAAAGCGCTTTTCAAGTCACGTGCAAGACTTAGTAGGTCGACCAGAGAAGGAGATTGATGGATTAAATCGTAGAGATCACCATTGCCACAGTATTCAAGGACCAAACAAATGAACTCATCAGTTTCAAAATGATTTAAAAGACGACAGACATTCTTGTGATTGCCTAAACGCTTAAGGATTGCAATTTCATGACGAGCAATAGCACCATTGGAATTCTTATACATAGCCTTAATAGCCACTTTTGCTTCATCGTTATTGGCCTTCGAAGCTGATGAATATGATGGGGCTTCAAGATCTAAAGCCAATGAAACCTTTCCAAAGGAACCTTCTTGGATGGTTGTGAGGAATTTATATCTATTGATAAGGAGCGTTCCATCGGCTTCATATTGGACGTAAGTAGACATGACAACGATAAGAAAATAGTGTTTAAACGTCTAGCATGAAAGAAATCTAATAAGTAATGTAATGTTAATAATAAAAAGGTATGTATATATGTACAAGTGACTGAAAATTCAACACTAAGATGGTGCAATAGAAGTTTACCCTAATTTGGTGAGGTTTATACAAAATGATAATAAAAAGCTGTCAAAGATTGATCTATATAAGAAACCTCAAAATCAAAATTAGATCCCAACATCAAGATATAGACAGATATATATAAATATATAGGCATTCATCTATTCTTCCCTAATTGTATAAAGTATCCTCCATTTCGGAAGTTGCAATATGCCGTATGCTCACTCCACAATTGGGACTCAACAGATCTAAATGTACACCCACGACTTGACCACTTATCCACCCGATGTTCACACGACCCGTATAGCCACAATAGCAGCCACAAAGGCGTTTAGGGGTTGTAATGAAGGAATTAAGGAGGAGGAACGAAGTAAAGAGGAGAAAGTCTGGAACGAGTTAACAAATACAGCCGAGCCTTTTAGTAGTTTTACACGACCTTGAAGTTTACTTAATTAACATATAGGGGAATAGAATCACAACCAACAATAATACCAACATATCACAATACTTTAAAAGCCTTACTCATTACAATTAAAGTGGAGTAAACAGTTTTTAAAGCATTCTTTCGTGACCTTCAAGCGAAATACATCCAGCTCCATTAAGTGAGCAGTTTCTCGGTGTCACATTGAGTTGGGTGATTTTCTGTTGAGTCATACAGACAACAAAACCGAAACAGATCTTCACACGATTATCATTATTATTGTTCGGGAGAAACCGTACTAAACTGGTGCGATTACGTTATTATTCATATGCAGCAGACGATTGTAGAGGCCTATCGTCAACCGTTTCTTTTCTTTTCTTTAGCTTTTGTGAGGTATGTCTGTATGTCGTCATACACTCGAACCTCGCACAACAATACACGGTAGAGATGTTAGAAGATATGTTCCAACCCCTTTGAAAGGTACATTCCTTGAAACATGAACCCCTTAAATCATTTCGGATAAATAAAGTATGTATGTCAAACGTAACGCGGGAAGAGTTTCCAAATACAAGGGTTACGTATATAGAAAGAAAGGGGTTGGTGTTATTAGTGTTTGAGTTGAAATCTATACGGAAGATGCAGAGGACTTATTACTAAAAACTTATACCGATTTCGCACTACACACCACAGTTATCATCATCGTTGGTTAGCATGTGAAGCAAATGAGGTTCCGTAAGATTCTTTTTCAAGTAAAGATCCAATTGGAAATCCTACTACGCACGACGAGATCTAAATCCCCCCTTCCGTATTGTTATTCACACTAACTTAGGAGAATTGCACTGAGTAGTACTACCGCAATATCACCAAATTATTACACTGTAGATGTAAATATCGTTACTATCTGAAATTAGTTAAATGTACAAAGATGCTCTACTAACACCAAAACCTATAGAGTCTCCTCCAAATAGGCATTTCTTTTCTTCCTTGTCTTTCATCAGCAATTTCTTGCTTCAACTTTTCAACATCGATTTCTCTACGTCCCGTATCAAGATCAACAAATTCAAGTCTAATCCATAAGTAACTCCAAGAGCCTCTCAAAGTTTTATGGCCGGCCCAAAGGAGAATCAAGATGGGAAGTGACATACAGTTTTGCCAGAACGTAGTAACACTGGCTTTACCGCCATTGCTAAGGGGCCAAATGGATACCCATATAAGACTGACAACAATGAGGATAAACATAACGATACCAGAGATTGAACCCCAAATACCCAAGGGAGAAGCAAAGATCACTTCATCTAAAGATCTTCCTTGACATCTTAAAGCCATTCTCCATCTTATATGTGTAGCACAAATGAAGATCCAAATGAAGAATGAAGATAACGAACAAATGGAAAAGAACCAGATGAATACTTCATCTTGTTTCTCATAAGAGGCAAGGAATCCAAGACATCCGATAAGACATGTAAACCCAACTGCAACCAAAGGTCTTCCCATACGATCAATGTAGCCAAAATGCGAAGGAATTAAACCTTGAACGGCCAAAGAGGCAAGTGTTCTAGAACAACCATAGACAGACGCATTCCCAATAGAAACCACAGCTACAATAATGACGGCATTCATAATGTGAGGTAAGACTTTGATACCACCAGCTTCAATAGCAAGAACAAATGGGGAGGCAGTAACACCCAGATTATTAAGTAATCTCTCATCAGTGTAAGGAACTAAACAACCAACAACAATAGCCGTAAGGACATAGAAGACAAAAATTCTCCAAAACACTTGTTTAGTGGCTCTAGGCAAGGAGATACGTGGGTTTTCAGTTTCAGCAGCTGCTAAGGCTACCAATTCACAACCACCAAATGAGAAGGCTGCCAGGATGAATACTGAACAAACACCTTTCAAACCATGGTTGAAACTTCCTGGGTTATGCCAATATTTACCTCCAATAAAACCTTGATCACCAACACCACAAGTGATACAAATACCAACAATGATGAAACCCACCACTGCTAAAACCTTGATGATACTTAGGACAAATTCCACTTCACCATAACCCTTAACTCCAAAAAGGTTAATCACAACAATCATTAACAAAACTATAGCCACCCAGACACTTGGATTTATAGTTGTTGTCCAATATTGTACCGTCAACGCACATGCAATAAGTTCTGAAGGAAAGGAGATCAACCATGAAAAGGCATACATTAAACCAAGAGCAAAACCCAATGAAGGGTCAAAGAAACGAGAGAAATGAGAGTTAAATGAACCAGATACAGGGAATTGAACAGACAATTCACCTAAAGCCATTACCATGGTGAAGATCCCATAACCAACCAAAAAGTACCCTATAACCAATGAACCTGGGCCACCAAGGGCCAACGCGTAACCGGAACCAACAAACAACCCAGTCCCGATGGCACCACCAATGGCAATCATTTGCAAGTGTCTCGATTTTAACTTTCTGGCCAATGGATGGGCTGAAGATGCCATAATAGATCTTTCAATGGGATTCAATTGCGAAGTGTCAAAGGGGATGTCATCGTAGTCAAATGGCTTGAACAGATCCACAAATCTTCTAACACGACTCTTGGGCATATAACTTTCTTCATATGAACTTTGGTATGAACCTTGTGAATTAGCATAGGAATCTGATGATGTTCTTTGTACATTTAAGGTGTTATCGGGGATGTGCCCGCTGCCGCTGCTTTCCTTATCATTTTTCATCTTAAACGTAATATGGAAAGAGTAGCAGTTCTCAAAACTTGCGTAACAATATAATGATAATGCTAGCCGTATAGAGAAATTGAAATTTCTGTAGGCGTCCTACCTATTATATATATATGAGTGGACCAAATATGTTATTAACCTAAGTTAGATGAAATATTACTTTTTTATATGAGATTTGATTAATTATGGAAAGTATTGTTCAAATTCTTGCATTATGCTAATACGAGAAAACAATGTAATTAAAGCCCTCGACCTGCCTTGCCGAACGTTTTGTTATCACAAAAAGAGCCTCATAAACTGTGGTTTACGATGCTTTTTTGCTTATTGAGGCTACTTGTGTACATACTTGTGTCTATGATGTTAACAGGTACATGCATATGAGAACAACACACTAAGGATTAAAGTGTGTTGTTAAATGAAAGAATTTTAAAGGCATTATTGGACATGGATATGGAATGAATATATGCCAAGGACACAAGGTACAGCGCGCATGTAGTATTAAAGCTTTAGACGTAGTGTCCCGATTAGGGATTAGTCTGTGTTGTCGGTGTCTTAACGGGGAATGACACCGACATATTCAGAAACACCCAAAGGTACAAACTATGTTTTATAATTTTGGTAAATATACCCTGGTAAAGAATTGGAATGTTCTCTATATTCTCGAATAGGTTGAAAAAAAGATGAGGTTCAATTTTCACTTTGTACGGAGTATTAAAAGTTATAATCGTGAAAATATTGCCAATTAATTTAACTCATGAATGCGAAAAGCTTTAGCTTGCTTTATTGATGGTTCGATCTTATATGTATGGGCACACCGCAATATACAGATAGCTTGAACTATTTTATGTTTAAAGTACTATATGGAATTAGGGCGTTAGCGAAATTTGTAACATCAAGGCAGGGATCTTGAGCATCCACGAAACCGCCCTGTACTGCAGTAAACTTTGGTCTAAAGCCTAGCCCAGTTTAGCTTTCTCGTATGGTGTAACAAAGCACTTAACGAGTAACAGGAAATGTCAAAACATTAACATGAAAAGATTTCGGAAAGAAGCTTAATTCCACTCTAATAACTTGCAGAGTATAACGAAGTCAAAATATACCAAGAGACTCTAGCCGTGCTTATGTAAATACAAGCGAGCACTATTTAATGCACACGAAAGCCAAATTATCAAGGAATTAAAGTGACTAGTTGCCCAAAGTGTGTCGCTTTAGTTAATATACCAGTGAATAAAAGGAGACTACCTACACAATGGTATGAAATCTCTTTGGTTACTTGCTTGACAATAACCACAATGATCTCTTGTGTGAGAACAACAAAGCTTGCGATAGAGTCCACTATTCTTTGAGATCTAAGCCGTACCTGTAGGTTGTGCAACTTTCAAATGGTTGTCAAGAGGTAAGGCAATACCCCGCTTTAAAACTGGGTTAGTGAATCGACACAATATTTATGGACCTCATACAATTTCGTTTTGTCTCATGTTCTTTTAACTCAAAATTGGATATTCATATGTTATATTCAAAGATCACATTAGGGTATCACACCACTTATTTTTGAATTACAAGGAGCAACTCTTGATAATTATGGTTACAAGTTCCCCGGTATACTGTAAACTTTTTGCACCCATTGTGAAGTTAGTGAAACGCCGATCTAGTGATAAATATGTGCACCTTGTAGGCTTCAGTATAATATTACAATATCTACGCATATGTCAAAATGAACCCCGTAGCAGTTTTCTATATTGGTTCAAGAGAGAAGTAGTTACAATTGGCCTACTTAAAATACTCCCACTAGAGTTTTAAAAGATGTTCTTTAGGGCGCAACTACTAACACCTACGATCCGAAACTGTTGAGTTGTTACCTGGACTAAAGGGGTACCGGTCAACTAAAATATAGTGTGGTGCAAGGGACTTTTTACAACAACAATAAGGACAGATTCAACATTAGTGTTGTGTGAAGAATAAGCCCAGGAAATCGAGACTCAAATAAGACTAGTTTTGCAGCTTTAATCGTTTCACTCAAATGAAACCATAACATTATTTTATAGTTGTTACTACTCATTCAAGTCATGAACGGTTTTAATTCCATATGAATTAAAATTATTTTGAATGAATTAGTTTTATCTATAAATTCTATATACCGAGTACTAATTACTCTACCAGATCATGTCTAGAATTAATTTTGTTAGTGACGAATAATTTTAACAACTTGTCCAAATGGAAGTGAAATTCCACTTTCAAATCATTCGAATTCAATGAAATGTATCCGAATTTATCTTTGCTATATCGTAATGGACTCGAAATCGTTTAACCAATTGTAATGTAGTTTGCTGATCCCTATACACCTACATTATATGTGTCAAATGCATACGCAAGAATACGACACACGTCAAAAAATATGTCAAATGCGCGGCATAATTCTATCTAACCGTCTTTTGGCCACCATAGTAGTCATCTACTGGTTTGGGAAAAAAGAATCTAAATCATAACCATTATTTCTCGAAAGGGGCTGAACATTGATAATGACATTGAGAGAAAGAATCAAGTTTTTGCTTGAAGAGTTTGGGGTTTACACCTTAATGGCAGCAGGCAAAGATGTATACATCATTATCTTGCTACGGATGATACGGCTAATTAGTTTCGGAGCTACACTGTTGATCCTTGCGTTATACTTGAAGCAGATCAGGTTTCTGGAATCATATATTGGGTTGTTCATGACACTCACGTTTGTAGGAGATCTTACTGGAAGTTTTCTTTTGTCGATATTGGCAGACATTGCTGGTAGACGAAATGTTATGGTTCTTAGTTGTGGGTTAGCTACATTGACAGGGGTATGCTTTATCGTCACAGATAACAAAATAATCTTGACAATAGTTAGTGTTGTTGGTATACTTACTCCTAGTGGGGGTGAGGTAGGTCCATTTAGATCCATTGAACAAAGTGCTATTGCATCATTGATGGCCCCTCATGAAAGATCAGACATCTACACTTGGTATACTTTCTTGGGATTATTCTGTGGTGCTATAGGTAATCAACTTGCTGGTATTTTAGTACAAGTTTCTCAAGAAAGAGGAAACCTTGGTGTTACAGATAGTTATAAGGTTGTGTTCTGTGCATACACTCTATTGTCTCTTGTTTCTCTTGTGATGTCTTTGTTTTTAACAAACAAACTTGAGCCAAAAAAGAGTAACAAGACGAAACCATCAGATGAAGCACCATTGCTCAGAGAGACTGAAGAGGAAGAATCTGCAACACCAGTGAGCAAGACTGCTGGATGGTTCCCTGATTTAACAGCCCATGCACTTTCACTTGTGATTAAACTTTCAATATTGTTTGCAATCGATTCTTTTGCGTCTTCCTTAGCATCCCTTTCATGGATATCTTACTACATTAAGAAGAAGTTTGATATCTCATCTTCATTCTTGGGTTCTGTGTTCTTTACTACGGGGATTATAAGTGGGATAATGTCGTTGCTATCAACATCTTTGACCAAGAGGTTTGGTGCTGTTGCAACTATGGTGTTCACTCATTTGCCAGCGTCGGTTCTTTTGAGTCTTCTTCCTGTGCCTTCGTCTTTGAATGTCACCTTGGCCATAATGATCATTAGAGCATCAACGCAATCCATGGACGTGGCTCCTAAACATGTTTTCCTTGCTGCTATTGTGCCAGAGAGTGAGCGCACAGCAGTTTTTGGATGGGTCAATCTCGTGAAGACTATGGCACAAATTTTAGGACCTTCAATTGTCGGACTTTTAACCAGTAAGGGAATGCAATGGCTTGCTTTTGTAGTCGCGGGTACACTTAAGGTTCTGTATGATTTGGGAATGTTGGGTACATTTATGGCCTATAACAGGCATAATGAACATTAGGAGTAGCCATAGAATACAATTACAACGACTACCGCTTTAAGGTAGAAAAAGTACGTTAACGTAATGAGGCTATCCTACTTTTGAGCATGACACAAAAGCTGCCCCATCCACAGGAAATTGTTAATGAGACAACTGAGTAACTAAGTAACTTACGTACATTCAAACAGTAATACATTACTCCTTTGTCTGGAAGCGGATATGGAATGCAGTTTGACCATAACAATACCGTTTGAGACGGAGAAGCAAGCGGAAATAGCACAGAGTCTGTTATCTCCGGACCCTATTTTGAAAGTCAACGAATTACATGCTGAGTATAACGCCAAGGGAACGAAATTAGTTTGTTCATTCGTCGGAGTTAGTGATCGTGTTTTGAGAGCTGCAGTGACCAACACGTTGGACAATATAAAGACTATTATCGAATGCTTTGACGAGTTTGAAGGAAAGGAAGATGTCTTGTTTTAGTACGACGTGGGAAGCGGCGAAGACTAGAGCGATACGGCTAAAGTTATGCAGTTGAAGCCATACCACAGAAGTTATGCAGCTGCAGCTGAAGGTGTGATAGACAGAAGTTGATGCAACCCAAGAACAAGTACTACAACGCGACTTATCTAACATCACCAATCATGCAGCAGTGCCCAGGGTCAAGCACTGATTACTATTTACTACGATCTTATACCAATATTACGAACCATTGCGCTAAACTGGTACGCCCAACCGTAGCATACTCTTATATCGCTATCTTACTGTATAATGCATCTATTTCTCAATGCATAGTCGGTTGACTATAAAGCAGAAATATCACTGGCTGAAAATTTTCGCAGGCCCTACATACTTTTATAGTTGACTACTACTCCTTACTAAAAGATGTACGGGGTTCGAGATCGAGTGTGTGCTAGTGGACTGAGGATCTTCAGACGTCAACTCTTCAAGAAGCTCAATCCTAAAAGTATCATTGAGAAAGATGATCTGGTTCATCACGAATATTCCATTCGACCGGATACATTTGCATTCAAGGTGTCTGAAGACAGAACCAGAGGGTTTGGTAAAAGACGGAAAGACGGAGATAACAACAAAGACATAGACTCTGGAAAAGCACATCCATTTCAGAAGGTTGATAATACTAGTAGTATTAGCACTACTGATAGCATATCATCCACTAGTTTTAACCCTATTCAATTTATATACCAGAACTCAACCAATTATCCATTTGATGTCAAATCTCCTCAACAAGTGTATAACGAGTATCCTTTGACTACATCGGCAAAGCTATCCAGACTGAAATCTAGACCTAAGCGGGTTAAGATGAGTAGTGTTGATTTTATTGAAGATTCATTGTATAATCCCCACTATGGGTATTTCTCCAAAGAAGTCGAGATCTTCCACCCCGATAAACCCTTCAATTACAATAATATTGAGGATGTGGATGAGTTTATGGAATCTTGGGAACAAGCTTATACAAAATATGACATGTATCAGAATACGACTCGTCAAGATCAGAATCAGAATCAGATTCATGATTTAATGTTACCCACCGAGAACAAGTCGACCACCACCACGGCCTCAAAATACGCTTCAATGGCTAAATCGGTATACAAACAAGACATTGAAGCAGCCCAATCGCATACCAAGTCCAAAAGATCCTTACAATTATGGCACACCCCAACGGAATTGTTCCAACCCCATTATGGTGAAGCCTTAGCCAGATACATCATAGTCAACTACAAGTTAAATGGGAGTTACCCGTACCATGATCTTGTGATCTATGAGATGGGTGGTGGGAATGGTACTATGATGTGCGACATTTTGAAGTATATCAAACAGAATGAGCCCGAGATTTATTCCAGAACGACATACAAGATCATTGAGATCTCCAGTCAATTGGCCCATAAACAATTAAGCTCGGCCCTAAGAAACAGATTGACCAATCAAGGGTTAGATACGTCGAAATTGGAGATCATTAATCAATCTATTTTCACATGGAATCAGGTGGTGGATTCTCCATGTTTCTTCATAGCATTAGAAGTGTTTGATAACTTTGCCCACGATTTGATTCGCTATGATAATGAGACAGGGGTCCCTTATGAAGGGAGAGTACTTATTGATGATAAGGGCGATTTCTATGAATTCTTTAGTCCCCAATTATCGCAATACTCTCTGGCCTTCCTCAATTTAAGAGAAAATGGTTCGTTCCCCATCTTGAAGAAGTTGAATAATTTCAATTCAAAATGGAACCTGACGAAAACTTGTTTTCCCTTTTTCAATAAGGATCTTATTCACCCCTTGGAACATTCTACCACCAAATTAAAATGGGTAAATCGCATGTTACCTTTCAAAGATAACTTAACTCCGGGGGAATTCATCCCCACTAGATTGCTACAGTTCTTTCATATCTTACAGCATAAGTTTCCCCAGCATTCATTGATCTCCAGCGATTTCAATTACTTGCCGAAAGCCATTCCTGGCTACTACAATGGCCCTGTGGTTCAGACCGTCCTTCAAGACCGCATGGTGGACGTTTCCACTTATATGTGCTACCAGGGCTATTTCGATATCATGTTTGCAACTGATTTCAACTTGGCTCTGGATTTGTATAAGCAGGTTGTCGGAAAAGTTGCCAGAGTCGAATCTCATAAAGAGTTCTTGGAGCAATGGGCAGATATCGATGCCACAACCACAAGGAAAGGTGATAATCCAATGTTGGATTTCTATACCAATGTAAGCTTTATGGTCAGTTGAAGAAGTAGAAGAAGAATTTCATTATTGTAAGTAATAACGCCCACATTAGTAGTAATACCCTATGTAAAAAAACACACTAATATATATATATATATAAAGAGATACAGTTAACCATAATATACGGGATTTTCCGTATATAATCATATAAAAAAACAAGCATACTAAAACATCAGTATCAAGTTGCAAACCTTCATGATTCCGCCCCCAACACATTCCATTACTAAAGAACTCACTACTCTTAAATCGGAAGAAAACATTTGGAACCAATAATTCCAATTGGAGTTTGTAAAGAACCCAAGTAATTCCCGGAGAACAGGAATATCTAAAATGGGATTTGTATTTGTTGATGAGGGTGGTTTTTCAGTGGTTCCAATAGTAACTGGGGACTCAGTAATTGTTCCCTTAGGATCACTTAGAAGATACCCAAGAATTGTTGCAGCACTTGTGGCCAACCCTATCCCTAATCCCATTCCCACAGTAAATGAATAAATCATCCAAAGACTATTATCATCATCATTATTATCATCATCATTGATAATTGATTTTTCATTCGAGTATTCAGCTGACAATTTGCCTAACAAAGAACATACCAATTGAACTTTGGATGAAAGTTGTAAAGGATCACTATAATGAGAGCAAGTAATCATTTCTGATTTCATCTGATGTTCTAGATGCTTATAGTTCGGTTTGGACGACGGTGGTGAGCTCTTTGAAAGTTGAAGACCTTGAGAATACACCATAGAAGAACAAATACTAACACTTGTAGCTTCTGGAATATTTGAATTGCCACTTCCAAACAGTATGGAATCATCGTCAGCAGCATCATCTGTTGCATTGGCCGAAAGTTCTCTTGTAATGCAAGCTTCAAGACAAGCCAAAATACGGTCACTGTTCAAGGAAGTGGTTTTCCACATTTGATACGGTTTCCAGAACTGAATCAAATCCAACAAGTTAACAAAATAATTGGTAGTCATCATATTGATGATGGTCAATTTGGGAAGTATATTGTTATTGTGAATGGGTGAAAACACCTGTGAAAGAAAGTATACAAACCCAGGAGATCCATCATTAACCAAGATCACCATATTTGCCTTTCTAACAAGTGAATCATCATGTTTCCAACTCATCAAGTTAATATGATAAATATTTAGCTTTGAATTGGCCTTTTTTAAGACGCCTAAGCTTTTTAATAATTGAGCAGTTTCTTCAAGATATGCCAGTGAAACCAACACAACATTGAACCTTCCATTAGATACACCTTTCGATGCATTTACATTAGAAGATTCGTTGCTACTGTTATTGGTAGATAACAGCATCTTAGGCATAATGAATGTTGTAGTTGTTGAGGCTCCACAATCTCCATGATTAACTAGTTCAACATCAAGATCTTCACCATCATTACCATCTTCTTCATCTGTTTCAAAGACCATGACATGAGGAGTCAGAGGAGAATTGAGTGGTGGTGACTGCCCTGAGTCCCCCCCTTGTTCCGGAATACCACTCGTAGGGAGACGAATCGAAACCCCCGAAGCAGCAGTACCCCCTAATACGTTTTGAAGATTCAGCTCTACCATTACCATGGACGAGGCAAATAAAGGATTAACAGAATAATCATCACCATGGCGATACAGAGGCAGTCGTTGTACTTGTTGCAGCATTTGAAGACGAGAAACATCTTTATCTGAAGCAGTAGTGGATGAAAGGATAGAGGAAGAGACTTTTTTCAACTTGATTGATTCTTCAATTGCCTGCCACAGACCTTCATTTATAAGAGAATACTCGGGAGGTATAACTGGAGAATTACCTGGTGGCGGTGTAACATCTAAAGATATAGGGAATGAAACTGGAGACGAGGACGGTGAGACCGCTGGCGCGATATGTTTCCCAATCAGCGGCAGCAGCAACATGGTTGTATTTAATTCAACACCATCATCAACAACAGAATCTGGCTGTTGTTCAGTGGTGGTAACTAAGGGGTTTGGAACAGCCAAACGCGATATTTCAGGGTCATGGTCGTTGCCCCCTAGCACGGGATCGTGGGGGGCGGTATCCAATTCAGGGTTTGTAAGGGCGTGATAGATTGACAGATGACTATTAAGCAAGACGTTCCTACGCAATGAGCGTTTACGTGAATTGGGAATCGGACTCATATCGTTAACTGACTAAAGAAAGTAAATAAGCTCTAGGGATCACACAGTAAATCTGATATGCGAATAAGGAAATAGTGTACAAACAAAAGGGCACTAAGGGGACACAATACAATAGATAAAGGTGACTATCTGAATAAGGCGAATATGTAACACTATATTGTACGACGTTCCCCAAAAAAACGTAGACATATATATATATATATGTATGGTATTGTATTACATATATATGTATAAGTTTATAGTGAGTATGGATCACACTAAGAGCACGTACGGACTGCGATTTACTACATACGTACTGAAATATACTACGTTCTGAAATATGCAACGTACAGCAATTTTATGGTAGTTCCATAATAAGGAAGGAATCTTACCAGCCGTCACTACCAGTTCTATGCCTTACTGGGTCCCCTCACTTGTAGTCATAGAAAATGAATGAAACGGTCTTTTTGTATTGCTTGAACCTTTCTTTTTGTTGCCCCTCCATCTGATGCTTATCGCGGGGATAGTCTTGTGACTGTGTGCATAGATCTTTGGTAGCGAGTCCGATAAGAGATATACATATACGCAGAAGTCTATACATAAATAAATAGTAATACGTAAAGGTATACCGGTATATATATATATATAATTATTTGATACGGTTTTTGAGATCTCGTGTTAATAGTGAACCAAAATCTCCATTTCTGTCGAGGAATGGACTCCAAAGTTCTTGATCTGCTTCACTTAAGGGCATAATTAAGCCTTTGTTGGTTGAAACTTTAACATAACCAGCATGAAGGCCTATTTGGTTTGATTTGAAGATTGTACTATTTATCAGAGTTTTAATTTTCTCGCCATGATGTTTTGGACCAGCTGAATATAACTTAAATTGAGCAAAGTTATCATCATTTAGCAATGAGATACCAAATGTTTGTAGGACATGATCACGTAGTTGGTTCTTACGACCAGTGACTGTTTCTAAAATCATTGGTACTAAGGTTTTATCTTTATAAAGTTGTGGATATTTAGATGCAAGTGTTGATGAAGCTCTTTTCTTTAACTGAAGAAGTATCTTTATGTTTGTGGTAGCATCTACTTTCTTGATGAATCTTGTGGTAGGGGAAGATTCGTCGTAATCTCGATTTAAGATTTCTAAATCTTTGGTTATAGTGCCCCTGAAATTCTTATCGAGTTTGAAGGATTCATTTTCAAGACTTTTTATCCATTTTTCAATGTCTACAATGGTATCCGGTATTCCTATAATCCCAAGATATCGTTTGGTGATCATATTCTTTTGAGTCTCATCGAGGTAGCTCTGTTGAACCATCCGACCAAATTCGGCCTCTCTTCCCACAACAATACCCCCACTAACGTATTTATCTAGTCTATTGAGTATTTTAAGCTTATTGTGAAACCCAGGGAAGAGTTTAGTGAGTTGTGGCATGAGACAACCATGATTACGGTACCCATCGCAAACAATACCCAGTGGTTTATTCACGATGAGATACTGCGGTGTAGATTTGACTACTGAGATTTGGGGGAACTTGCTCATATTTACATACAGTAATGATTAAAGCAGTAGTAACAGCTGTGATACCAGTAGTAGTTGTAGTAATAGTAGCTGTAGCAATAATAATAGGAGCCGTATTAGTACTAATTTCAATGGACTGCATGTGTAGTCAGATCTTCTATTGGAAGGAAAAAAAATGCCAACCAACCAAGCAAAAGCCTTTTGCTTGCAAGGTTATAGCCGCATATACACAGTGTCGTCGAGTTAAGACGAACGCCTCATAACAGCAATAAGCAATCACTTATATAGTTACCGCATAAAGACGAGGAAGACTACGTTTGGTGATAATCGATATCGACATTGACGTTGTCGGACATTGAACATCGAGCACTTGCGATCGACTAAAGAGAACAGATATACGAAGACAACAAAAATCTACCACATTTTACTTTGAACATTATGTCTGATTTAACTTTCCAATATGCTAATGAATGTGATTTGGAAATACATTGCTCACCGTTTGGATTGAGCGGATTGTATGTCAAGATTAATGGGAGTAATATAATGGGGATTGGATCAACCATGGGACTTATTACAGGCAATACAAGCGGGCTCTTGTATTACAACGATAGTAATGATTTAATCGATAAAAAGTTCAAGTTGTATGTTGTGGTTGACGATGAAGGTTATCTTCGTATAGACTTTACAAGAATATTCACAGAGAATGAAGATGAAAAATCTCTACAGCAGCAGCAGCAGCAGCAGCATAATAACCAAGAAGTCGAACCAAACGGTCCAGACACACCTGGTTCTGCTAGTGGGAGTCACGATGCTAATGATGAATTGCCATCTTTAATATTGAGAGCTAAATGTCCCCATGGTAATCCCGATAATATTGGACCGTTCATTGGTATTTTCCTGTTTGAAACCAATGAATAATTATACCATGATTTGTGTCGACTAAAAGCTCCACGGTGTAAAAAGTGGGGCGGGGAATTCCATTAAATATAGTGGCTGGTTTTTGGTCGGTGCTACCGCGACATCAGGTACAATTTGATCCTCGGCCAAAGTAACGGTGACTGACTAATGGACCCAAAAGACTGCAGATGATGCAAAAGAGTAAGTACTTGGTTTGTAACCGTGCTAAATATTTACCAGTATAGAACACAGTACAGAATATACGTAAAGGATATGGAATAAGGTACAAGTACCCAGTGGAGTGTATAATGTGGAACAGCGTCCAATGTAGTAGTGTAATGCGGTATAGATATAATAGCAAGTACACTATGGAACATATCGTAGCAGATTTACAGTACGTAGTATACGTAGCATAGTGTATAGTATTCTGTGTTGCGCGGGGTCATGTGAATTGGTTGGAGTCAACCGTTGGAACAAACAAATGTCAATGATCTACCCCATACAAAGACTCACCCACATGCACTACCTTCCTCACTTAACCAGCGGTGATGGAATCATTGCCTTATGAGGAATACCCTTTGAGGTTATCTTGTGCAAATTTCACAGGGAAACTATAAATATCCTTCTAATCTCCCACTTACACCATTTTTCAATTGACTTAACTTGACTCACAATAGCTTATAATATCACATAGCCATAATCAAAATGAACAGATTGAACCAATTACTGGGCCAACTTTCCGCCAACAAGGCTGATGCCATCAGACAAAAGAACCCTGATGATGTCGTTATTGTCGGTGCTTACAGAACCGCTATTGGAAAGGGTGGTAGAGGTAGCTTTAAAGATACTGGATCTGACTATCTCTTAACCCAATTGTTTTCTGCCTTTTTAAAGAAGACTGGTGTTGATGCGAGTTTGATTGAAGATGTTGCTGTTGGTAACGTTTTGAACAGAGCTGCTGGTGCCACAGAACACAGAGCCGCTTCCTTGGCTTCTGGTATTCCTGATACAGCCGCCTTTGTCGCTCTCAACAGACAATGCTCTTCTGGTTTGATGGCCATCAGTGACATCGCCAACAAGATCAAGTGTGGTGAAATTGATTGCGGGTTGGCTGCTGGTGTTGAATCTATGTCTTTGAACTATGGTCCACAAGCCATTCCAAAGCTTGATCCTCACGTGGAAGAAAACGAAGGGGCCAAGAAGTGTTTGATTCCTATGGGTATCACCAACGAAAACGTTGCCGAAAAGTATAACATTTCAAGAGAAGTACAAGATGAATTTGCGGCTAACTCATATGCTAAGGCCAGTGAAGCTGTTGCTTCTGGTAAGTTCAAGGATGAAATTTTACCTATTGAAGTCACCATTGCTGAAGAAGAAGAAGACGACGATGGAGAGGATAAGGTTGTCTACAAGAAGGTTGTTGTTGACACCGATGAAGGTCCAAGACAAGGTGTTACTGCTGCTAAGTTGGCTAAGTTGAAGCCTGCCTTTAAGCCAACTGGTGTTACCCATGCTGGTAACGCATCTCAAGTTTCTGATGGTGCTGCTTGTGTTCTTTTGATGAGAAGATCATTGGCCGAATCTAAGGGATACCCAATTCAAGGTAAGTTTGTGTTGTGCTGTTCCGTCGGTGTCCCACCAGAAATCATGGGTGTTGGACCTGCTTATGCTATTCCAAAGGTTTTGCAAAAGTCAGGTTTGACTGTAGATGATGTTTCGGTCTTTGAAATCAATGAAGCCTTTGCTGGTCAATGCTTGTTCTCTCAAAAGCAATGTAACATTCCTGATGCTAAGTTGAACCCTAAAGGTGGTGCTATTGCCTTGGGTCACCCATTGGGATGTACCGGTGCCAGACAATATGCAACTATCTTGAGAGAATTGCAACCTGGTGAAATTGGTGTGACTTCTATGTGTATTGGTACTGGTATGGGTGCAGCATCTGTGTTGGTCAAGGAGTAAATACCTAAATATGTATTCATGATTTATATGTTTAACGAAAGTGTCTTACATAATAAAACGAAGTATTACAGTATGGTCAATTACAGTATGGTCAATTACAGTATGGTTTGTTGTATCACAGCCCCTTTGTCTATTGTTATTCTAGGTGTTGATCTCTATCCATGGAAATGTAAAGATTAACTCGGTATGAATTCCTATATGCGCTACCAAGTACAGTCGGCCCGAGGAAACAATTTACCCCAGAATTTCTCCACTCCTTCAGACGCATAACCATATTTAAGGTGTAACAAATCACTTAGTAATTAGAAAAATTTCATAGAAACTTCTTATCATCGTTACAACTTTGTAATTGCCACTACCACTACTAATCATTAATACTATGGAGAGATTAAACCAATTACTGGGCCAACTTTCAGCTTCTAAGGCTGATGCCATCAGACAAAAGAACCCTGATGATGTCGTTATTGTCGGTGCTTATAGAACTGCTATTGGTAAAGCCCGGAAGGGAAGTTTTAAAGAAACTGGATCTGATTATCTTTTAAGCCAATTATTCAAGGAATTATTGAAGAAGACTGGTGTTGATGCGAGTTTGATTGAAGATGTCACTGTAGGTAATGTTTTAAACCCTGCTGCTGGTGCTACCGAACATAGAGCCGCTTCCTTGGCTTCTGGTATTCCTGATACAGCTGCTTTCGTGGCCATTAACAGACAATGCTCTTCTGGTTTGATGGCTATTGGTGATATTGCCAACAAGATCAAGTGTGGTGAAATTGATTGTGGGTTGGCTGCTGGTGTCGAATCTATGTCGACCAATTGGGTTGCCGGACCATTAGGTAAGCTTTCTCCCGCTTTGGAGAAGGATGAAGAAGCTAAGAAGTGTTTGATTCCAATGGGTATTACTAGTGAAAACGTTGCGCAAAAGTATCAAATCTCAAGAGCTGAATGTGATGCTTTCTCTGCAAAGTCATATGCAAAGGCTGCTGAAGCTGTAGCATCTGGTAAATTTAAAGATGAAATTTTACCTATTGAAGTCTCTATCACCGAAACCAAAGGTGGTCCCTCCAAAAGAGTCGTGGTTGACACAGATGAGGGTCCAAGAAAGGGTGTTACTGCTGAATCCTTAGGAAAGTTGAAGCCTTCATTCAGAGCTGATGGTATAACCCATGCTGGCAATGCATCTCAAGTTTCTGATGGTGCAGCCGCTGTTCTCTTGATGAGAAGATCGTTAGCAGAATCAAAAGGTTATCCAATCCAAGGTAAGTTTGTCTTGTGCTCTTCAGTCGGTGTCCCACCAGAAATAATGGGTGTTGGACCTGCTTATGCTATTCCACGAGTCTTACAAAAATGTGGAATAACCATAGATGATGTTGCAGTCTTTGAAGTCAATGAGGCCTTTGCAACTCAATGTATTTACTCACAGAAACAATGTAACATTCCTGATGCTAAGTTGAACCCTAACGGTGGTGCTATTGCCTTGGGTCACCCATTGGGATGTACCGGTGCCAGACAATATGCAACTATCTTGAGAGAATTGCAACCTGGTGAAATTGGTGTGACTTCTATGTGTATTGGTACTGGTATGGGTGCAGCATCTGTGTTGGTCAAGGA